CCCTTTCCACGCGTTCAATTAGCCATGGAGCGTTCTTTGAGCATTACACGGTATTTTCCCGCCCTTATTTCTTTTCCTTTTTGTCTTCTGTCTCTTCTTTTTTCTTGATTTCTGAGCTCAAATTAGGAGTCTTCTTTCTAGTTGAAATAATATATCGGAATGGCGCCATGTTGTCCGAGAAAAGAGCGCGTGAGCCGAGATGTCCTTCCTGCATAAACAGACAACAGAATGGTTGAACGACGCCGCTTAGAATCGGAAACAAACCCGAATAAGCTAAATAAGGAAACTATGAAGGCAGTCGATAGGGGCATCAGAAATCTTTTTCTATTAAGAGGAAATATACAACAGAGCGGAGAGACTCCGTGAAAATACTTTCTTGGTCATGACTTTTCCTCTTCTTTTCAAACGGAACATAGAGAAAGAAATTCCAACAAAAAAAATTTATACCAAAAATATAGAAAAAGTCTACATTCATCTTCAGTCCATTTCCATCTATCTCACATAAGAATTTTCAAGCCAGCTTCAATTTCTGGGGCATTATGTGATTAAACCTCCGAACCGGCTCACAATTGTGAATGGAATACAAGATTTCAGATCTCAAGAAAGTTTCAAGACAGACACGCTTAAGAAATGCCCTATTTTTCCAGCCGAGTTCATTTCTACTAATTCAAGAGAACCTTTTCTGGCATGGCGTACTCTTTTTTGGGAAATTTCTCGGATTAAGAAAAAAAATTGGTGTAGAAAACAAAAAATTTAGAATAAGAGGAGATTTTTCTTTTTGGCCGTCTATTTTTTTTGTTTTTTTTTCTCTTCTGTGCATCCTGGGAAAATATTTTTATTTTCTGGCCACTTGCCAAGTTGTTTTCCGTTCTAATCATTGCCGGGCTTCCCAAAAAACATTCGCCGTGTTTTGCCAATACCGCACAAGAACTCCGGAAAAAATAGCCACGACAGCTGATTTCGCCTTTGCAGGGTTATGATCGAAGGATTTGAGTCACACAAAAGCAGGAAATAATACCGTTGGTTGTCGTTTTTTGTTCGAAAGCAGCTTTGTTGAATTCTGTTAAAATATCGTTCAGGAGGCGATAATAATCTTGAAAATCTAGGATTTCGGAGAAGATAGAGCTGAAGAACTCAAGACAGTCGTCCTTTTTGAGAGAAAAAAAAATCTCAACGTTAAAAACTCTGTATAAAATTTTCGACCATGAAAATCCCTGTTTGCAATTTTTTTTTTCATTTTTTTTTACTTTCTGATGAGATAAGAGGAGCACAGACATGTCATACTGTTACAGTCAGGATGACGTTTATCAGGTTATAATTCTTTCGAAAAATAATTTACCAAGTGAATTTGAACGAATAAATAAAAGTCATTTTTTCTTAAAATGAGCTTCGACTATCGTCTTTCTAAAAAATAACTTCAACCTGAAATAATAAAGTTTGAAATTTTTCAAAAAAGGACAAGGAAACCTGAACGCCGCCATTAGAAGTCGTGACCACTGGCGAACCCGAAAGAAGGGAAAATATTTTGGGATGGCGGCGGAGCCCCGAGGGCAAGTCCGGCGCGGCAGTAAAAGCGACGGTCCGCCGACGAAAAACACCCAAAAGTAACATTATTTTGGCCTGGCCCCCGTTGTATTTATTTTTGAGGATACGCGCAATCGTCAGAAGACGTGGAAAACTTGTTTTCATCTTCCACAATTCCTCGAAGAATTAGCTTGTTTTTCACGCAAAACCCTAATTTGCAGTTGCCCCGCAGCACTGGCATGAAAAAATAAAACAGAGACAAATCTCGGCCGTACCGACCAGTACCGGTATCGCGAAACCTTCGGCTTGGTTGTGATTGCACTATAAACTTCTCTTTTCTAGAGAAGAAAAGTTATTTCGATGCCTGGGTCAGAAACTTCGAGCTACAAATAACACTCAAAACTAGTTTATTTCTCTTTTTGGAGCTGTTTATTTTCCTTCCAGACTTCGATATCTCCAAACTCAAAACCTCATCTGTTTGAAAATCCTTGCTAGGACGTTTAGAGAAGCATGGAAAAGTTTGATGAAGATTTTGAGACTAACGAAGATTCTCAGGATCATTTCAGACTACTGGCTTTTGCGATATTACCATAAACTATCGAAAGAAAAAACTTTCAACGAGTTGAAAAACTGAGACTTGTTAGAATCAAAAATACATCTAGAACCAAAGGAAACCGTTCTCTGACCACGGATTTATTTTAATCCAAACGAGAAGTTCCACTGGGAAAAATAACAGGAATTTTTCCATGGAAAATAATACAAAAACACGTTGTCGGAATAACATTTGGAGACGGGGCCGATGGGCGCAAAAACAAAAGAAATCTCGTGGAAAACAGTGACTCATTTCTTGGGACATCGAAAGAACTGTCAGCGAGGTTTGGAAGTTACGGCCGTAACCGTATACGGTAGGGAAGTTCAGCTCGTTCTTACAAGAAAGGATTGTTCTACTTTCACCGTTTTTGGTTTGAAATTTTCTTTTCGACAAAAAAAACCGTAATTTATGAATATCTAAAGCGTCTCAAACTGTACGAGTTTTAAATTTAAAAAAAGGAAAAATCTACTGACCAGGGTTAAAAAAATAAATTGACGTTCAAAAAAATTTCCGAAACTTCGGCTGGATTGGATTTTTTTGTTAATAAAGTTTCAGGAACTTCTTTTGTCAAAATTATTTTTTATGTTACGTATAGCCTGTGTACCGCAGCTTGGAATTTCAACGAACGACATTCCGCTGTGCCGCTGCGCGCCTTTGCGAGCCTTGGTCGCGCTTTTAACTTTTTTTTTTCTCTTATCAAGGTCTAGTTTCATGTGCTCCCACAGCAATAACAATCAATTGAAAGAGTGACCTAGATTCGAAAGACGCTTCGCGAACGCACGCAGCGGAACAGCGGAATGTCGTTCGTGAAATTTCAAGTCGTGGCACACAGACTATAGGGATAATACGAAACTAATTCATTTATTGATGGTTAAATCAAAATTTCGATTTGTCAGATTTTTCAAACTGTATTCAAAAACTTTTTTAAGCAGACTGAGAGGAAAATAATAAATAAAAAAAAATTAAACTCTTAACAACTGGAAAATGCTCAGAAAAAATATTTCCTGGTTTCTAAAACTTTGAAACTTTCGATTTTCGAACAGAAACTGATTTCAAATACTACGAAATTGATGAAACTCTCTCATTTTTCAACAAAATCGTCTGATTCAAAGTACATTCGACGTTTTTTCCACTCCCACTTCATAATTATTAACAATTAAGAAGTCTCGGATTATCATCTTGTTCTTCAAACTTTTCTCTCTGATTTTCGCTCTTCTCAAAATATCATTTATAACAAACACATAACCCTAACAAATAAGCCATGTTTTTCCCATATTTTTTGCGAAAAAAGTTATTGTTCTCCTGGGGAAATGACTCAAAGCGATCGCTTTTTGTTATTGATGAAAGGTTCACTGCACAAGGAAAAACGAAGGAGTTGGAAAACAAAGAGCCCGACACAAATTACTTAGTTGATTTCTTGGATATCAAACAGAAGCTCTTCCATTTACCGCTAACCTGGGAAAAGGAACGATAGAAAAGTCTAAATCCCCTATTTTGGCATATTTTCTTTTAATTTACCTTCCCAAATAAAATTTGTCTTAGGTCAATTAAGATATGGAAAAATTAATGAAAAACCCTTTTGAAAAAAGCTCTTTTCAGAGAAAAATGAGACTCCCTGGTGAGTGAAGCTTTAAATCAAAAATGTTTCAAACTGTCTAGTCTTCATCACCAATTCAGGATTGCGTATTATTCTAAAATGATAAACTATTTTTAGGAAATTCAAAACCAGACTTATTTGAAAAAAAGAAATTTAATTACTCAAACTTAAAAAGTTAAGAAGTAATACGCGAAAAATGACCCAGTCAATGAGAAGATCCAAATTATGTTGAAGAAATAACATTATTCAAAAATTTTTTTGCTTAAATTTAAATCCACTCAGCGGCATTGTTAAAAATTATTTCCTGGAGGTTTCGACTTCTTCATAAAAAAATAAATTAATTGGAAGAATTTTTCAAATCGAAAAAAATTTCTAAGGGTCGTGATTTATCCTTTTGAAATCTTTTGAATAAAAAAATTTTTTTCTAACCTAGTCTGTTAAAAAGTATTTATGAAAATAGGAAAATATTACAACCAGTGCTAGTAAACCGTTTACCTAGTTTTCAACTAGTAATGAGCTCCAACTCGTTTTTTTTTTCTGGCTGCCTCGGAAAACAGGAAAAGATAAACTCGTGTCCTGAAAACAGGGTGGCCTGTTGTGGCCAACGACATCGCTGCCACAAAAACAAAAACGAAAAGAATTTGGCCGTTCGGATTTGAAATATATTGCGCGCGAAAATATTTTGGCCGCTAACATACACACTCATACACACATTTTATTTTTCCCTCGTCGCTTTATTATTATTCTTTGCTCCAAGGTAAATTCATCGGAGCCCTTTCGAACCACCGCAGCGAAAACTAAAAACAAACCGTCACGGTTTTTTCTTCTTCTTGTTCATTTTCATTGGTTGACTCTGCAAAAACAAGCGGCTATTTGCTATTATTGGCATTGACAACTGTGATTTGTTAATCAGAGAAAGGAGTTCCGCGTATTTAATTCGGTAGGGACTAGAAAAGGTAATGAAGGTTCTGTAGCTTCATATTACATAAAACCATTTAGTTTCAACGGAAAAAGATAATTTGAAAGAAAGTCGTTTGACTAAACATAATTTGCTTCAATAACCGATGACCGCAGATGGAATGGTTGCTTTAAAGTTCCTTTGAAGCGCCCCACTCAAAGCGACTTGCGCGCTGAGCCATTCCAAGGGCGACCGCATCTTCTCAAGCGACATGGATTGAAAATAGGTATAAAACCGAATTTCTCCCTCAACTCAGAAAAACACTCAAACAATTCATTATGTACAAAATGTTCAATTTCAATTATAACTAATAACAAACTAGAGCACAGTTACTGCCACTGGCGATTGAGCTGGTCGAAGTAGGTGTCGGTCTGGCGACTGATCGCTGCCAGAGGCTTCGAGGTTTCCGTCGACGGCGTCGGGGACACTGGTCCCGATAGGCGTAGCTGCAAGTCTGTTTTCAAACATTTGAATTAGCCTTATCTGAAGAGCCTTGTCTTGAAACAGTCTCTCGAGTTTGCATGTTATTTTAAAGCTTCAGCGACGCCGTTTGTGAGAGTAAGGAGAGTGCAGACAAGCTAGACAATGCCAACTCGTGGCGAATCAAGTATATTATAAAAAAATGGCAAATTTTGGGTTTTTGTTGGCTTTTTTGACGTTCAGTTACACGCTTTGAATCCAGACACAACTTTTTTTTCATGGTAACTTCCAGGAACTTCTCGATAGAATAATCAAATAGTAGTTCATACTTTGAAGCTGTGTTTGAAGAAAATTTCAGAACTGTACTCAAAGCGTGGAAAAACATTGTTTAGTATCTTTTAAAGTTGTTTGTGAAATCGAATTCAAGTTCAACATTTTTGAAGTGGAAATTGATCTTTTATCGCTGTTTTCACTGCTCGAAGATGTTTTTGGCGCACTTTTCCGCTGCCGGCCGACAACATTCCGTGCACTTCTGGCACAAAAGTCGTTGAAAGTCCGTCGGCGACTGTTTACTTGTCAAAATACGAATCTCTGGCCAAAAAACAAAAAAGGTTGCCGAGAGCCTTTAAAAACAGACAGACGTGCCAGGATCGGACAACAAATTTGAGGTGACACAAAAACCGGAAAAGAGCTGACGGACCACCACAGGTTGGTCTGGCTGGCAAGATGCGAATAATATTTTCAACTCGCTCTCCTATTTTTGGGCACCGACCGTCGAATCGGCAAAAACACGAAATCGACGATGGGAAAAGCATAAACATTTAGTGCAAAACCCATGCAAATGTTTTTGTTTTCAGACCCCGCCCGAAAATGTTTTTCCACTCGAGTTCCTGCCATCCCAGGACCTCGAGCCGATCGTCTCATCAGCTGCTTCTCAGAGGGGTTTCTACCAAGTCTTATGCCAGGAAAAACTTTAAATCTGTTTAGAGAGATTTTTTCTGAATTTCAAACTGAGAAAGTTTGAAAATTGATTTACTAAACGCTAAAATATTTTTCCTAGTAAACAAGGAGGTTCATTAAGGCGAGCTCCATAAAAAAATGCGATTTAGAAAGAATATTTTGCGTAGACTTCCGAACGTCCTTGAAAATGACAAAAAAAATTATCAAAAAAAGAAGTTAGAAAGGAAACAATAAATTATCATAACGCCCTTTTTTTCCAACCCAGCCTAAACCCAAATGGCGCAGAATTACTGATTTTTCAATAACTTGTTCTGAAACTTTTTTTTCTCAATTATTTCGAAGTTTAAGTTTAACCTTAGTTAAACGATTTGGGAGATTAGAAATAAAAAAAATTCAGTTTCATTCTCCTGATTTATCTTTTTTTGTTTGTCATATTTCTCTCAAAAAAATCATAAGGAGTTACCTTTCCATTTCTATTAAGTTTAAAAAAGAAACAAAAATAGATTCCTTCGACTAATAATTTCGCTCACCCTCATCAAATGACGCAGAGTTTCAGTTTGCCACACCGGTATGTGTGAGTAAATTGTGTAATATGCGATGCTTCCGTATCTGAAAAAAATTAACAAATCATTTTTTTAAAATCTGCTCTATTCATTTTCGATCGAAAAGCTTGCTGAAATTATTAATGCGTGAAATTTAGACATTTTTTGAAACGGACGGTCGTTTTTTGATGTCAACATTCTTGAGAAAAAAAAAGCAAAACCTTAAAATAACCCATCAAAGACTTTGAAAACATTCTAGAATGAAAAGTAGTGCTAACATGATAATGCAAACGTTGAAAATGGTGGCGCCCAAGTTCTGAAGACTTATCGAAAGTTGAAAATTGTCGAGAGCCGCCGTCACCGTCGACACGAGGTTGAACAAGGCCACCGTGTTGATTACGGCTTTCAACGTCTGGAATCACCTTCTCCATGAGGCGTTCTATTAGAATGAGAAAGTTCAAAGTTCTTCTGACAGCGATTCTCTAGAGGTGAGTCAATCATTTTTCATTTCTAAAACACCAAAACTAGTTAACGAAATATATTTAGGGAAATATAGAAAATAGTAATTCGGATCTTGTGGTGAGGTTCAGGTTGAAAGTTTTTTTCGGTAGTAATTTTATTAAATTGTCCAGGTAACAGAGAATACATTTTCTTTGAAAAAAGTTTTATACAGCACATGGAATGACTGAAAAAAATTTCAATGTTTAAATGCACCAGACCCGAAATGACTTGCTCCTGAAGCCATAGAGCCTTCTGGAGCTTCTATTTTATTCGAGGCACAATAAAGCACCTGACTAACTAACCAAACAGGTCCGAATATTTTCGGAAATCTGAAATCTTTCGGCCAGCGAGTACTCCCGATGGCCTTTTCGCAGATTCGAGCTCTCGTACAGCTTTCTGAAGTTGAACTTCTCCAACAAGACGTTCACCAACGACGCCAAGCAGTTCACCACCATCATCGCAGAGTGCAGAACTAATGTCGACTCGGCTAAAAGAACTTCTTTTCTTCGCGACTTTGGAACTTGCAGTCTGAGAATTCTGCATCAAAAAGAAGCTTTTTTCAAATGTTATGCTTGAAATAAGGCTCAAAAGATGACGCTTTTCGAGCTCAAAATTATATTATATCTGTGGGCGTTAAAAACTATCAGTAGGACCACTGCGGTCAAGAAATAAATCATGCGGTAACCTAATAATCTTTGGCGTAAACAAAGCCTCGCCGTAGAAAGACTAAAGAGAAAATAATCAGAAGTTTAGTGAGTTCAAGAAAAACTGAAAAGTTCAAAGTTTTCGGAAAATTAAGCTTTTTGACAAAAGATTTTACTAATCCGTTCAACTTCAAACGACGTGGCCGCATTTGGAATGGCTCAAAATATTGTACTTTTTCTAGTTTTTTTTTCCTAGTCAACCACAAAAAATGCCGTTAAAAATTTTAGCCAGCAAGAAAATCAAAACAAGCTTGAAAAAAACGAACTTAATAAAATGGGTTGAAAGATCAAAGAAAGGCTCAAACGTGAAATAGAACATTAAATTCAAGACACAAAAGGGTTTCAAAGAATTGAACATTTATTATTTTTTACTGTAATTTGAAAAATTATAAATTATTGTTCAAGTATAGTTTGTGTGCCACGAGTTGAAATTTCACCGAACGACATTCCGCTGTTCCGCTGCGTGCGTTCGCGAAGCGTTTCTTGAATCTAGGTCACGCTTTCAATTGATTGTTACCGCTGTGAGAGCAAATGAGAGTAGAGTACCTGAATAAAAAATAAAAAATTAAAAGCGCGACCAAGGTTCGCAAAGGCGCGCAGCGGCACAGCGGAATGTCGTTTCGTGAAATTTCAAGTCGTGGCACACAGACTATAGTAAAGTTACGATAAAATACACAAATAAACTTGAAAACAAATTTTCTCTGCGAGACCTTTTTCCATTTGCTTTTGCAGTTCAGGCAAGGAACTTCTAACAGACTGTGAAAGCAGATCTTATGAATATTCGATATAATTCCAATCCTTGATTCAAATGCAAACTTCCGAAAAAAAAAAAATCGAACCTTGATGATAACAGTAGGAAAGGGCGACGCCAGTAACGGTCATGACGGCCAAAATTATGCCGGAAATGTAGATTCGGCTTTTGTATTCGTAATCTGATAGGAAGTAAGATGCGCAAGATCTTTCCACCACAAAAGCCGGGATTATTAGCGACACTAAAAACAAGTTAAATGAGTCAAACTCGAAATGACCTGAACTCGCCTACAAAATAGCAGAAACAACGAAGAAACGATGCGTAGTAGAACACTGAAAAAATCATTAAATGAACTTTGTGAAAATTTGGAATTTTTCCAACAAAAAATTTTTCGCTTTCATACCGCATTTCGACCTGGCGTGAAAAATTTTCTGAACAGTTAGAAAAACTGAACTTTCGACTTACAGCTCGTAGGTTATTTTATGAATTTCACAGCGAAAGCTAACAAATTTTCATTCTAAAGTGAAAAAAATAGTAAGACCCTCTATTTTGATGAAAACACGAAAAAGGCAAAAAAGCGGTCAGGAGCGCACGGCTTTTTCATGAAAACGAGAAAGTTCCAAAAAACCCAAAAAATTGGGGGTAAAGTTGTAGATGAGTATGAATTAACTGAATTTTCGCCGCACAATTCATAAGTTACTTTAATTGCTGTTGAAAAGTTCCAATTAATAAATTAATGACAGATTAAAAACCCACTGTCGCTATTTTCTTTGGAGTAGAAGATGAGGAAAATCTGCAAAGATCGGGCTGTCATCTCGATGTTGTACTCGGCCACCATGTAGAACCAAAGAATCTTGAGGTTCACATGGAACGGTCGCGTCGTGGCCATAAGGAAAGCCAGGTAGGCCAGAACAGGATAACTGGAAAGAAAAAAGATTGGGAAGTTTTCTTTTTCGGTTCTAAAAACTGTCTGAGTTTTGAGAATACTCAAACAGGCTTGTGTGACCGGCTGAGCATTATTCTGCACTTGACATTTTTCGAGTGTCTGCGTCTCTCTGTTCCCTCGCCGGCGAGGTCAGAGAAACACGAAAAGAGCATATCAACATGAGAGGGTCGTCGAGAGACGAGGAGAGCGCAGAGAAAAAGAGAAATTTCAAGTCATGAAAAACGGAATATAGTTGAGTTATAGTTTCTATTAAATTTAAGTAAAACAAAAAAACTGATAAAATTATTGTCCTGAGAAAGTCTGACAATTAACTTTTCAAAAAAATTTGCTCTCTTTGAGCCTGGCTCAACCGTTTTAAATAAGGACTCGCTAAAGTCGGGCAGTGGCGGGCTAACGGGCCGGCCCTCGCACAAGCCCGAACATGAGGAAGTATGATTATTCCGAAAAAAAAACCTCAAGCAAATTGCGGCAAACTCTACGTAGGTTATCACACAATAATATGGCCAGGATCCGTCCAACTGAGAATGTGTGCTGTTGAAATAGATCAGGTAGTGAAGAATCGCCATTTTCTGAATCCTTGAATTACAATATTCGAAAAATTCACCAGAAATTCAACCAAAAAACGCCATGCTGGATTTTTGAAGTTTTAAAAAGAAAAAAAAGTTAGCTTCGTAACATCGAGAGTAAGAGGGAAATCTCAAGAGATTCAACTAAACCGTTAATTAGAAAAAAATTCGAGGAAGATTGAAACACTTTGAAAGCAAGATACAACGAAAAAGGCGAGAAAGGAAAGAATTATTTTTCAACGATGAAAAATAAAACCCTTTTCTCCAATTCAAGTAAAGAGTACGATTTTCGAGTAAAGAGCACGATTTTCTTTACATTTCTACGAAGTTCCCAAAGCAGCAGCTTGAGTCTAAAAAAAAGCAAGAAAACAAAAAAACATTTTTTTGAATTATAGGAGGTCTAACCTCAAAAAAAGGTTGGAATAAAACGAAAAAAATGAACAAAAAAATCCTTTGCAAAAAAACTTCACAAAAAAATATTTATATATTCGAAATCGCCTTTTTGAAAGCATTCCACTGAAATACAGGAAGGCCAGGCTCCCCAAATATTCCTCTTTTGAAAAAATTGCTTTGTCTAATGGGAAGCGACTAAATTGTTTTGTGTACCCCAGTGAAAAAAATATCGTGAAAAGTAAATAATCTTTAACGCCTTCGCTTTTTGGATACGAAAAAAGACTTGATTAAAGGTTACAAGTTGAGACTTTCTTTGTAAATAATACATTTTCTCACTCTGATTAAAAAGGCAATCAGAAACTAGAAAAAACGAACATGTGGGATAAGGTTGTGAGAATTTATTGCACTCAGAAAAGCTTAAAGAACTAAAAAAAAAAAGCTGAATCGGATTTGATTCGATTATCGTCGAAAACGAGTACAAAATCGAATTAGCTTTTTTCCTCTCAAACTTCCGTAATTCAACAATTTTCTTGGGATACTCTCAATCTTCAATTTGAATGACTTTGAGGTGAACGAACCACTTCATAATTTCGAGGTTCAAAAATATCTGAGAGCCACTTTTCGAAACTAATAATTAAAGTTATTTTTAAAAGGAACACAATTTTTCATCGAAAAAAACGTTTTAAATCGAATCAAATTTAGAAAATGTGGAAGCTGAGGCGACCTCCCATAATTAAACTCTTGAACACTTAATGACGAACAAAAAAAAGACTAATTCCCACTCTCACAATAACAAAAACAGAAATTTTTTAATTTTGGTCGTGTGAAAGAAAATCTGAAGAAAAAATACCAAGTAGACTGGTCGCTTGGGGAAACAATCGGCTCGGAAAATCCCACCATCTCTGAGCCCATCCAAAATCTCATATTTCAGCTCATTTCGAGGCTCTCAAAGTGTAATTACGCTGCGAAACCACGAGTCATCAAGTATGCAATTGAAAAAAATTTCTATCGTGAAGAAAAAAAGATGTAAAGAGAAAAAAAGATATATATTTATTTATTAAAACAAAAAAACTAAAAATTTGAAAAAAATTAATTATTGAAAACCGTACGAGTAGTACACGTATTGGTAAAGCGGAAGGAGGAAGATTTAATTAATTAAAGCTCGTCTTTTTCTTCGGCCTCCTGGTCCTGCTTGGGAGTGGCGCCTTCGTAGAGTTTGCTGATGATGGGCTGAACAGCCGACTCCAGCTTCTGAAAATGGAGATCATATATTTTCTGCCCAATTCTGACAAGAAAAGTGCAAAAGGTAGAGGATTGAGAATTTGGCCAGATTTTGTGAAGGTACTGCTGAGTGAGAGGCAATCTTCCATACTGAAGGAACAAAACTTTTAAAATCAAGATGAGCTGTGAACTAATTTTTAAAGAATCTGTAAGGGAGGTCTTGAAGTGTCTCTCTGCAAACTTCATCCAATGCTTCCCTTTTTGCAACTTCCTTCCAAGAAGTCATACCTTCTTCTGTTCCTGGAACTCCTCGACAGAGGCGTCGTCGTTGCTTCCGAGCCAGGAGATGGCCTCCTCGACCGCCTCGGTCACCGTCTGCTTGTCCTCGTCGCTGAGCTTTCCTCCGAGCTTCTCCTTGTCGTTCACCTGGTTCTTCAGCGAATAGGCATAACTCTCGAGCTCGCTCTTCGAGTCAATCTGAAACTTTTCAAATTGAAAAATGTGCTTCTGATAAAGGCGATCACACTTTTCAATTATACTTAAATCGCTACACTGTAACTTCATCACCAATCTTTATTTTTTTCTTGAAACATTCTTTTTTCACATCAAAGTTCAAATAACAGGGTGAGAAAACTTCAATCCAAGTGTGCAGAAATCGAAAGATCTTTTAGAAGAACTTCGAAGGCTCAAATAGAGGCTTGGATTCCAGGCTTTTTCATAAAAAAAAGACGCCCAAAATAGACAGAAAAGAGTTTTTCCAATGAACTTCTGAAATTTCCGGACAGAACTTTAAAACAGAAAAACACGATCATTTTTAATCTCGTTTTTTCGTGGTTTTTCCATCTTTCAAGTCCCCACGAGCATGCATTTTCACCTTCTCCTTCATCTTCTTGTCCTCCTCGGCGAACTTGTCGGCGTCGTTGATCATCCTCTCAATGTCTTCGGGACTGAGGCGGTTGTGATCGTTGGTGATGGTGATGGCGTTTTTGTTGCCCGTTCCCTTGTCCTCCGCCGTCACGTGCAAAATTCCGTTCACGTCGATCTCGAAGGTAACCTGCAATTCGGAAGTAATGATATGGGCAGACCAATTTGGAACCGACTTCGATTTGAGGAACGCCTCGTGGCGCGGGCGGGATTCCGTTGAGGTCGAAATTGCCGAGAAGATGGTTGTCCTTGGTGAACTGACGCTCGCCTTCGTAGACCTGCAAATTTCATTTTTTGAGATTGAAATTATAAAAACATTGATTTGAATTAGCAAAAAAGTAACATTTGCTTTATTTGAATAACGTTCTTTTTTTCGGTTGTTGAGTATGATTTTTACCAAAAATAATGGTGTCTCAAAATAAAAAAATTATCTACAAAAAAAATTTTTTTCAAAAAAAGTGATCTGTCTTTCGAAGGAAGGAACTAGAAATAGAAAGTTTTTTTGAAAGATGACTAATTTTTTTGAATTAAAAAGCTAGAGAATGTATTTTTCCTCACACTATTCAGATATTTCAAAAAAAGGATCGCTAAAACCTTAATCGAGACAGTGGGCTGACTGTCGGCGGCGGTGGAGAAGACCTGCGACTTCTTGGTGGGAATGACCGTGTTGCGAGGGATGAGCTTGGTCATGACGCCACCCACAGTCTCGATACCCATCGTGAGGGGGTTCACGTCGAGAAGGACGATGTCTCCCGTCTCCGTGTCTCCGCTGATGACGCCAGCCTGGACGGCGGCTCCGTAGGCCACAGCTTCGTCGGGATTGATGCCTCGGGAAGGCTCCTTGCCGTCGAAGAAGTCCTTGATGAGCTGCTGGATTTTCGGGATGCGGGTTGAGCCTCCGACGAGGACAATCTCGTGAACGTCTTCCTTCTTGAGGTCGGCGTCCTCGATGACCTTCTTGACTGGCTTGAGAGTCGCTCGGAAGAGGTCCATGTTGAGTTCCTCGAACTTGGCGCGAGTCAGGGTTTCGGAGAAGTCTTCGCCGTCGAAGAGAGCCTCGACTTCGATCTTCGTCGAGTGCTGGGTCGACAGAGCACGTTTGGCCTTCTCGACCTCGCGACGCAACTTCTGGACGGCGCGGTTGTCCGACCTGATGTCCTTGCCCGACTTCTTCTTGTACAGCTTGATGAAGTGCTCCATGACGCGTTGGTCGAAATCTTCGCCTCCCAAGTGAGTGTCTCCGTTCGTGGCCAGCACTTCGAACACGCCGTTGTCGATGGTCAGCAGCGAGACGTCAAAGGTTCCGCCGCCAAGGTCGAAAACCAAGATGTTGCGCTCTCCTGGAATATTTTTTTAAGCTTCAAAAACGGGAACAGTTTTTTCTGAATTTTGTTGTTATAGAGTTTTTCGTTCGGCAAAGAGATACTTCAAGTTTTCTTTCATTTTTTTCAGCGAAAAAATTATTCTGGGCTCACATTTTTCAAAAATTAAGTCCGCTCTTGAAGGAATACTTTACAGCTGCATGACTTGTTTAAAAAAAAACCGCTCATTTTTGTGATGATATCACGGACCTTCTTTCTTGTCGAGACCATAGGCGATGGCGGCAGCGGTGGGCTCGTTGATGATCCTGACGACGTTGAGGCCGGCGATCGTGCCGGCGTCCTTGGTCGCCTGTCGCTGGGCGTCGTTGAAGTAGGCGGGGACGGTGATGACGGCGTGGGTGACGTTGGTTCCGAGGAAGGACTCGGCGATCGTCTTCATCTTGCCCAGAACCATCGCCGACACTTCTTCCGGCGAGAAGTCCTTTTTCGCGTCTCCGACTTTGACCTGCACGTGCGGCTTGTTGTTTTTGTCCAGTACCTGAAAAACTTTCACTCTTTCTCCTTTTTCCAGCCGGAACGAACCTTGAAAGGCCAGAGCTTGATATCGTCCTGGACAACTTTTTCCTTGTAGCTACGGCCAACAAGTCGTTTCACGTCGAAAATCGTATTTTCCGGGTTGATCGTCAGCTGATTTTTAGCCGCATCTCCAATCAAGCGCTCGCCTTGGTCTCCGGTGAAAGCCACATAAGAAGGAGTGATTCTGTTTCCTAAAACATTTTAAGTTTAAATTAAACCTTTTTAGCTCTTCACCTTGATCGTTGGCGATAATCTCAACGCGTCCGTTTTTGAACACTCCTACGCAAGAGTATGTCGTTCCCAAATCGATTCCAATAATAGTTCCATACTTTGTTTCCTGAAAAAAAAACGGCTCAGAAGAAAATAATAACCTAATCAACCTTCTCTTTGTCTTCCTTTTCTTTTTCGCAAAAGACGCTCGCGGCGCACAGTAGTAGGGGTATACACAAAAACAGGAGTTTCATGCTCACTCAAGTCTGCAAGAATCGTTTTTGAGCCTCACTATAAGATATCGATACAAAACGGAAGCATTGTCAAGATCTGAAACATCGACCCCAGTCTCTTCAAGTACAATTTGACAACAAAATGAGCTTCAGTTGTACTTATGAAGCAATGGAGTTGATGAATGTCATCGAAGAGGACCAGCAGCCGTCCGAGATCTTGACAATGCGATGAAAAAGCCACGAACAAATAAAAAACCACAAGATTAGAACAAAAAAGGTAGATGTTCGCGAAATGGACGCGATATTTATATGCTCTTGTGCGACGTGTCACAGTCTAAGGCAACGCGGCAACGTGACTCGGCCTTTTCTTTAGATGACGTGTCCTTCCTCACTCAATCCTTTTAGCTGGTTTGCACCGGAGGGGTTGGAAAATTGAAGTTTTCATCAATTTCTTCGATAGATAAAGGGTAAGATAGATTATTCAGCCGTCAAAGAAGTTTAAAGAAAGATCGAAGCTAAATAAGTATCGAAGATAGGAAGCCTATAGCTTCTAGTTTAATGAAGAGCTCTCTCATTTCGAAACTTTCTTGAGCTCAAGAAAGTTTCGAAAACCGAAGAGCAAAAAGACCGATTAAATTTAATTATCTAAAAATTACAATGATTTCAGAAAGAAATCTTGGGATCGAACTTCGCGAAGTTTTAAAATTAAATTAAAATCAAAATTAACAGATGAAGTTTCAGCGTGAATTGAAACGTTTCTTCTGCAGGTCAAACTGAAGATTTGATCGTTACAGCACACATTTGCAAAGTTTTTAAAGTTTTCTATGCCGTTTTCAAAGTAATTTCCGCGAAATGCAAAATGATCTCTGACTCTCCAAAATTTAGTGATCTTTTCCTTTCTCTGACAGCTATTTTGAATTTCGCGGAAATTACTTTGAACACGGCACTATCTTTTTTGATTTATTTTTTTTTCCTCAAAAAGCACAATTGATTACTGATCTTGATCTTCGTATTGATAGCCACTCAAATCCTCTCAAAGCAACTCAATCAACACCTGTTCTATTTTTCGATGATACGCATTTTTACAGCATCACGCTGAGATAAATTGCTCTTCTCAACATTCTTCATGTTTTTTTTGTGCCTCTTTTTTTTCTTGTTTAACAATCTCGGTAAGCAGCTTTAATAGTCTTTCTTTTTTCTATAAAAGGGCGTTCGAAAATTTTTTCGAATTGCAGAGTCCTGACTAGGGCATGGTCTCCGCTCGACAACGAGTTGAGAATTGAGACTTTGTGGGTGAGTAGGCCTAGGTAAGAGTACTCGGAATCAAAAAGAAAATTCTGCTAAACCCCACAGGCAGCCGGAGAAAAGCTCGTCGAAAGTTTTCCAGCGCGCATATGGCCGCGCTCGGAGCCTTCGGCTATAGTCTGTTCAGATTTTGAATGTCAAGTAAAATGACGTCATTTGAAAACGCTCTGTGGGTGGCTCGCTCTCTGATTGGTTTATCGCGCCATTAGGGGGCGGAGCTTCAGCGAGGACTTGAGATTTGAAATCTGAACAGACTATAGCAACTGGCGGCGTGGTGTAGTGGGAAGTGGTCTTGTGCACTGTCAATATTGGGACCAGGGTTCGAATCCTTTTGGCGGAAATCGTTTTTGCCGGCTCATAACTCTATTCCTTTCACATTTTTATGAGATTTATTTCAAAAATTTACATCAAAACTTTTAGAAAACTTTCTACTACTTTTCTCATACCACGTTGTTCGTATACTACTCTTACGTTCTTTTTAAATCAGCCTCTCAAGATTTTCTCTTTTTCTCGATTTATTCCTTTTATTTTTTGGCGTATCAAAATTTTCTCATTCGCAATTTTTTATTCCGCGCTCCTTTTTGACCGATCAAATGATTCCGATAGTCGGCTTGTCCCTCATTAAACACTTTTTAATAAGCGTTACCAAAATAAGAAAATGGCAACTCTGGGGCGTGCATCGCGACGCGGCAGATCAATCAGCCGGCTGCCGTGATCCATCAAGGCGCTTCTTCCGTCTGTTGGGTCCTCCGTCGCCGCACTCTTCAATCACCTTTTTTATCACCTCGAAATTTATCGACAGCTCTTAGTTTTCGCTATTACCCACATTCAGTGTTTCTTTTTGATATCGCGTAGACGTGAAATGCTTTTGAGATTGAAAAAAAATCACTTGATATGAGATACCTAAACCAAGTTATTCGATGTTGGATCGCTTCGATACAAGAAAATCCAAATCATTACTTTTTTTTTCTACTGATACTTTGAGTGAATTATATTTCATTTTATGCATCTTCGAGCTTTATTTTTCTGTGCAACAACTCGAATTTCGGAAGAAATTTAGAGCTTTAAAATGGTTTCAAATGCCTTAAATAATAAAAGACATTTTGTTTAGAATATTATTCAATCGCATCCTTTCGTAGAAATGAGAAGGATAAGTCAAGTATTAGGAACTGAAAAAAATGATGGGGACTTCTTGATATTTGATCTAAGAAAAATACCAAGGAGTTAATGACTTTCTAAACCTACTTTTCTTTTGAGGAATTGGCTTCTGGTGATCCAGGTTACTGTAGATACATGTGAAACTTCTTCTTGAGATCGATAGGCTGATCGTTAAAAAAAGAAAGCGATAATTTATTGATCTTTTGAATGTTGTCTCAACTGCAAAGGAAAGCTCGGAAAGCTCGGAAAGCTCAATATTTTTTCCATGTTTTCTAGGACTCTCGGTGTATTTCTTGACTTCTCTTTGAATAAATCCGCTTCCCATCATACCTTACACCAGTCATAATGGCCCAAATGATTTTTGAATGATGTCGTGGGTCAACGCGGCTGTCGAAAGTTACTGCCGAGTTGATTACAGCGCAGGAGTGACCGCCGGCCACCCGTAGGTCTTCCGCGGTTCCGCCGCCGCGCAAAGCGTGTTCCTGCGGCTTTCCTTTTCTTCCGCAAACATTCTGACACCTTGATTTCGTCCAATCGACACACGCAAATCAACCGCTAACGCAAACAAATCACATCATTTTTCTTTTCCCTTTTTTTTGTTTCTTCCATCGGCTTATAACAAACGATTTGGTTCCGTTCGCCATGGATTAGGCTTGTTTATGAGACCTTCGGACTTTCTAGAAAATAGGAAAAAATACTAAAAATTTTTTCTAACTCCTTCTTTTTTTCGAAGTTTGAATGGGAGTATGTATAACCCTCTTTGGTTTTGAAAATTTAGAATTTTTTTGAAGAAAACTGATGAATGGAAAAAGTTTTAACGTCGTCTAAAAAAATCTCTCTAAAGTCGAAAAGTGTATTCACGCTCAGCCGCTCTGAAAAAAGCGCAGGTTACTGTGGATTTACATAATATTACTTTATTATATGCTACATCGTTTCATCTCTTGAAGTCTTAAATAATTGCTCGGTTCAATAATAGCCCAAACCAGCCGTTAATCAACTATAAATCAAAAACGGGAAAAGTGACACCTTATTTAACTGAAAATGCTGAACAAGTGCTTATTTTCTTAAATCTTGGCTTTCCAACCTTCTCGAAATTTGTTGCAGATTCATTCTCTCTGATGATAAAGCTATAAAAAAACATCTCGAAAAATTCTATAGCTTAAACATGATGAGAAGTGAAAAAAAATTTGCCAATAAAATCGTAGGCTTTCACAAAAATTTCCAAACCTACCTGATTCGTTCCCACCGTGGGAATCGAATGATGTTTCAGAAATTTTTCTCTCTCTGGTTAGTTCTATGGCTCTATGTATCATTTATGCTTTCAAAAAGCTTTTGAATTCTTTATCAAGGTCTAAAATTTAGAGGAAATCTGATTTTTGAGTCCCCGAGAACTTTCGTATGTAGGAGAATACACTGAGAACTTTGTTTTGACGAGTCGCCCGTATCAGTTTCTCCGTTCTAATTGTTGTAGATGGCTGTTCTCCCTCTTCTCGTTCTCTTTTATAGCCTATGTTTCTTCTTGCAAGTATATGTTTGTTTTTTTTTTCTAGTTTTGGCTTTATATTAATACAAATAACTCTCTGGTTTTATTTTTCACGTCAAAAAGAAGAAGCTAGTAATATCAATTAAAATCTGACTCGCCAGCGCAATTTTTTTCCCTTCATTTTTCATCGTTTTGTCCGCAAGGAATGTGAGCGACGCGCAAGATTCACCTAGTTCGAAAAATATTTTTTTATCGTTTCAATTATTTATTTTTTTTTAAAATTATAGTCAATGTTTCCCGACTTGAAAGGCGAGGGAGGGCAGGGGCGGGACGTAGCGTGTGCGTTCGCAGTTCTTGGCACGAGTACAATTCAACCGCCAGCGATTATTTGGAGAGCCCGTTTTTCGCTCTTTTCATTCCTTTTTCAATTATTTATTGATTATGTTCATGTGTGCATCAAAAAATAGTAGAAAACATTGAGAAAGAGCGGTTGCCGAACTTTTTAAATAGTCGGTGGCAATTGAATTGAACTCGTGCCAAGAACCGCGAACGCACACGCTACGGGTCCCGCTCCTAGCCCCGCCTCCCTCGCCTTTCAACGTTATGAAAAAAACCTTTTTTTTTGAATTTAAAAGCGTCATACTTCTTTCGCTGCTCACTATCCTAGTCTTCACGTTACTGTGAGATTATTATTAAATTCAAATTTTTTCTGGTTAATAATTTGAAATTTTTCCAGAAGACGTGGAATGCGGAGCAGGTGAGAATGCCGCGGCTGGCGCGCTTCTGGGACTCGCTCGAAAATGATCGGTTCGTCGAAACTCCGCGGGTTTGTTCCGAATCTTTTCATTTAATTTCCTCTATGCTGATCACCAGCTAAAATTATTAAATGGAAAAAAAGACCCTTTGAAAAATTTTCGAAGAAAAGAAGCATGTAGAACAGAGCTCGTAACGAGTATCACAACGGAAGGTGATAGAAATGACAGCCATTTTTCTCAATCACCGGGTCCAATCAGTTTCTAATTGGTTTGTTACAGTGTTCTCGAGGCTCGAGAATCTCATTTTGAACTTCCTGGTGGGAAGATAACCACTTGAAATTTTTTTTTTCAGTTTATCCTTGTAGTCGAATAAGAGAAAAGCCTCTTGGAAATATTCGTGAAGTTTCAAGGGTATACTCTATCTAAGAAATTATGAAAAGTTTTTGAAGATGGCTCAAAATAATTTTAAAAACGGCGTTTCGCCACTAGATCATCACAATTTTTTTATACGCCTTCAAAAAAGTCAGCATAGTTTTTTTTTAACAGGAGGGTACTTTTAGGAAAAGCGAGAACCTCTTTTTTTTTTGGGATTTTCTGAATTTAAAGCGTCAAAAAGGTCGATTAACGTTGAAAAGCTATTACCAAAAAAAAAGTTAATATATTTATTCATATAAACAAAAAAATTCAAAAAGAGTGCAACAACAAGTAAAAAAAAGAAAATGAAAAATATAATCTTCTCGATAAGTTTTGTACTGATCTCTCACTTTAAATTTTTATCACGAAGCCTAAAGGCCCTTAAGCCTTATTTTCTTGTTGGGACATTTTCCACTCCGAGTAGATTGAGGCGTTCGCAAGGAAAAACTACATAGCTTTTCTGATTAGAACCTCTTTTTTACGGGTCATCTGCTTGTGATGAGTGCTTCCAAAACCATTTTAAATTGAAGAAATCGAGCACGAAGTCGCTTCAAAGCCGCTGGCTGCTGGGTTTGGCGGACAGCCGCGACGACGAGAGCCAGACGATTCTGTACGCGAAGCCGTTGGCGAGGCCAGAAGACTTCGCGCCGCTCTTCCACGATCCGATCTTCTGCGGCGCCCAGCGAATCTCCGTCGGTCCCAGGTTCATTTTTGAGTTATTTCTCTGCGCAAGAGTCCCTCAAACTTTTGAACTGGCTCTTGGAAAACAAGAGACGCCCGTGTCATGGGATCCATTCCACTTGAAGTCGTCGCGTCTCACATTTTGCGCGACGACATCTAAGGGGAATACAAAGCAAACAGTTCGCCTAATGAGCCGTTTCCCGTCCAGTTCTGCTCAGTTTTGCTTTTCTTTGAGTGATTTTCCAAGTTTCAAGATAAAATATAATCATTCTAGTATCTCTAGAGTCGTTGCTCGCAACACATGTTATTCGTTTCTGAGTTAGAACTGAAATTTCCTTCAAAAGTGCTAGAAAATTATTAGAAGGTCTAGCCAAATATTTCTCAGAATTTCTCAGACCAAAACTTGTGTGAAAGTTTATTTTTGAAGATGTGAACTTTTTTCAACTACGGTTGTTGAACTTTGAAAACTTCAAATCCAAAACAAGAAGTAAAATTTAAAAAAAATCTTCATTCAAAATTCCATTGAAAGAATGAGTTCAGAATCAGATTTTTTTTTTTTTTCTAATAAGAGAATTTCTACTTTTTTTCTTTATCGTGGCTAGTATCTCAGTACCCTCTGACCGGATTCCGAGCTGATTGACTCGAGATTTCTGCAATAAATCTTCTCCACTTCTTCTCTCTCACAAGGACACGATATCCTTGCCAAGGAAATCCAATACAAACAGTCCTTGAAATTGAAAAATTTCTCGCGGTTGTCCGGCCAAAACGAGAAAAAAAAACGCGTCCGAACCATACAAACATCGCGTTTTGGCCGCCGGCTCTTGGTGTGTTTTGCAACAAAAGCTCGGCGGATCCGGCAGCAATTAATTAACACTCGTTTTTTTTCTCCTTCTCTTCCCCGCTCAGCTGCCAGTCACCTCTGATTTTTCAACCTTCATCGAGTTACCTTTCTTTCGAAGCTTTTTTTCAGATTATTGTAGTTCTTCAGTTTTCTCATAAATATTTTTTTACCTTTTCGAAGGATTTTTGAGTTTTTTTCATTTTGGCCCAAAGTCAATTTTTGCGCATTCAAGAATTGCAAAAAAACGAATGCATTTTAATTAACCCTATTCAATCTCCAAATCTTGATGTGCTCGCTCTGGCTTGCCCTTTTTAAAAAAATGTTTCATTATTTAAAGGATTTTTTTATTTTTTTAACTTAAAAAAACACTCTAAACATTTTTTTCTCTTAAAAAAATAGTTAAAGTAAGCTCTAATCAGTTTGGTTTGACGTTTACGTAAGACTGTTTGAAAAGGACGTGAGAATAATTTTTATTTCGAAAAAAATTTCGAGTTGATTATTTATTGAAGAGGATTTTTTTGTAAAATAATTGTCTAATCGTTTCAAGACTTTTTATCAATTACTGTCTCGAACAGGCTGTCAATTATCTACTGTCCCATCAAACTCCCAAGTTTTTTTGAACGAATTTTTTTACTTATTTTTTTAAAATAAATTATCATAAATTTTATTTTTCGTAATAAAGACATTCATCGGCTGGATCTCACCCCGGCCTTTTGCGCGCGAAAATAAAATTTAAAAATGTACTGAAATAGACCGCCCTTCTAGGGGTTGGGATCCAGCCGGCGTATGATTGAAGAGTTATTGAAAGTTATAGTTGAAATAAGGCTCAAAAATCAAGTTCACACTACCGTAAAATATTGACGATGATGGTCAAAGGACAGTTTCGGGCAAATTTGAAGCATATCAGCGGTGAATTAGCGGCTTGGCTAAGACCCAATGGGCGTCGAATTAAACCGGTGGACAAACAGCCGCCGGTCGTCTCCCGGAAATTATTAGCACCTCCAAAATTAGCCGCTCCCTCGGTTTCTTTCCGTTTCTGGCCTGATTCCTAACTTCGTCACTCAGAACCTCTAATTATCCATTCGACATGCTTGCGTGGTGGGTTTACACACCGCTTCGAAGAGCTTTTGCCAAACAGCCAAATTGATAAATGGTCCTGAAGGTCGCTTTTTCCCCCGTAAACAATTTAATGAAAGGATTTGGGAAGTTTGGGATCGATTCAGTTTGGTGAAGACTTTAAAATGCGAATACTCATTTTGATTTTTTTTTTTTCATGGAAAAGTACAAAGGATATTCGATCCTGAAGTAGAAAAAATCCTTTAGATCAAAACCCAAGCTCCCTAAAGAAATACTTCTATCCAAACTGCAAAATTCTGTTACTTGAGAACACTAAAAAACTAATTAGAAACTGATTGGATCTGGAGATTGAGAAAAATGGCTGTCATTTCTATCAACTTCCATTGTGATATTCGTTTGGAGCTGTGTTCAACTTGCTTTTTTTCAACCAGCAATTTTCGACGTCTCTTTTTCTTTCGAAATTGGATCCAAACGTAAAATCTTACGCTCATGAATGAAAAAAAAAAGTTGAAGTTTAACCTATAAACCTTTATAAAGATCAGAAAGCTGACTAGGGAACCTTTTTTTGGATGTTGATTTAAATTTTGATAAAAGCGCCTGGAGTGAACTTTCGGACCTCTTAATTTCAGAACAAGCAAAAAAAAAAGTCTTGTAAAAAAATGTTAATCTTGACTTGTGAAGCCTCAAAGTATTAAAAGTACGCGAATTATGGCAAAAAAACGCTATTTCAAGCTTTTGAAGCGTTTAAAAAAAAAATGCAGATTCATTTCGAGAAATTATTTTCTTTTTCTTTTTTTGAAAGTAGGAGGCCTTAAAATAAATTTCAGCCCAGTTTCATCTACCGGGACCGGAAAAGGAACGCTCCTTACTCAGATATATTTCGGGGGAAGCTTAATCTTTTCAAAACTCTGTATTAATGGACTAGTATCCCCTTCAGATCTCTGGCATCATTTAATACCAGAAATTTGCCCTATTTTACTATGTTGTCAAACTTCCAAGCTTCAAAAATCTGCTCTGAATGACGCAAATACGCTTCTATAAAAGGGAACGTTGCAGTAAAGGAATGCTTTCCGCCTCGCTGGGCAACTTGTCGGCGCCGCCGCCGAAGCCACAGCGCCGTATCGCCCGTCTCCGTTCTTCGGCCAACGACAGCTTCAACGGTGCTCTTTCCATCTATTTCCACATCAACAAACTGATTTTCTCTTTCGTTCATTCAAATTTCTTCAGCAAGTCTACCTCAACTAGCGGAGAAATCGTCATTCTCGACGTTTGACATACTCGATAGGTTCAAAAGCAACACGACTCTTTGCAGCGTCGACGAAGGTTTTTTTTTCAAGTTTTTAAAACCTTCAAAAAACTATGTTTCAAGAATGTCGTGCTCGAACAATCAGCTGGTAGTCTTTCAAGTAGTCCTCAAAGCGCAAAAAAAGAAATTTTTTTATCGAATTTTTAAAAAAAGTAGAAAAATTTCCTTGCTGCTTATTTTTTTCTCAAAAATTTCTTTTTCTCATGTGGGAAACGAGTACAGAGTTAAATAAAAAAAGTCAGTTCTAAAAAAACAATTTTTTTGCAGTTGATGTGATTTCTTTAATTCTAAAATGTTCTCCCCATGGTTTCAATTTCGAGAGTTATTATTTTTTTCAGCCTTTCCATCAAAATTTTTTTTAAAGCTTTACTGTTTTATTTTTTTTGAACTAGAGTAATTTTGTTTCTGAAAGTGTTATAATTGATTTTATGAAGTTTCAAAGTTGATGTTCAATCAAAAAAATTAATAAAAGTGAAGTCCTCCTTGTTTTTATGCAGCGATTATCCAGCTGAATTTCTCAAAAAAATTTCAGTCTTCTTCCCATGGCGTTTCTTTTTCCGTCCAACTTCTTGATAATTTATTCCAACTCCAGAACCCAAAGATGGAAAACCGAATTTGAGAGGGAGGGTTTTTGGAGCGAAAGTGCGAATCTCAAGAGAGTAGTTGTCGCCCAACGGGCCACCCTCCGAACGCCGCTCTTTCTCCTGTTTTTTTTTTGGTTCTCAACCTCTTGAATTTATTCAAAAACGTCCGACAGAATAAGCTATTATGTTTGTTTTCGACGATGAATTCCATAAGTTCTTTCGCGAAGATCTTTGAAAATTTCCTAAACTCTTTCAGAACCTTTCAACGCCACTTCGAGCGTCCCAGAAGCGGCTCGAATCAGAAATGTGAGCCTTTTTTTCTGTTTTTGTGTGTTTTTTGGTTGGTTCGTTACGCCGCAGTTTTATCATAAAAACGTTTATGAACCATCGTTTGGACCTTTTCAAATTGCGTGCACATGGCGAAAACCACAAAACTCCAGCTGTTTTTCCCCGTCTCTTTTCGCATGCAACCTGAAAAGTTCTACTTGATCCTGGTTTTTCAATTTTTCATCAGTTTTTAGAGAAGGTTTCAATCAATTTATGTTATGTTTTAATTTGAGAGCTTGATTTAATCTATAAGATTGTGAAGTTCCGACTGCTGTAAGTATGAAGGAAGAAAAATTAACTCTCGCAGAAGTTTTCTATTTTATGCAATTTGGAAAGAAATTGAAGTGCAGTCTTCTTTTTTAAGTTCTATAATGGTATAGAAAATCGGTTTTTATGTTCTATTGGCCTAAATATTCTGCGTCAAATGTATTTTTTTTTCCTTCCAAAAAAAAGTTAAGGAAAAATTGCTTTTACTCTGTTATTTTTGGGTAATAATAAGCGTCTTTTAGACTCATTTTTCGAATTGCTCACTTTATCTCCTCAAACTTCTCCAAGTTCAGTTGAAGCTGCCTGGATTCACCGGCAGCGTGGAGTCGGCGCTGGCGTCGTCGACAAGTGTCCGCAGACGGCCGCCTTCCTACGAAGAAGTGCAGATCTCGCGTCGAGCGTCGCAGCTGCGACCACAGTCGACGAATTCGTCGCCGCGATTCTCGTCGCGTCACACGATCGCCGTCAATCAGCAACACGTCCAGGCGGCCCAGGAGAATCTGCGGTCAGTCTCAGTCGCGAATCCCGATCTATCCTTCGCAGATGTCGTGAGGAGGCGGCGGTGATGTCGTCGCCGAAGAGCACCAGGTCAGACAGCTCGACGAGCGTCGACTCCGGCCAATGCTCGGGTATCCATACTTTATTCGGCTCTATTCATTCAGCCACTCTCGGCCGTCAATCCAGTCTGAATTCTTGAGCTCTGTCATTTTTGATGATTTCTTGACATTTATTCTTTCTGGTTTGCAAGACTTTTTCACATGTCCAAGGGTTCATTTGAGGGTATTCTATGGCTAAATTTTTTTTTCGAATTTGTAAGGGCGGCGTTCATACGAATTTCGTTGTAGAAGCCTTATTCAGTTCATTTACTTTTTCTGCTTTAAAACGGAAAAAAATAATTATAAACTACTATATTTAACAGCCATACATGAAATTTTTTTCTTTTGCTTTTTTTCTGTATGATTACTTTGATAGACTGTGATATCAGTTACTCATAGTTTCTATGGAAACTTGACCTTTCTAGAAATGATCAAAACTCTATTTTCTTAACTTTTTTAATTATAGAAAAAAACTTTAGAAATGAAAAAAATGCTACAAAAAAAATTTCACAATGGGAAAGAGACCCGTTCGTTTTTAAATTGTGGCTTCCTTTTTCCAATTTGAAATCTCCAGGAGACGTGATCTTGTCAGAGCAGCGGTCGGTCTGTTCGACGCGGCAGGACAGCAAAGACGAATTCGGAGAAGAAGAAATGGCGCCTTCAGGCGGACTCCCTAGTTATGCCCGCATGGCCAGTAAGCGTTCATTCACTGACAGATAGCTTTTTCTTGGAAAAAAATAGGAGTGATGGAGGCGGAATGATTCCTTTATCCATGATATCAGTGTATTCATTTTCATTGATGTGGGAATATAGAAGTTTCGATGAAAATCTGCACTGAAGACTTGCAGGCACGATGGACCACGTCCTGCGCACGTCTTCCGCCGTCTACACCCTTCTCTCGACGACTTTGAACCCCCAGTTGTGCAGAGATCTTTTGGCCAAAGTCCTCTTTTCCGAGTAAACCAGCTAATAATGAGCATCAATTTTAGTCATCAGTATTTGTGCAACTTGTGGAGACGTCGCCATGTGCCGATGCGCTTCCAAAATCTGACATGGCCGCTTTGAAAACTCAAATCGCCGACTTGCAGCGGTTTCCGCTTTTTGATAGCTTTCCTCATCGTATATCGATGCTTACAGTAATCAACCGAACGGGATAGATCTCAACAACATGAACAACTGCTTTGCAATTCTTCTACGCAAAAACATCGAACAAGTCCTTCAAATCTTTACAAGGGTAGGTATTGAAAAATGAAATTCGATTATTCCGAGAAAATTTTCTACTTGAAGCTAATAAAGTTACTGTACAGCAAAAATAATTGAATTCAGATAATCTGCAAGTACCTCGCCGAGTGCGGGAACAAGGATCGGCTGGTGACCATTTCCTTGGAACACCTCATCCACATTTGCCTCTTTGGCGACGAATTGTGCCTCGAGGCCATTCAAGTACCTTCCGAAGTTTACCGAGAATTTGTAAATACTCGATTGCAGCGGAACTGCATCACGTCGGCGCTGAAGATGATCCGGCAGCCGTCGACTCCAGAACATTCCGTGCGGTTTCTGCTGCGGACCTTGGCGGTCGTCTGCGGCGTTTCCAAGGGCGCTCTTTCACTGTTGTCGGTAGGGAACAACTTGAAAAAAAACCCGATTTGAGAATTTTATGAAACTTTGCTGTGATGGTCTCTAGAGAACACCGATCCCCGGGAAATCGACAAAAGAGACGTTCCTTAAGGCTTGAACTCTAACATAGTAGAAGATAAAAAAATAAGATTTTCAGCGTCTTCGAGTTTGAACTCGACTAACCAATTGAATACATAAATTTTGCCTTTTGTCCAAGTTTCCTTTTCTCAAAATTTTTGATAATGAGTAAAAGAAAAAAACTTGTTGAAGTCGTCAATGGACTTGATCTCAACTAAAAAGCAAATAGACAATTTTTTTGTCATTTTCTCAAACTGTGTCTTTTTGAAAATACAGTGTGAGAAACAATTTTACTTCGTTATTTTCAGCAAGGCGGCCTCGACCTAGTCCTCCATCATTTGCTGAGCATCACTTCCCCACAATGTTCCATCGAATCGGCTGGTATTTTAACGCAATTGACCAATCCTCAGCACTCCTTCGTCAGGCTGACTGCGGTTCAACCCATCGTCTCCCGGCTTTTAGGTAATTATCGAAAAAATGTTTTCAATTGTGCGTAGGCGGAACTGAAACAGGCTTTCAATCTCTTTTTTTGAACTTATTTTTTTCAGCTTCAAATCGATAAAATACTTTAAAGAGAAGGTTTTTCAATTAAATTCAAAGGAAAATAAAATTTAAAAAAAATAAAGTAGCCGAAGTCAAGCTGCTTGAAGGAGTAGAATTACCAACTTCTTGCGGCTTTACCGATTTCAAAAAAATATTTTTAAAAAAATTCTATAAATTATTATACCTCAACGCTTTTTCAAAAAGTGAGTACCAATTATTCACTCTCCTTTTTTGAAAGCCCAAAAGTAAAAAAAAGAAAGAGATGAAAATCAAAAAAGGATGTTTGAGATCTGATCGACACCTGCTCAACGGGAGACTCGCTTCTCTTGGCGACGGCGGCGCTGAACAACGTCGCCCTGCAACATCCCAACATCATCGACATTCTCTTCAAGTCGATTCACGAGCGAATCTCCCTCTGAACACACTCAATTGCAGACACAACGCCATCCAACGCTTCATTTCCGCATATCATCGCGAGAACTGCTCGACAATTTTCGTCCAGGAACAGGTCGGTGACGATGTTCTGCAGCTTTACCGTCGAAGTCATTGAGATTGTGACGGCTCTTTCTCGGCTGGCGGCCAGACGCTATGAAGAGGCTCTCGTCGGGCAAAATGCCGTCCCCGTCCTTCTGGAGATGCTCTCTCTAACGCACCCCTTGCACGTCGACTACTGTCGTCGGATACGATACAAGGTTCGAAGAGAAACTTGTTTCTGCCATTAATAATGATTATTCAAAACCGTTTTTAAAAGCGAAACCAAACCATTTCTATAGAAAAGGAGTTAAAGATCTTCTTTCTTCCATACTTTAGGGCCAATTTGCTGAAACATAAAGTTTTTTAATTCAAAAAAATAGTCCTTATGCGGACCAAGACAAGCTTTAGAAGTTGGTAAAGTGGTCCCTATAAGACCTAAGGTTGCCCATATAGGGACCACCCTCCGGCATCGACTTTACTGACATTTCTCCATAGCAAGTCTAGAAAAAGAAATGTTGAAGAAAATTTTCAAAGGTTTGGAGAATAGGAAAACTTTTTTGCAGGCCGCGGTGTGCATCGGGACTCTGGCGAACACGAACGTCGGCCTCAAGTCGCTCTACGAAAACCAAGGTATGTTCTTGAGTCTAGTCCATTTCCGGATCGGGAAAGCTCGAACTTGAATCTTTCGCTTTAGCCTACGCGATTCTGAGCAACGTCCTCTACGACGACCAATCGGCCGGCAACCCTTTCAACATGATTTGCGCCAGTATCCGCAGCCGTCTCGAGGCCAAATATCAAGCGGAAAGTGCCGTCTGAACTTTTATGAAAACATTGACTTTCCCTCGAAATTCCATGCATCTCATATCAAAGCTTTTTTTTATCATGACTAGAACTATCTCATAAGGACGCACCTAACATCAGTTGCCCGCTTGTTTAAATAAAATTCAAAAATTGACACGTTTTTAAATCTCAACTTTTTTTCAAGAACTTCTCTAGAAAATGTTATTATTTTTGATTTGCTCTTATCAGTTTCACTCCCATGACGCTACTTTTCTCAAAAGCTTGCTCGAGAAAAAAAAAACTAGCTGGTCATATTTTTTCTCAAGCCAATCAGCTATATTGAACCCTCTAACGTCCAAACTTTTTTCGAACCATATAAATAACGCCAGAACTGTGATATTCGTTCAAAATGTACATTTCTCTTGGAAGTAATAAAGATGTTCAAAATACATAGAAAACAATCAAGGTAGGAATGAAATTTGATACATAATTTAGTGATTAATGGCAGTTACGCGGGTCGCCGCCAGAAAGAGCGTACTCCTTGATGGTCTGCACCAGCGAGGGGCTCAGCTCGTAGTCCTTGGCGAGCAACTCCAGCTCCTCGAAGTCTGTGTAGCCGGCCGCGTAGGCGTTCAGCTATTGAAAAAACAAAATAAATCAATATGCTTTGAATAAATTATGATTTCCAATATTGAAGAAGGATAAACTGTTGGGTAGGCCTGTTTGAAATAAGCTTTGGAATTATCGATTGAAAGTGATCTGCCAAAAAAAGCGAAAAATTTCATCTTTTTTTCTCGTTTTTCAATTTATTTTTTTGGCACGAGCTCAAATCCGTTCTACTGGAAATATAATAAAAAAGAATTTTATGTCGGCTCATTTTTCGCAACACGTTGAAAGAACCTTTCATCTCTCCAATTTACTTTTCATTGATATCAACAAACGAGCTTTTTTTAAATGTCAAATTTTGGAAATAAACGTCTCGAGTTTCTGTGATATTATATTGATAAAAGGCAGATTTTGAATGAAAAGTATTGACATGCTGAAAAAGCCGGTCGGTTCGGTCGCTTTTTTATGACGCCTATTTTTTCAAGTTTTCAATTCTTAAAAAGTTTTTTGGGCTTTATTAAGGTGTTGACGGTTTCAAGGTACGCATTTCTTCTAGTTTGACCTATTTCGAAGTAGGTTTCTATCACAATTCTGATCATTTTTTTAAATTAAAAAAATTAATTTAATTAAAAAGATTCACTTTTTTTGAATTTTTTTCTATTTTCGCCAGAAAATGCTTTCAATCTCAATGAAAACTATTTTTGCACTTGACACATTTCGATTTCAGGTCAAATTAAAAAGGTTGACATAAGTAATAAATTATTTTCAGAAAAACCATATAACATTCCTACTAATCTTTTTTCCATTCAAATATTTCTACCAACCTTGGTACAGAGAACGCCTTGAGCAATGTCGCCATCAGTTACGCTGAGCTGATCGAGAATTTCCTGAAAGGTCCAAAGTTATAAGATCTATTCGAAAAAAGGACCTTTTTATTTCTCAGCCAGTACTTTTGATGATAATCCTCGGCTTGATAGAAAATGTCCAGGGGCACGATGTAAGTTTCCACGTTGCCGAACTTTTTCTGAAACAAGTGTTGAAAAGATAAGAAGTGATGATTTTACTTGCCTTCGCCTCATCCAGGGACTTCATCGCCTCGGCTTTTTGGTCCATGTTCTCATAAATGATGGCCGATTGGTATTGCTGAATGGTGATCACATAAATCTTTCATTTTCAGGAAAAATCGAGAAAGATCGTTAATCTAGGATCTTCGAATAAAATGTCAAGCCAGACAGTGAATTAAGAAAGACCTTGGTGCGACGTTCCAACGGGTTGTGATGGGACCAGAAGAACTCGAGAAGTTGCCTGTAGCTGATCAATTTGGGATCGTACTGAACTTCGGTGATTTCTGCAAATAAACGTTTTTGCTTGAACGTAAAGAAATTTATTCAAAAACCAGTGTGGTCGCCAATTTTCTTATAAGTCGGCTCGTTGGTCGTGCCGCCGGCGTATCCGACACGAGTTATTCTGACGCCTTTCAACTGAAAATTGAAGTTTATTTTAACAATGGATCCTGGAAAGAATAATTTCAAGCATAATTCAAACAGAAATCTTTCAACGAAAACTGCTATGATACAGATTTGAAAATTTTTATGGAAAAAATGGTATATAAGCCACACATACAAAAAAAAAAAAAATTAAAATTACCTTTTGCCCACGCAGATTCGCCCCAGAAGCACTGAAGGCCGAAGTAGCCGCGATGTAGTGGCATTCTAAAGAAAAAAAAATATTCAATGAAAAATCTATTCAAAAAGTTCCTGAGGGTTTCATGACGCAAAAACATTCCTTTAAAACGCTTTTTTTTTCCAATGATTTGGAACTTTTTTCGATGCTCAAAGGATCTGTGAAAGAGATAATAGTGATAAGAAAATTTTCAATGAAGTTTCCAAATTTTTCCAATATGAAAACAAAAAAAAATTGAGAACTCGAAATATCTCTAGCTTGTATATATAGCCGTGACATGGTGACAAGGCAAGATGACTAAATTGCGTCAGAATTACCGATAAGAAACAAGAGAGAACACTTGGGACCGAAAAACTCAAAGATCAACACGGTTGTGGTGTCAAATGTTTGTCAATTGCTTGTTATCTCTTATCTCTCTCCAGTTAACGTGTTGCATCCGGCGATTTTATCATCAATTATTTAGTCCGTTCAAAAACTTGCTGGACATTCGAGGACGTTAGTACACTTAAGTATTACGAAGAACAAACAGTAGAACGTTGCAACTATCAACAAAATGAGTTCGATCAGCACTGCCTCGAAGACGATAAGGCGATAGCGGAACAAAGTGATAAAAGACTAGGTTAAGACTTTTTCCAGTTATTTATGTATGACAGGTACAGAGCTGCCTTGAGCAGAAACTGCAAGTTAGATGTTGCAAATTTTTTGAATCTCAAGGAAACCGTGAATGGTTTGAAGTTCGCTTGCCCCTAATGAAATATAATTCTTAGTATTTTTCTACAATCCATTGGAAAGAAGAGGTCTAGCCTCTAACTGAATTAAAATGGCTTGAATAATAGAAGTAAAAAATCGATAAACAAAAAAAAAAACACACCAAAAAGCCGATTGAATCTACTACAAGTCTTTATTTGCAAACGTGTTAAAGGAAAATATTGTTGCTAGTGATCTACACTAGAAAAAAACGACAATAACGATAAGAGACAAGCAAAGTTAAAGAAAAAGGAAAGATAGACATAATAACCATCGAAAATGCGAAATGTTGCTTATGCGAAGAACTTGTTGCTGGCGTACAGCTGCTGGTCAGCACCGACCGACACGGCTCCAGCCTGGAATTTATGAAATTGTTATAAAAAGGAAGACATTTGAGAGAATCTATATTTTTGTTTAAATTGTATATCTGGATTTCGAAAAAAAAAAAAAAAACTTAGAGAAAATTTCTGAGCTAAGCGAAGAGCCATCTTTTCGTTTTTGTTTTTAAACTATGCAATAATTTTCGAACATGCTCAAAAATAGGAGAGCAATTCGCGCAAAACTGTCTTTGAAACCAGGTCGAATAGTGTATATTAAAAAGTTGATGGCTTTTTCTTTCTTTTTCACCTGTTCACGAAGGAAAAGACGATTTCCGCGCTTCAGTCCATGGGGGTTCAAATAATCCCAAGCGTTATGCCACGACAAGAAAGCTGGCGAGTAGGGAAGGAACGATACGGCCAGACCTGAGAATTTCGGAAATTAGAAAAATTTGGAGTACGAAATAGAAACCAGATCCAGCGACAGCCATGATAGTGGAGACGACGCCGTAAGGATATCCGAAGGAGTTGATGATGAAAGGAACGGCCGTGTGAACGAACGAGTGAACGTCTTTGGCGGCCTAGAAACACAAAAATAAGATTAAAGTTTGTAGAATTTATTTGTCAATCTTATTCGAAAACTGCCTACAAGAAGACAACTCGTGAGCTAAACCCGGATCTTTCAGGCTTAAAAAAAGAATATGAAGTTTCACACTTACAAAGTATCTGGTCCTTTTTTTTATTTAGGCGTAAACTTGGAAAATATCTATCTTCTCAACTAGTAAGTTGAGCAGGTTGTGGCTATGCGGGATCTAAACCTTCAGATAGAAAATTGTTCAAGAAACTAGTTCAACGATATTTTGAACTCTGCACATGTACGATGTTTCACCTTGACGGCCTTCTCGTCGGTCTGCTTCGTGTTTCCAATATCTGAACGCAGAAGAAGACGCGTGGCCGTGAAGGTCAGCGAGTGCACGCCCCAGATCACCAGCAGTTCGCCGACGATTTGTGGAACGAGACCACTGAAATTTTCTTTTCTCTTGAATTTTTTCGCTAATTTTCCCTGAAAGCGCTTACAGAAACAAAATTTAAGTGAACATTTTCAGGTTGTCTAAGGTTTGATAAGTGACTTCTTAAATCTAACTTGCATTTTTCAAAAACTTTTTAGCTTCAAACTTTTTACAAATCAACATACCCGAAAAGTCCGCCAGGTCCTTCTTCCAATCCGACAAGTCTCAGGCCGCTAAACGCGCCCGTGTACTTGGCCTCCTTACCAATGACTTGTGCGATCTGGCGAACCATAACCACTGAAAAAAAACAATCAAGTATTTAAATTTCCATCGAAGATAACCAGTAAATGGTCGCGCCGCGATGATAGCCGCAGTGCGGACAACCGAATCGCGCATCGCGCGACGGAGAACGCGTTTGAAGGACTGGTGGTCCGTCAGGTCCTGCTCTTCCTTTTCGGTGTCTTCCTTCGGTCCGCCAATGTTAGGGTAGTACTCATCGATGTACTAAATCATATTCCGTGGAACACTTTCAAAAAAAAGAAGTGACTTCAGTCTTTCATTTGGCATCAAAACAGGTACCTTGATCTTTTTTGAAAAACTTTCCAAGAAAATCTTGCGTACAAAGCAAAACCTACTATTCAAAAATAAAAGATTGGTGAAAACATCGAAATGTGACAAAAATCACCTTCTCCGTTTGATGACTGACGATGCCGCTGACCAACAGGGCGGCGATTCCCGAATCGATTCCAGTCCAAAGAATCTTCAATCCTTCTTTCTGAGCCAACTGGCGCACTAAAAGTGACAAAATGAATGATAGCTTAAGGAAATAAGGATAAACTGTAGCTGAAGGCGTTCGGTAGGAAATATGCATCTCGTCCAGCCCAAATCAGCGTTTTTCCTGTGGACAGTGGGAAGGGCTCGAAACCCAGTTGAATGAGAGTTCTGGAAACAACCAGCGGCTGCGTCACCGTACTGAAAACTGCTTTCGCGACGAGAGTCTTCGCGAACTTCTCCTGAACTTTTAGAACTTTGCAACCAGAGTTATATTTTCCGCTGATCCATCTTTAAAATTTAGAATCCAAACTCACATCCTCTGGAGGAAGTCCAAGGAAAGGCTCATGGATTTCGTGAACCTCGGCCATCTTTCAAATCGTCTGTAAAATTAAACTGTAGCGGTGTTCATCACGGATACAGAATGCAATACACGAAGAAAAAAGCTCATGAGGGTGGAACGAATTATAAAACTTCGGTCGGATAAATAGTTTATTTTCAATACTTTTCGTCTGAATCAGGTACATAATGTACGTAGATTCCAACTATAACTACAAGTTTTTTGCTTCACAACAAAACTGCATTAAGCATTTCTATCGGTAAAATGTGGCTAACCAATCGGAAAATCAAGAACTTTCGAAGCAGCTTAAAAAACCTCAAAATTTATTCGAAATTTATATTTAAAAATGGGATGATACAAAAAAATATACACTCAGTTCTGAATAATTTATGTTATAAATGTGTAGGGAACTAAATCATTGAAAAAAACTATCCGATTGAAATGTTAAACTGAAAAATGAACAAGTTACACTATTTAGAAAAAACCGGCAGAAAAGACAAGACAAACGAAAATTCAACTTGGAGCGATTTTTCTAAGCTACACTCAGAGAAAAGCAACGACTGGAACCTTTCTTATTTCTTATCAGTACTAGCTGCAGTCTATGTCTAGTTAAATCTCGTATATAACGAAAGAACCTTCTTGGAGGATTAGGAAATTAACCGAAAAAACCCGCGCGGTCGATTTTTCAAAATATGTTGTGGGCGTGGCATTTTTGCAGAACGCGCGAGAGAAGACGGCACATTACAAAAATTATGGACTTGCGCGTAATACATCTCTGTATAACCATTATGGCGTGTTCATCAGAGAAATATTTCGAAACGGAACATGCACCCAACATAATTGCCGATATCGCAGCGGGCCACACGCGATATAGCCAAGGCTTCTCGCTGCGATCTCGTCAACATGACGCTGCGACCTCGTCAAAGTCTCGCTGCCATATCGCTCCCTCTTAAAATTTTTGACATTTGAAAAAAAAATTTTTTTGCTTTATTTTTTTGACTTTTTATGGTGAAATCAATCGAATTCAAGAAAAAAACATTTTTTTGAAGAAAAAAATTTTTTTCAGAGAGCGATATAGCGCAAGACGTTTGCGAGGTCGTAGCGAGAGGCGAGCGATATCGCTCGCGGCTCCCCCGCGGTATAGCGTTACTCCCGCTGCTATATAGCCCACAAAATTGGGTGATGCTGTAAAACGAAAAATCGTGTTCATCGGCGCGCCAAAGTTGCTCCAAAACATGTTTGAAAACGGGTCAACCAGCTGTGCCAAGACGGGTTTAATACGGGGGCACCCGCGGAGACCCCGTGTTAGCCCAACGGTCAACCCGTTTTAGCCCAGCTGGGTTACCCTGCTCAGCATGCGAGTACTGCAGTACTAATTTTTGTTTTGGAGCAATTTTCCTGCGTTTCGAAGCAATTTTCGTTTTGTCCGATGAACACGCCATTAAGAAAAACTGACGAGATAAACGCGAGGTCGGTGGCGGTACATTGACGAACTCGCAAACATCTCAGGCACTGGTGCGCGCACGCGCGGGGGTACTGGTTCTTTTTTCGCCTTTTCCCCTGAAATAAGGTTTTGAAATATATTTTTTATATTTTTTTGATATTACCCAGTGCCCCTGCTCACGTTTTAAAGTTGTTCCGAGCACTTTCGAACAAATTTATGAAAAAAAGTTGCCAAGTGAAACTTTGATATTTCACATTTTTTTGTGCAATCTAATTGTTATAAACTAGTGCAGAGCAATGTTAAGAGATGAACAGACATGAAAAATATTAAATTTATAAATTCAATTAGTTAAAAAGCTAAAAAACAAGAGAGACACCCCGCGCGTGCGCGCAGCAGGCGGCGCGCATGCGCACTTTTGGCAACAAACACGCGCCGTCAGTGCCTGAGATGTCGCTTTTTTCTAGGCGCGATCTCGCATTTTTCTCGGCGTGACCTCGCATTTATCTTGCCTTTCAGAAAATTTTCAAATTGCGAGAGAAATGCGAGCTCGCGCCCAGAAAAATGCGAGACCGGCGCGAGAAAAATAAGCGAGATGTTTGCGAGCTCGTCAATGTACCGCCAGCGTCTCGCGTTTATCTCCTCGCATGCTGAGCAGGTGTCTCAACGGGTGTACCCGTATTGAACCCGTGTTTCTGAGGTTATTTTAGTCTCAGTTGGGCTAAAACGGGGGAACAACGGGTGTAAGAAAAATAGGTAAATCAGCTGGGCTAAAGCGGGGTCTCAGTTGGGCTAAAAAGTGCCAAAAGTTCTATCAGCTGGGCTTATACGGGTTTAATACGGGGGCACCCGCGGAGACCCCGTGTTAGCACGGCGGGGTTACCCTGCTCAGCATGCGAGCTCGGCAGTTATTCTTAGTGATAGTGACGGCAAAATAACAAAGTACGGTCGTTCAAAGTAACTTTAGAAATTTAAAGTTTGAGGTTTTGTCGTTTATAGAAATTCCCCGAAACACGGAAAAAGGGATTATTTTCGAAACCAAAAAAATCGGTTTTACTGGGCCCTAAGGAGGTTTAGCGACTTTCAAGCACGATATAAAAAATTTCGTTAATAAATCTCAAATTAGTTTTAACCTCCAAAAAAAAGCCGTTCTTGAACTTGTCGAAATTACTTTAAACACGGCATCAGATAGGTAGTACGAAGATAGGCCAAGAAAGGCAATTTTTTTTTGATCTGGGACGTTAGGCTATTAGCCAATAGTAGCAGAGGTAAAACGGAAAAGTTCCTTCGAGGATCATCAAAAGATACTGTCATAGGTTCTTTTATGAATCCCCTGATATTTTTTTCCGGTTGCTTTTACAATATTTTTTTATATGAAGCATATGAAAAAAAGATGCAAAAGTGAAATAATATTATATATTTTATTATAATAAAGATATATTGGTATCCCTTGAAGTTGTTTTTTTGAAAAAAACTTTCTGAAGAGCTTTTCCGTTTTGCAGGACTTACATGTTCATTGTTGCCACCTATCAAAAAACTTTTCTCTATTCGAATTTTACATTTTTCCGTTAGTAAACTTTCTTTAGCCTTCGGTGGAACTTTTAATGAACCTTTGCTGAAGTTTTTTTTTGAGACAGCCTGTTAAAAAAATTGCGATTGATATTTTTACCGAGTTTAAATGTTTTTCCTTAATTTTTTAAGCTATCATTTTTTTTATCACTTTCAGGCTCAGAACGATGAATTTAGGATTATGTGAACAAAATCAATTCGGACTTCGCCACCCTATTGGCCAGCGGCAACGTCAGCCACCGAACGGAGAAGGTGAGTTAATTTTATTTTGAGTATAGACTTAGTAATAACAAACAATTTTTTTCTTTTTTTAGTAAAAAAATTAAAAATACTTCCATGTAAATTGTATTTTTTTATTGATAAAAAAAGGCTTTTTTTGTAAAAAAATACGTCCCATACGTTGAGGAAAAAAACTTCAACAACGCTTGTTGATTGAATAAAAATTGAATTAAATCAAAACCAAAAATGAACTTACTACCAATTTTTTTTCACCTGTTTCATTTTATTCATTCAGTGCCGTCTGTTTCAGGTTTTCTTCATTTTAGTTTTCCTCTGTACTTTAGACGGTCGTGAGCTTTTTTTGCTTTTTGGACAACACTTCCACTTTTTTTATAAATTACTTTATTCATAGAATGTACGAAAGCAACGAATTTGTACAACAACGTTTGTGCGTATAGAAGACGAGTTCATGCTTCATGCTGTAAATATAGAGGTTATTATTCTCGATTTAATTGAGTATTTAGAGAAGTGTTAGCTTTTGGGGTTCGCGTTCGTTAGCTAACAATTAAACTGCTTTTAGTGCGACACCCCAACCAACAAAACGAGCTCTACGTTTGCTAGGCACATTCTTGTTGTAATCAATGTTAAAAAGCTGACCGTTAGCATATCCAGTAGAACTTTGAGCCGAGAAATCCTGAGAGTTTCTGGCACGATCAGAAGTCACGCCAGATGGCGCTCCCAGAGTGACGATCGACTTCGTGCTTTGCACACCAATGAGAGAACCTCGAGAAGTGTCTTGTCCGGCGAACTCATATCCGCCGCTTTGCAGCGTCGAAGCAGATTTGTCTTGAGCGACACCGCCGTTTTTCGGGTCATTTTTGGCGCCCTTCGTCTGAGAAGAAGCAGCGTGAAGTCCTGCTTTGTAGCCTGCAGCATAGGCGTTTGCGGCATCATTTATGCCAGGGGCACCTGCGGAAGCGTAACTTCCTGCGTTGTACCGCGAAGCACCGCCAATGACTGCTTCATTTCCATTTGAGCCCCCGATCTTTCCTTTTCCAGTGTTTCCGTCAGCAGATCCGTCATAGCCAGCAGCATCTCCATTGGCAGATCCTGAAGCTCCTCCGTTCACTCCGTTGGCTCCATTAGCTCCGCCAGTCGACGATCCTTGTCTTCCAGATGCGCTGCCGTTCTGTCCGTTCTGGCTACCGTCAGCAGATCCGTCATATCCAGCAGCATCTCCATTGGCAGATCCTGAAGCTCCTCCGTTGGCTCCATTAGCTCCGCCAGTCGACGATCCTTGTCTTCCAGATGCGCCGCCGTTCTGACCGTTCTGGCCGTTCTGGCTTCCGTCAGCAGATCCGTCATATCCAGCAGCATCTCCATTGGCAGATCCTGAAGCTCCTCCGTTGGCTCCGTTAGCTCCGTTGGCTCCATTAGCTCCGCCTGTCGACGATCCTTGTCTTCCAGGTGCGCCGCCGTTCTGGCCGTTCTGGCTTCCGTCAGCGGATCCGTCATATCCAGCAGCATCTCCATTGGCAGATCCTGAAGCTCCTCCGTTGGCTCCGTTAGCTCCGTTGGCTCCATTAGCTCCGCCTGTCGACGATCCTTGTCTTCCAGGTGCGCCGCCGTTCTGGCCGTTCTGGCTTCCGTCAGCGGATCCGTCATATCCAGCAGCATCTCCATTGGCAGATCCTGAAGCTCCTCCGTTGGCTCCATTAATTCCGCCAGTCGACGATCCTTGTCTTCCAGATGCGCTGCCATTCTGGCCGTTCTGGCTTCCGTCAGCGGATCCGTCATATCCAGCAGCATCTCCATTGGCAGATCCTGAAGCTCCTCCGTTCACTCCATTAGGTCCATTAGCTCCGCCAGTCGACGATCCTTGTCTTCCAGATGCGCTGCCATTCTGGCCGTTCTGGCTTCCGTCAGCGGATCCGTCATATCCAGCAGCATCTCCATTGGCAGATCCTGAAGCTCCTCCGTTGGCTCCATTAATTCCGCCAGTCGACGATCCTTGTCTTCCAGATGCGCTGCCATTCTGGCCGTTCTGGCTTCCGTCAGCGAATCCGTCATATCCAGCAGCATCTCCATTGGCAGATCCTGAAGCTCCTCCGTTGGCTCCGTTGGCTCCATTAGCTCCGCCAGTTGACGATCCTTGTCTTCCAGATGCGCCGCCGTTCTGGCCGTTCTGGCTTCCGTCAGCAGATCCGTCATATCCAGCAGCATCTCCATTGGCAGATCCTGAAGCTCCTCCGTTGGCTCCATTAGCTCCGCCAGTCGAAGATCCTTGTCTTCCAGATGCGCTGCCATTCTGGCCGTTCTGGCTTCCGTCAGCAGATCCGTCATATCCAGCAGCATCTCCATTGGCAGATCCTGAAGCTCCTCCGTTCACACCGTTGGCTCCATTAGCTCCGCCAGTCGACGATCCTTGTCTTCCAGATGCGCTGCCGTTCTGGCTTCCGTCAGCAGATCCGTCATATCCAGCAGCATCTCCATTGGCAGATCCTGAAGCTCCTCCGATGGCTCCATTAGCTCCGCCAGTCGAAGATCCTTGTCTTCCAGATGCGCTGCCGTTCTGTCCGTTCTGGCTACCGTCAGCAGATCCGTCATATCCAGCAGCATCTCCATTGGCAGATCCTGAAGCTTCTCCGTTGGCTCCATTAGCTCCGCCAGTCGAAGATCCTTGTCTTCCAGATGCGCTGCCATTCTGGCCGTTCTGGCTTCCGTCAGCAGATCCGTCATATCCAGCAGCATCTCCATTGGCAGATCCTGAAGCTCCTCCGTTCACTCCGTTGGCTCCATTAGCTCCGCCAGTCGACGATCCTTGTCTTCCAGATGCGCTGCCGTTCTGTCCGTTCTGGCTACCGTCAGCAGATCCGTCATATCCAGCAGCATCTCCATTGGCAAATCCTGAAGCTCCTCCGTTGGCTCCATTAGCTCCGCCAGTCGAAGATCCTTGTCTTCCAGATGCGCTGCCATTCTGGCCGTTCTGGCTACCGTTAGCAGATCCGTCATAGCCAGCAGCATCTCCATTGGCAGATCCTGAAGCTCCTCCGTTCACTCCATTAGCTCCATTAGCTCCGCCTGTCGACGATCCTTGTCTTCCAGATGCGCTGCCATTCTGGCCGTTCTGGCTTCCGTCAGCGGATCCGTCATATCCAGCAGCATCTCCATTGGCAGATCCTGAAGCTCCTCCGTTGGCTCCGTTGGCTCCATTAGCTCCGCCAGTCGACGACCCTTGTCTTCCAGATGCGCTGCCGTTTTGGCCGTTCTGGCTACCGTCAGCAGATCCGTCATAGCCAGCAGCATCTCCATTGGCAGATCCTGAAGCTCCTCCGTTGGCTCCGTTGGCTCCGTTGGCTCCGTTGGCTCCATTAGCTCCGCCTGTCGACGATCCTTGTCTTCCAGATGCGCTGCCATTCTGGCCGTTCTGGCTTCCGTCAGCGGATCCGTCATATCCAGCAGCATCTCCATTGGCAGATCCTGAAGCTCCTCCGTTGGCTCCGTTGGCTCCATTAGCTCCGCCAGTCGACGATCCTTGTCTTCCAGATGCGCTGCCATTCTGGCCGTTCTGGCTTCCGTCAGCGGATCCGTCATATCCAGCAGCATCTCCATTGGCAGATCCTGAAGCTCCTCCGTTGGCTCCTTTGGCTCCATTAGCTCCGCCAGTCGACGATCCTTGTCTTCCAGATGCGCTGCCATTCTGGCCGTTCTGGCTACCGTCAGCAGATCCGTCATAGCCAGCAGCATCTCCATTGGCAGATCCTGAAGCTCCTCCGTTGGCTCCGTTGGCTCCATTAGCTCCGCCAGTCGACGATCCTTGTCTTCCAGATGCGCTGCCATTCTGGCCATTCTGGCTTCCGTCAGCAGATCCGTCATATCCAGCAGCATCTCCATTGGCAGATCCTGAAGCTCCTCCGTTCACTCCATTAGCTCCATTTGCTCCGCCAGTCGACGATCCTTGTCTTCCAAATGCGCTGCCATTCTGGCCGTTCTGGCTTCCGTCAGCGGATCCCTCATATCCAGCAGCATCTCCATTGGCAGATCCAGAAGCTCCTCCGTTGGCTCCGTTGGCTCCATTAGCTCCGCCAGTCGACGATCCTTGTCTTCCAGATGCGCTGCCATTCTGGCCATTCTGGCTTCCGTCAGCAGATCCGTCATATCCAGCAGCATCTCCATTGGCAGATCCTGAAGCTCCTCCGTTGGCTCCATTAGCTCCGCCAGTCGACGTTCCTTGTCTTCCAGATGCGCTGCCATTCTGGCTTCCGTCAGCAGATCCGTCATATCCAGCAGCATCTCCATTGGCAGATCCTGAAGCTCCTCCGTTCACTCCGTTGGCTCCATTAGCTCCGCCAGTCGACGATCCTTGTCTTCCAGATGCGCTGCCATTCTGGCCGTTCTGGCTACCGTCAGCAGATCCGTCATAGCCAGCAGCATCTCCATTGGCAGATCCTGAAGCTCCTCCGTTGGCTCCGTTGGCTCCGCCAGTCGACGATCCTTGTTTTCCAGATGCGCTGCCGTTTTGGCCGTTCTGGCTACCGTCAGCAGATCCGTCATAGCCAGCAGCATCTCCATTGGCAGATCCTGAAGCTCCTCCGTTGGCTCCGTTGGCTCCGTTAGCTCCGTTGGCTCCATTAGCTCCGCCTGTCGACGATCCTTGTCTTCCAGATGCGCCGCCGTTCTGGCCATTCTGGCTTCCGTCAGCAGATCCGTCATATCCAGCAGCATCTCCATTGGCATATCCTGAAGCTCCTCCGTTGGCTCCGTTGGCTCCATTAGCTCCGCCAGTCGACGATCCTTGTCTTCCAGATGCGCTGCCATTCTGGCCATTCTGGCTTCCGTCAGCAGATCCGTCATATCCAGCAGCATCTCCATTGGCAGATCCTGAAGCTCCTCCGTTGGCTCCATTAGCTCCGCCAGTCGACGTTCCTTGTCTTCCAGATGCGCTGCCATTCTGGCTTCCGTCAGCAGATCCGTCATATCCAGCAGCATCTCCATTGGCAGATCCTGAAGCTCCTCCGTTCACTCCGTTGGCTCCATTAGCTCCGCCAGTCGACGATCCTTGTCTTCCAGATGCGCTGCCGTTCTGTCCGTTCTGGCTACCGTCAGCAGATCCGTCATATCCAGCAGCATCTCCATTGGCAGATCCTGAAGCTCCTCCGTTGGCTCCATTAGCTCCGCCAGTCGAAGATCCTTGTCTTCCAGATGCGCTGCCATTCTGGCCGTTCTGGCTTCCGTCAGCGGATCCGTCATAGCCAGCAGCATCTCCATTGGCAGATCCTGAAGCTCCTCCGTTGGCTCCGTTGGCTCCGTTAGCTCCGTTGGCTCCATTAGCTCCGCCTGTCGACGATCCTTGTCTTCCAGATGCGCCGCCGTTCTGGCCATTCTGGCTTCCGTCAGCAGATCCGTCATATCCAGCAGCATCTCCATTGGCAGATCCTGAAGCTCCTCCGTTCACTCCATTAGCTCCATTAGCTCCGCCAGTCGACGATCCTTGTCTTCCAGATGCGCTGCCGTTCTGTCCGTTCTGGCTACCGTCAGCAGATCCGTCATATCCAGCAGCATCTCCATTGGCAGATCCTGAAGCTCCTCCGTTGGCTCCATTAGCTCCGCCAGTCGAAGATCCTTGTCTTCCAGATGCGCTGCCATTCTGGCCGTTCTGGCTTCCGTCAGCGGATCCGTCATAGCCAGCAGCATCTCCATTGGCAGATCCTGAAGCTCCTCCGTTGGCTCCATTAATTCCGCCAGTCGACGATCCTTGTCTTCCAGATGCGCTGCCATTCTGGCCATTCTGGCTTCCGTCAGCAGATCCGTCATATCCAGCAGCATCTCCATTGGCAGATCCTGAAGCTCCTCCGTTCACTCCATTAGGTCCATTAGCTCCGCCAGTCGACGATCCTTGTCTTCCAGATGCGCTGCCATTCTGGCCGTTCTGGCTTCCGTCAGCGGATCCGTCATATCCAGCAGCATCTCCATTGGCAGATCCTGAAGCTCCTCCGTTGGCTCCATTAATTCCGCCAGTCGACGATCCTTGTCTTCCAGATGCGCTGCCATTCTGGCCGTTCTGGCTTCCGTCAGCGAATCCGTCATATCCAGCAGCATCTCCATTGGCAGATCCTGAAGCTCCTCCGTTGGCTCCGTTGGCTCCATTAGCTCCGCCAGTTGACGATCCTTGTCTTCCAGATGCGCCGCCGTTCTGGCCGTTCTGGCTTCCGTCAGCAGATCCGTCATATCCAGCAGCATCTCCATTGGCAGATCCTGAAGCTCCTCCGTTGGCTCCATTAGCTCCGCCAGTCGACGATCCTTGTCTTCCAGATGCGCTGCCATTCTGGCCGTTCTGGCTTCCGTCAGCAGATCCGTCATATCCAGCAGCATCTCCATTGGCAGATCCTGAAGCTCCTCCGTTCACTCCGTTGGCTCCATTAGCTCCGCCAGTCGACGATCCTTGTCTTCCAGATGCGCTGCCGTTCTGGCCGTTCTGGCTACCGTCAGCAGATCCGTCATAGCCAGCAGCATCTCCATTGGCAGATCCTGAAGCTCCTCCGTTGGCTCCGTTGGCTCCATTAGCTCCGCCAGTTGACGATCCTTGTCTTCCAGATGCGCTGCCGTTCTGGCCGTTCTGGCTACCGTCAGCAGATCCGTCATAGCCAGCAGCATCTCCATTGGCAGATCCTGAAGCTCCTCCGTTGGCTCCGTTGGCTCCATTAGCTCCGCCAGTTGACGATCCTTGTCTTCCAGATGCGCCGCCGTTCTGGCCGTTCTGGCTTCCGTCAGCAGATCCGTCATATCCAGCAGCATCTCCATTGGCAGATCCTGAAGCTCCTCCGTTCACTCCGTTGGCTCCGTTAGCTCCGTTGGCTCCATTAGCTCCGCCTGTCGACGATCCTTGTCCTCCAGATGCGCCGCCGTTCTGGCCGTTGTGGCTTCCGTCAGCAGATCCGTCATATCCAGCAGCATCTCCATTGGCAGATCCTGAAGCTCCTCCGTTCACTCCATTGGCTTCGTTAGCTCCGTTGGCTCCATTAGCTCCGCCAGTCGACGATCCTTGTCTTCCAGATGCGCTGCCGTTCTGTCCGTTCTGGCTACCGTCAGCAGATCCGTCATATCCAGCAGCATCTCCATTGGCAGATCCTGAAGCTCCTCCGTTGGCTCCATTAGCTCCGCCAGTCGACGATCCTTGTTTTCCAGATGCGCCGCCGTTCTGACCGTTCTGGCCGTTCTGGCCGTTCTGGCTTCCGTCAGCAGATCCGTCATATCCAGCAGCATCTCCATTGGCAGATCCTGAAGCTCCTCCGTTCGCTCCATTAGCTCCATTAGCTCCGCCAGTCGACGATCCTTGTCTTCCAGATGCGCCGCCGTTCTGGCCGTTCTGGCTTCCGTCAGCAGATCCGTCATATCCACCAGCATCTCCATTGGCAGATCCTGAAGCTCCTCCGTTCACTCCATTAGCTCTATTAGCTCCGCCAGTCGACGATCCTTGTCTTCCAGATGCGCCGCCGTTCTGGCCGTTCTGGCTTCCGTCAGCAGATCCGTCATATCCAGCAGCATCTCCATTGGCAGATCCTGAAGCTCCTCCGTTCACTCCGTTGGCTCCGTTAGCTCCGTTGGCTCCATTAGCTCCGCCTGTCGACGATCCTTGTCCTCCAGATGCGCCGCCGTTCTGGCCGTTCTGGCTTCCGTCAGCGGATCCGTCATATCCAGCAGCATCTCCATTGGCAGATCCTGAAGCTCCTCCGTTGGCTCCGTTAGCTCCGCCAGTCGACGATCCTTGTTTTCCAGATGCGCCGCCGTTCTGACCGTTCTGGCCGTTCTGGCCGTTCTGGCTTCCGTCAGCAGATCCGTCATATCCAGCAGCATCTCCATTGGCAGATCCTGAAGCTCCTCCGTTGGCTCCGTTAGCTCCGTTGGCTCCATTAGCTCCGCCTGTCGACGATCCTTGTCTTCCAGGTGCGCCGCCGTTCTGGCCGTTCTGGCTTCCGTCAGCGGATCCGTCATATCCAGCAGCATCTCCATTGGCAGATCCTGAAGCTCCTCCGTTGGATCCGTTAGCTCCGTTGGCTCCATTAGCTCCGCCTGTCGACGATCCTTGTCTTCCAGGTGCGCCGCCGTTCTGGCCGTTCTGGCCGTTCTGGCTTCCGTCAGCGGATCCGTCATATCCAGCAGCATCTCCATTGGCAGATCCTGAAGCTCCTCCGTTGGCTCCATTAGCTCCGCCTGTCGACGATCCTTGTCTTCCAGGTGCGCTGCCGTTCTGGCCGTTCTGGCTTCCGTCAGCAGATCCGTCGTAGCCAGCAGCACCTTCGTTGCGAGCAGAGTTACCTGCAGTGGTTGACTGTCTCACTGCCTGTTCATTGATAATTCCTGGTGGAGAACCAGTCTTTCTAGACTCTGCTCCAGAATTCCTGCCTTTGTTCTCTGTCACTGCGGCGTCTGCCCCGTATCCACTGCTGACGAGCTGCGTCCCGCTGTCGCTTTGAACGACGGCTGCGTCGTTTGCAAAAGATGCTCTAATCATTTCGCGAGCCTGTTTTTGATTCGCCACTTCGGGACGGAACTTGAAAACATCCACAAAGTTCTTGTCGTCGATGTCTTTGATAGGGTAGATTCCCGTTGGCTGGAAAAAAGAAAACTTGAAATCTTTTTATTCTCTGCTCATAATCTCACCGTATTGACGGCGAGTTCTCCTGTAGATTGGGCTTGTCTGAGAGCAGCCAGCGTGCATTTGACTTTCTCTCTAAAATATTATCAAGCATAAAATTTCGATGTATGTTGTATAAAGTACTTCTAAAAAAAAACTGTGGGATAGTTCAAAGTAGGAATACCGCACAAATTGATATCGAGAAAAGTTTTTTATTAATTTGATGGTTCACCAAAGGATATAAAGACCTTCGAAAGAATAAGATTTTTATTATCAACTGATACGAAAAAAGAAAGATGAGTTTGGCCACTTTTTCAGGTATATAGAAAAAAATGATTGAATTAAAAAAACTCACTGGGTATTAGATAATAAGTATTATACGGATAATATACTATTACTTTTCAAACTTTGAACGAATTGAAACTTCTTGTTGAAGGGCGGTGTTCAAACAAAACATCGAAAAATATTCTGAAGTTTACTAAATTTTCGAGTTTCGGTCTCCAGCTTTGGAGTCCTTTTCTGGGCGCGTTAATTAAACTTCTCAATTTTCTCCTAACTGTTGAAGTGTGGTAACTTTACAATGTAAATCTGATTTTTTTAAAAATATTGACTTGCAGGAGAGAATATAATAAAGGCGAATGTCTTAATCAGAGTTTTTTTCGTAGAATACCCAGAAAGTCGTGCGTTGATAAAAAGCATGGAATCAAATTTTCATCGCGAAATACTTTGAAAGATGAACAAGAAATTTCTCAAAATTATCAGCCCAAGAAATTTGAAAAAACATAAGAGATTGTTGAAATACATTTTCACTGTTTTTTGATCAAGTTTTTAGGTGGTTTTTCTTTTTTTCATTGCGAAACACCAAAAAATATTTTACAAGAACAAAATTTATTTTTGAAGGGGTGTTTTGATATTTTCCACTGTATCAGAATTGGAAGGTCCTCAGAGAATCGTTTATTTTCATTTTCGGAAAATGCAAAATGGACTCTGACTTTCCGAAATATTTCCATACTGTGGAATCATTTTGAACACGGCATTAGAGCATTTTTTTTTTTGATGGTCGATTCGTTTGGCAACAATTGTCATAACTAAGACAACACTGACTTTTATGAAAAGAAGTTTTCTAGGCTACTGAAAAGGAGCCTATCAAAACCAGGTCAAAATAAATTTTCAAAAAGTCTCGGGTCGGGGGTTCTCAATTCGTAACCTTTGAATAAAGGTAATTACCCAACGCCAATATGGCATCGAAAACATTTTTCGTCGGAAGATTCGAACATGAAGAGCAAGAGACTGTAACTAACATGATTGGTGCAGGTGCAGTGAAACCGCCGCCAGCGAAGAACACGACAGTCACGAGCACGGGAAGACTTCTCATGGTGCGACGACGTCTTCAGCCGAATCTCCTGGCGATGCTTAAGTACGCGCGGCCAGTGGGCCGGCCCCGTGGTTTCTTTCTGCACTCTCATCGTCTTTTTCAAGTTTAGGAACAAGCGTGAGCGCGAAAAAACAGCCGCCGAAGAAGTTCGTCCCTCCCCTTGCCTCCGTCCGCGGTAACACCGTTTTGGTATGGTTATCTTTTCTCTCGGTTTGTCGATGATATCTTAGTGATTTTGCTAGTAGGACGAAAAAAGGTGCTCGAAGAACTTTTTTCCCCCGCTTCCGTTCAAAATTGACCGTAAACGATTCTTTCAAAACCTTGTTTATTTGGGAGATCTTGGAAAATATATATGAAAACTTCAAAAAAAAAAAGTTCAAATCTGTACTTTTTGAGTTTCGACGCTTCAAAATTCTAGGCTGCGACTTTCAAGCTTTCGGAAGATGAGAAGCTGTTTTTTTAGATTTTTATTATTACCATATAAACATTTTGTCATTATTAACGTTTTTCAACTTTTTCTATAATATTTATACTACTGCGAAATCGACCCTTGTTTATTGATGTGATAGAAAACGACAACAAGGGAAGAAAAGACGGAGAAAGCTTACAAAAGTGCCGAAATGAGGCGTCAAAATCCAGATTTTCAAGTGCTTTCGTGTCACTTTCGCCCTCCTAGCCATAGGACTGCCCGGTAATTCGCGTTTTTTCGAGACATCTTTTTGGAAGGGAAATCAACAAGCGGTTGATGTTGCGGAGAAAGAAAGAAAGGCTTGTCCTTGGGAATTTGACTGTTTTGCATATTTTGCAACCTTGCAGCTTTTTTTTTTCGAGGCGAGAAACCAGAGAAACTGATTTTTTCTTCGAAATCTGCGTTTCAGTTTGAAATTAGGCGATTCAGAGCAATTATACAGAGGTTTGATGAGTAATTAAACCTCCATAAGAATAAAAGATTCCATCACTTGGGATTAAATTTAGAAGACGTTAATTTAAAATTATTCTGAAAATTTGGTCGCCAGATGTAGTCGCTCGAAGTTTCAGCCTGCAAAGAGATCCAAGCTTTCGAAAATGGAGACTCAAGATCAAGTAGAATTGTTATTTTAACTTTCAAATGGCGAGTTTTGGGCTTCTCCTTCTCAAAAATCATCTCTCTGTCAAGGCTGAGACTCTCAAGATATTCATTCATCAGAATTTCCGTAGCTTGAACTCTGGTAATGTTGGATCCACTATACTGAAGCTTATCTTCATCAATTTCGAACTAACCTCACATTTAATAACGATTCGGCAATAGAGGGAAACATCAAAGCGATTTTTAATTTGAACAAAATGAGGGTCGCTCCGCAATTCGATTCTTCTCGGATCAGATTAGCCTTCGAGGATCGGGAGTGGCATCAGGAGAAGACCGCAACAACTCGAGGTGTCGTCTCCTCTTTGCCGATCGCCATCTCCGTTGATTTTGGCCGAGAGCAACTGGTTCGATCACGTCATTCGTCTAAATTGAGGCTTTCCGAGAAGGCCCTCGAGCTTTTCATCAGGAAGAGACGTTAGTAGTACTCCAATTAGAGAAAAATAGACAAAATTTTCAGATTGAAGTGACTTGAGGACCAGAAAAAGCTCAGACGATTCCGATTCACACAGTCTGAAATGGTATGAAAATTTTCAGAAATTTCTTAAAACAGGCAGAAATTTTATTATTCTTTTTTCGTACCTTTTCAATAGTTTTGCTTTACTCATTTCCATGAAAGTTAGAAACAGAGTTCAAACCATTATTGATACGTTTAACACTGAAATATGAAATAAAGCGTTCTGGGTTTTTTTTCTATCGATTTTGACAATGTTCATCTCCTGTTTGAGCTCGTTTTGATGATGTTTTCAGAAAATTTGAACCAGAGAAACACCTTTTTTCTTCTTCCTTACTATACTCAATTCCAATAAAAACGCACTACTGTAGTGAAACCTTGTTTCTGTTAGTTTAATTAGTTCCCATAAAAGGAGTGTCAACGAGTTCTCAATTAAACACGCAGTTGAATCTGTTGGACTGCCTGGCTGGGTAGCGCCGTAATTGCAAACGAACTACTGTTTTTTGTGCGCCGCTTTCTTCTAGCCGCCTTCCCGGATCGGCGCAGAAGGCCTAATAATCATAACGATAATCATAAGGATTTTATGGACCTCCCACGGAGACGAGTCCAACAAACGACACCGAAGTCCTAAATTGGCTTCTACTATCGCCGCCGACGACGGCCATTTCGAGTCTTCTTTGGGAAAACGGACCCTGAAAGAAGGTCTTCCGTTCATAAATGTCGTAATTAAACATTAAAGTTGAGCTTTTAATCTTTCCGGACATTAAATAAATGGAAACTCCGAACTCGTTTGAAGTATTTCATTTGTAACCCATATTAATAAATATTCTAAATATGTATGACTAGATTAAGTTTAGATTATTCTGTGAGGTGCAGAAACTTTTTTTTTTTGGAACCAAAATCTAGCTATAAGTCCAGTTGCAACAAATTATTATTAGAAAATTATTTTATTCATCTTAATATTTTTTTTTGTTTCCTCTGAGATCTACAAGTGGTGAAGTTAAAGGAAATAGAAACTTTTTAAAAACTGACTTTTGTGTTCCAAGCAACAGAAATCGTATATTATCTTAATAACGGTGGAAATTGTCTAAAAATTCTTATGAAACTTTTCTACGTTTTTTCAAACAGCCTAGACAGAATTTCAAGCATGTATGAGTAGTATGACTGTTGAAAACTCCAGAAAAGAAAAATATCAAACATTGTATTTTAAGTCAATGATAAACTTTCCGCGTTTCATTTCTTCCCCCTGATGTTTCTAACCACAGAAATGAAGTTCAGCTGAAAATTCGGAAACCTCATTTATCGCCAGAATCGCCATAATTCAACTTTTTCTCTTGAGAGATAGTTCCGAGCGATAAACCGCTGTTCGAAGTTCAATGAAACATCCATCGAGTTGATTCGTCTAGAAGAATAAATAGGCGTAAATTTTAATAAGAGATACCAATTATCAACAAAAAAATATTATTGACGAGAAAAATTAAAGGCGAAGTTTAGCTCTCAAAAAGTCTAAGAAATTTCATTTTGACGAAAATTGTGTTTTATGTTTTATTACCCAACAAAACCTAAATCGAAAGTCTAGTAAAAGTGGATCGTTATCCGTGATTGAATCTTTGACGCCGAAGAATCGAAAAGAATGGCAGGACCCAGCGAAACTTTTTTTTTCGATTCGAAATGACCGTCGGATCGAACGAGATCTGTTGTCAAATTGCATAGCTTGCAGAGTGTTATAGCTTATTCTCGCAGTTCCCAACTTTCTTTTGTGCGAAAAAGTTTTATTCATGGGGCGAAAAATATACAAAAATTGAATAACTAAGAAAAAAAACAATACCGATTTCTAAAGAGTTCCACTTTTTGAATTTTCCAAATTGTTCCTAATGTCTTCGGAGGATTGTACTCAATATTTAAGATGCGATTGTGAAATAAAAAGGATCATAAAGTTGCAAGATTATGCTTCAGAGAATTTTTCGGCTTGTAAGGATAAAATTGTGAGAAATTATTGAAAAAAAATAGTACGAGTTAGATTTTATGAACCTGTACGTCAGCCATTTACCATTTTCGATTAGAAATAATATTTTTATCTCCCTTTGATAAGATGCTTGACCTCGATAGCAAGCTTTATTTATTTTCCTAAACAGCCGACTATAGTTATCATTCCGAACACTTCAAAACCACAGAATTTAACTTTAAGTTTTCACCTTCACCCGTTTTCAAACAAAAGTTTCCATTCAACCCTACAAACGTCACTCTCTAGAAAGTTCAGCGCCACCTGAGAAAAAGAAAATCAAAAAGCTCAGACGTTGGAACAAATGTTGCCATTTAATGGTGTGAGTCTCGGGTCTGAGAAAAAAAAAGAAAAAGACACGAGGAATCGAAATAATCGGCTCAAAAGTTGGGAAAGATTTCTTTGCAGTCTTTCGGAAAATTTCAAACAACTTCCTTCATTCAAAAAAAGTGTTCAAAGTTTATAAAAAAAATCAAAAAAATTTGCTCTTTAGGTTATCTTTTTTTATGACTGACTGATTTTTCGAGCTCGCGAGTTAGGTCTGAAACCATTTAGGCGTTTTAAAAATTCTCACGTTGCAACATACTTTTCAAAATATTTCAAAAGGCCTTTGAAGACTTTTGAAAAAATTTCCAGGACCGTGACCATGTAGAGAATTCTCAAACTCTGCAAGTCGGGAAACTGTGAAAAAGTAAAAATTGATTGAAAAAATTTCAAAAGGTTCGCCATTTCCCAACTCTTCCACGTGACTATCTACGACGCCAAGGCGCGTTTCGCCATTTCTCTTTTGATTTCTCGACTCATTTCATTTCTTCCAACAGCCGACGCCGCGTGGCTCGGCCCATTGACCTGACAGTTGTCAGTCGTGATCGATTCGGCCACGCCCCACCTCAAGTTGGTGCACTCGTTCCACTCACTCTGGCCTCGATGGCTGCTCAGTTCGAAGGTGTCGAGAAGGCTCTCGCCGAGGGCCTCGAAGGCCGAAACCTCGAGGAGGTCTACCGCATTTTGTACGGCAGGAAGGCCAGGTTTGCAAACCGCTTTATCGCAAACGTCGAAGGCTTATCTAAGTAGGGAGGTCATTTTAGTTTACGGTTTGGAACTTTCGACAGGTTCGCTCGAATACTTTTTGAAGGTTAAGATATCTGAAAGGCAAATTTTAGTTTTCTAGATTATTTTTTCAAAGTTCGAAAAGAAAAACTCATCTTTCGCCAATTTAAAAGTCATATCTAGAACTAGAAGTTGGCGACTAGGAGTCATCCCCATCTAAATCTTCGAAGAAATTGAGATAATTATCAGAAAATTCGAAGTCGCAAAAGTAAAATGACCTCCCGTGTAAATGAAGCTTTGAAATGAATTAGATTTCTCGTTCATCTCACTATTTTTCTTCATGAAGTTCTATTTCGAAATAAAATAAAGTTAGATCTGAAAAAAATGTTTTTTTGGCAATGCTATTTTGATTTTTCATACAGTATGAATCGTAAATAATCGGTATTTTTCACATTTATTATATAAAAACTTTCTTCCTGGTGTCTATTGTGAGCAACGCCCTTTATTTCTCAGCAATTGAGAATATAAATTCTCCATTTCAGTCGATAAATGTAATTTTACTTATTAATGATGTTAAGTGTTTACGACATCCCGAATGATCTCCGAAAATCGGCCGAAGCGAACAAATTCCAGTTGAGTGGCTACGTCGTCGAGGCTGGCGGCGAGCAGCTCAGAGCTCCTCGGAAGGTTCCTTTTTTTCATTGGTGAAAATTCATCTGGGCCTGTCACAAAAAGCTCTTTTTAGCAGACTTTGTGAGCCAAAAATCACGAAAAATGTCATGTTAAGGTGCGGATAGCCGCGATCCAAAACGCGATAGTCTTGCCGACGACGGCTCCTGTAGAAGAGCAGCGGAACGCGATCCATCAAAGAGTCGGCCTGATGATCGAACACGCCGCTCTCGCCGGAGCCAACATCGTCTGTCTACAGGAGGCCTGGAGTACGTCTTCAACCTTCTGTCCGTCTTCTCATCACTTGAGATTTCAGCTATGCCGTTCGCCTTTTGCACTCGGGAACGTTTGCCTTGGACCGAGTTCGCCGAATCTGCGCTCCATGGCATCACTACGCAGTTCTTGAGCAAGGTTATTTTTGCAACAGCTGAATCGTTAGCTTAACCTCCGGGTTAACAAGAACCTAGTATAGCTGCATTTAAGTGAATTTAGTACGACTGAAATGTTTGCAAACGAGAAAATAGTTTTTCAAGCTTTCTCTGCATTTCTGAGAATTTTTTGCCTTTTTTTTTACTATGAAACATATTTGCAAGTACAGCGAGACAGGAAAGGCATAATTTTCTCCATTTTTTCATTTTTTTTTAGCTGGCTCGCAAGCTTGACATTGTTATCGTGTCGCCGATTCTGGAGCGCGACGAGGAGAAAGATGACGTCATCTGGAACACGGCGGTGATCATCTCCAACCACGGCACAGTCATCGGTCGCACACGGAAGAACCACATTCCTCGAGTTGGCGACTTCAACGAGGTTTGTGGAACTCCAGCTTAGGCGGAATTGAGGCAGGGGCGGGGAAGATGATCGGAAAGTAAATGTCAGTTAGAAGGCTTCAAGAAGTTCTTTAGAAAGGTGTTCAGAAAGTTATTGGAAGGTCAAAAAATGAAAATTACGAGAAGCCTTCGAGCTGGCTTTTAGTAGGTCAGTTAGGAAGCTGAATAGATGAAGCCAAGAACATTTTCTGGAGCCTTTCAAATTTCAAAAGAAAGTAGAAGCCTCTTACAACTCTCCGTACACCCTCCAGACAGCTTCCGGACAGCTTCCAGGATTCTCCAAATATTGATCTGAAGAATAAAGACTGATTTCAGTCGACATACTACATGGAGTCGCAACTCGGCCACCCAGTCTTTGAGACTAAATTCGGCAAGATTGCGGTCAACATCTGTTACGGTCGTCATCATCCTCAGAACTGGATGATGTACGCTTTGAACGGCGCCGAAGTCATCTTCAATCCGTCGGCGACTGTTGGAGGACTCAGGTATGAAAGTAGTTCAGAAATAGAAGAAAAGGTTGTTTTTCTGAAGTTACTCAATTTACTCTGAAAGCAAAAACCGGTGTATTTTATATAGGCCTATGTTCGAAGTTGAAATGCTTCAGAACTCCTAAATTTCGCTGATTTGATCTAACGAAAAATCTTATTGCTGCAGTGAGCCTTTGTGGGGTATCGAGGCGAGGAACGCCGCCATCGCCAACCACGTCTTCACCGTGGCCATCAACCGCGTCGGCACCGAAGTCTTCCCCAACGAGTTCACTTCAGGAAACGGACTTCCAGGTGAAATGCTCCTTCTCAATCATACTCAAAAAACCTTGTGTTTTTTTTTCTGTCTCTTATTTTGTTATTCATTCCGCAATTGGGTTATAAATTTAAAAAAGCATCGTAATGGTCTTAGTTCCGAGATCATTTTCTCTTAACTCGTTTCTTCATTTTGATACTGTTTGTGATTTTAATGAGGACGGATACCAATAATGCCCATATATAAACTGATCATATCTCTTCTTTCAAACTGAAAATATTGGAAATTTTCAGCCCACAAAGACTTCGGTCACTTTTACGGTAGCAGTTACATTGCAGCTCCAGATGGCAGTCGGACGCCGGTTTGATTTTTTTCTTACCTGGAAACATTTTTAAAAAGTTTTTTTCAGAAGAATAAAACAATAACATTCAGAAGAATAACATTTAAAATTATAAATAATTTTATTTTTTTCTGAACGAAAGAGAAATCTCAAAAAAAGTTGGCTTAAAAAGCGACACCTCTCGAGTTAATGAGACGTCTTTTTAAAAAAATAAGATTTTTTTAGATTGAAAGGAGAAAAAAATGATTCGATTTTTTTCCGGAAATCTTTCATCGTCGGAATTTCAGAGTCTTTCCCGGGTAGAGGAAGGCGTCCTGATAGCTGAAGTCGACCTAAATTTGTGTCGCCAAACCAAAGACAACTGGGGATTCAGAGTGGGTTTTTCTTTTTTGAATTTAGAAGTTCTTTCAAAAGATCCGTGAGTATCAAAATCTTTATGATATAGAATTTTTTTGGTCTCACCGAGAGGTGACTCTATTCAGAGAAGAACTTTCCAAAATTTAGCTGGAAAGCTTTTTTATTGAGAACCAACAGTTGATAAGTATCAATGGAAAAACAAGCTAGCAAGTCTAGCAATCGAAAAACTATATTTTTCGAACGGTTGATTTATTTTAATGAAAGGAAAACAAAATGTTTGCAGATGACAAACCGGCTGGAGTTGTACGCGAAATCGTTCACAGACGCCGCCGACCCCAACTACCGGCCGCCGATTATCCGCGAAAACTGAGAAACCTCTGAAAATGCCTCGCTCTCCTCATATTCGTATGCCTTTCCAACAAAATAAACCATTCGAGATAATCCGCCTCTGGGAAATCGACAGAAAAAATGGCTCTTTTCACGTTTGATGAGCGACTCCAACGACGGGGACCACGATGGCTACTCGCTCAGGAAAATGTTCTACGTCGAACTCGACCTCGATACTGAGGTCAGGCAATTCTTTTGGAGAACAGAATCGAAAAATTGTATTCTCTTTGGTCACGAGCAAAGTCCAAATCTCCTCAAAAAGAAAAAACTAGAGCTTTTTCTTGAGTTCTTCAAAAAGGTGTCAGAAGTTCCTCTGCATTTCCTTTTTTTTTCTCTTAATAGGGTCCTTTTTCCCAAACTTTCTTTTAAGGCCTTTCTGGACTTTTCCCGTGGTTTGGGTGTTGCTAGTCCAGAAAACATTGAATTTATTTTTGAACCCACAAAATTATCAAAAAAGGCTCTCTTCCTATCATTTTTCATTCGATAAGCTTCTCCTTCCTCATTTTTAAAAAATCTAGATTGTCTGGTTTATCTCTCCATACACCGGCAAGGTCACAAGAATCGAAACAGCGCGTAAAAAAGAGAGATCAACAGATCGCAAGCCAAAATCTAGTGAAAATGGGATAGAAATTTTTGGATTGGAATTTTTTTTTCGAAACGGAAGATATTCATATATGCAGCAAAAAAAATTTCAAGATGAAAGTTCAATTTGAGTTATTATTAATCCTCTCAATTTTGACAAATCAACGAACTCTGCACTCTTCTTTTCATTTTTTTTTTTCGACATTATTCAAGGACTCGATATCTCCTCCAAAAGGCCTCTGTTTTCAGTTCCTTCTTCTTTTCTTTTTTTGTCAAAATTTTCCATCAAAACGAAGAGAAACTATTAAAATCTTTGTCAACCATGGAAATAAAAAGCGTCGTAAACAATGAAAAAAAGCGAAAGAAATTTTGCGAGACTTTTTTTCGTCGAACTCGGGTGTGACGTCATTTTTTTCTTCTGTTTGAATTTTTCCAATAAGTTTTTTTAAACCTAAATTTGTTTTTGGTTTGTTCATTGACCTTTATGACTTTTTGAAGAAGTTTCTTTTCCCATCTCCGTCCAGCTTTTTCCTTCGTTTCTTGGACTTTTCTTGAACCCACTCTTATCTGGGTTTTCGGCTGGAACAAGGGCATCTGAAAGCTGAGACGAGCGGCTCCGGCGGGGAGAATTTATTATTCGAAGAGCCTGGTTCTGGCACTCGGCCTCAACATTCCAATTCATACTTATACGGCTTTTCCCTCAATCCGACTTCAAAATGCGCGCGTTTTCAAAACATCCTAAGCTTCGGATGAATTGTTAATCAAACGTTTGATTAAAAACTGTGGGTTTAGAAGTTCGTTTCTTGGGTACTTTTCAAATTTTGAACTTCAGTTTCTTTTTTTTTTCTCAATTTCTTGGTTCAAAAATTGATGCTGTGACTCCAAATCTCAAAAAAAAAAATTTTTCATTCTAGGTCCTTCTGAAAATCGTTTAGAGCTCTAAATTTACTTTTTTCAACGTTTAGATTACGAAACTTACTACCTTTCAAGATTTTTCCTAGTTTCGAATTTTGAAAAGGTTGTGGACGGAACCAACTCTCATTCGAATCCACTTTCTAAATTTTAGTTCGAAAGTTCATCCGCGACGCTTCCACCCAGACAGGCGTCGCGACCCATAACCGAATCTCGAATGCTCAAATTTCCCGCCAAATGCAAACAATGCATCCAATTTGTTGAACCCCCACTCGATACTTTCTCCCATGAGTGTGAGAATGAGAAAAAAAGTTCTGTTTTACTCATTTCCGTGTTTTGATGAGAAGAAAAAGCTCAAACCAGCCCAGACATTATGAAATTCCTACGCTAGTGATTGGATTTGCGCAAAAGAGTCAAAGGAAAACTTTTCCGAGCATTACTTCAGCGGTAGTATTTCTTGAATAGTTCTTTCTTCATTTCGTATATTTTCGTATAAGTCTTTCACTTTTTTCGCGACTTGAAAGTGGCGAAAACCTTTGGTTGCTTACTTTTGCTGAAACTGTGTTGAAGTGTACTTTAGGAACTTTTTATTCCAGAACGAAGAAAAAAATTTTCGCAATAGGTCTTTTGTTCGAGTTATGAAGCTTCGAAGTTCGCAAAATACGGAACTTATTTCAAAAAAGCGCTATTTCAAGCTTTTGAAGCGTGTTAACCGACCTGATTCGAGACATTTTCAACTTGTTCTGCAGTCAGGGGGTCTTAAAGTACACTTCATCAAAAGGAAACGCTCCCTGGTTAGTGTCCCACGACTTGAAACAATGTTTTCATCAGTTTGAATAGTTTTCTGAGCTTCCAGTGTTTAGATAAGAATTATGTTTGGTTTTGAAAGGGAAAATATCGAAGAATGTTAAACTGGCCTGTTCTAAAGTCCTTCTTGGAATTTTCCAAAGACGTAGACGATTTTTAGTGAGGTCTAGAAGGTAAGAGCCGCTTCCAATCTAATTTTAGGCCATGCAAGGATTCCAGAACAGACCATATAATTATCATTCTACTAGCTCTCCGCCTACGTCACAAGAGTGCATATATTATAAAAGAGTGTGGGCCATTAAAGAGGGAGCACGAGAGATAAAGCTTAACCGGCCGAGGCTCAGAAATAATCCCAAACGAGCGTCTTCTCGCGTTGCATTTCCGCAGAGATTGTTTTCCACGGCGGCGCGTGTCCTGATTGAAGCTCTTTCGAAGCGAATCTCCATTGATTCCTCCACCCAACCCCCACGGCTCCAGACGTCTTCTGGTTCCCCGTTTCCTCTCTGTTTCAAGGTTTCGCGACGCCTTCCTCCAGAAGATGCACAACCAGCAGCCCGCCGTCGCTTCGGCCAGAAACAAGGTGAGATTCGGTTCAGAAGTCCCTTCAAAGGTTTTTCTTCTCCTTCATTATTTTCTTCTGTATCTTCTAGTGTCTTTTTCTGTTGAATCTTTATACCTTACATTTTCTGGAAGAGATTCACGAAAAGATTTGCTCGGACTTTTCAGGATATTTAGTGATTCGGTTCAATTTTATTGGAAGAGTTGCTAAGAATTAGAATTTGACGGATTTCTGATCTCCTTCTCCACATTCTTCTGCATTCCTTACTTTTCTTCTGATTCAAACGCCATTTTTCGAACTTTAACTTCACCAAGGGAATGAAAAAAACTCCAGTTTATGAAATTTTCAAATTTCATCGGATTCTCTTCGATGGAACAAGAAAGCTGGACACTAACTTTTGTAAAGAACCTACCTTGAAATTTCCAAAATAAATGAACTACAATATAAGTTCAGTTTATAGTGGATATTTTACTTTCAATTTTCTCAAAGTCGGATGAAGTCATGTCCAACTATTTTTGCTATTTTTCTCCTTTCTTCATCTCCTCTTACAATTCAAAAAACCAAATTCCAGAAGTCTCTTTCGAAAGACTTTCCACATTTCCTTTTATTCGTTTCACAAACCTCTCCGGGCTCTCATCGAAATTTGATTGCCCGAGGCCCTTTTCCCGACGATACAGTAGTTCAAGATATTATTGATGGAACACGTGGGCGAAGAAACAAAAAAAAAAGAGCGATGGGAAAATTTCGTGTTGAAATTTTTATATCGTGTTTATACGACAGCAAAAAAGAGGAAATATAATGGGGCAGAGATTTTTTCGTTCTTCGTGAAACCATTCGTTGCCGTCGATTTCTTGTCGACCGCTCCTCATGCAGAAGCTGAAGAAATCCAAAGGCAAGGCCCACAAGGACGACCCCAAGTGCAAATGCAAGCATTGCGCTTCTGTGAGTTCAATTCTACTTGATTCTCTCTTCAATTAATGTCAGGATGAGTAACAGTTGTTAAAAATTGCAGATTTTCTTGAGTTTCTATAGACCTCCTCACATTGAAAAACGTTTGCCTTTTCTCAGTATTCCGGTACCCAAAATGAATAAGAACCTTCGCCTGATAAGCATTAGAAGATTCAAGGAATATCGTTTTAAAAAGGATGATTCTCTTTTATTTTCATACTCTTTAACTAACCATGAGTTTGCACGCGCCCGACCTGTAACGACTCCTGTCCAGCGTCATAGGGAAAATTAAAACAAGTTGCGAAAATCCACGATTGGATCGATTTCAACTTTCAGCCATTCAAAGTGCGACCACGCGGTGAAGGAATTGTATAATTTCTGTGATTTTAAGTGTAAGCGATTTTTCGGAAAAGCTAAGAAAAGCGGTAAATTGAATGTAAAATTGGATAAAATCTATTTTTTGAACAACTTTTTGAAAATGTCAAGTCATTTTTTTGTGTGAAATTATTGAAACACATTGAGGAGGATAAAAACTTTTAAGGTTATCAAAAATCTTTTTGGTGACATTTTTCATACTTTCCTTCGAGATTCAAAAAATCATCGAGTTTGAATATAAAGAAACTTTTGCTACTGCGAAAGTACGTAGCTTTGAAAATGAAAATCAATTTTCTGACAGATTTTTAGAATTTTTCTTGTTGATTTCTTATGCATAACTGCTAGCAGGAGCAATTTAATATTAGTTTCCCTAGTCTGCCTACAAAACCTAACTGATGTTCAACTATACTGACGAATACAACGTCTTCAAAGTCAACAGCCGGAAGACGTCGACGACGAGGATGAAGGAAAAAATCGGAAAAGTCCCTGAGAAGAGGCCGTTAACCTGGCCGATTGAGCCCCGCGGAAGTCTCCCGTCGGCCTATCGATTCGGCGGCAGGCCTGGCTCTGCCCAATTCGACGACGATTTTGGGCGCCGAAGAGAAGAGGAGAAGCTTCGCACCGCCCGTCTTCTTCTTCCTTTTTTTGTCCGTCGTTTTCTGCTTTTCGCCTCGCCATTATTCCCAGTCTCCTCTAGTACTTCACTTGTATTAGTCGACTGGCCCTTCTCCTTGTTGAATTTTTCATTTCCGTCTCCTTTTTTTTGGTTTCGAAACGGATGAGCTTTGGCTAAGAGTGGCTTTTTTCAACAAGCCTGATCGTTTTATTTTTTTCCTGTGGATTTTTTTTTTCAAAACCAAATTTCAACTTGAGAGAAAGACTTCTGGAAATAGAGTTTTTTCTAAGAAAATAAGGTTTCAATTAATAAAAAAATATCCCCCTCTGCAATCATTAACATCATAAAAATGCCGTAGAAGGAATTTTTTGCCTTTTCATACTGTTTTCCTTTCAAGAGTTTGAATAATTTAGGTCTAGACTTGGAGAGGAATTTTCATTTTCCACACTTATCAGCCGAATGCAGTGTTTACCTTATTATTATAGTCGTCAAAAGTGTTATCACCCCGTTTCCCGCTGTTTTCACACCGAATTCCATTTCCGAGGAAAGAAATCTCGTGTTGCAGCAGTGAAAAAAGAATCGATTGCTCCGAAATCGCAATTTCCCGTGTGAATTTTTTTCGAAAAAAGAATTTATCACTTTTTATCCTTTCCTATTCGATGATTGGATTGAAAAGATTGCGAATTGAAAAAAATAGAATTAAAAATGTTCATTTTCATTGTTTTCCTTACAGATGGCAGCACCGGCCGGAGCCCCTGCCGCGGGACAACCCGACCAGAATTTCGACTATATGTTCAAGGTATTTCGAATTCCATGATTTTACAATAATTATAAAGTTAGGAATATGTTTGGTGGAGCAGACTGAAATTTGAAAAAAAAATTGACCAAAACACCGAAAGAATAATTTCGTCCATTTTGAATTATTTTATCTGAGAAGTTCCCTGTTTTGACCAAGAACAGCCCTATTTTTCTTATGCATAAGAGTGTTATGAAGGCTTCTGTTGATGAATTAATTATTTTTGCTGGTTCGACATAATTCAATTATTCCGCTTGCAAAGTTCTTTCAATTCCAATTAGAATCACTTTCTCGCATTTCAAGTCAAAAATTTTGAAGGATTTTTTCTTTCCTTATTTTATCGATCGAGTTATCAATTGATGACAACCTGCTTTTATTTTTTTTAAGTTGAGAACATCTTAGTTTTTTTTTAAATCAAAAGGTAAATGCCAGCTGATAATTCTTATCACAATGATATTTTTTTAAGTGATGCAGAAATTTGGAAATTTTCTGAAAATTTAATTATTTATTTTCAAGCCTAACCTTAGTTTTTATTAACGTATTTCATCACGTCTGTTCTCAAAATTCAATCAATCTTTGCAATTGAAGCATGCTCCCAGCTGCTTTTTAATGTAGGCCCCATAAAGACCCCTTCGAGTAGGTTTCAATCGACGGCGCGTACGTGTGCCAGACGTCAAGTCCGTCTTCATAGTGATTTTCTCGTCAGACCTCTCCGTGCGTTTCTTGGAGCTCTCGGCGGAGCCAACTCTCTTCGCGCACCCCTTCTTTTCACTGAGCACACTTCGATTCAAGTTATTGGAAAAAAAGAATAGAGGGTCCAAAGAAATGCGCGGCCAGCCGGAAAAATTTCTCTGAAAGGACAAAGCAATTTTAAAGGACATGGGAGTTTTATAGAAAGTTAGAAACTTTTCAATCAATTAATGCGGGATAGATTCTCACAGTTTTTCGCTTGAGTATTAAAATTACATTTTAAAAAGAAAGGGGAAAATTACTTCAGATCAATTTTAATTTATAAATTAAAAAAAAGTCTGCAAGCACAAAATGATGCACTTACTACGAAACTGAAGTGGTGCTTCACATTGAATGTTGAACTTTTTAATTTTTTTGTTTAAGCTAATTTCTCCTTTTTTTCATAATCTGGTCGAAGGGGAATGGTTTTTTTACGTCTATTACAAATTCATGCGGTTTTTCCCATTTTTTTGGCTGATCAAAAAAATTTGAAAGCCTAAAATTAACTTAATTTTTTTAAAACGGCCGCTGATTTGCAAGCAAATAAAATTCTTAAAAAAAGAAAATTACTTTTTTTATTAAAAAAATTTATAGAAAAAGTTTACTTTTTTTCACTTCTTGCTCGGCGATTCAGATTCAAGGTCCCTCTCTAGGGCTGCAGAGTAAACTTGGGTGAACTCTTCAATAAATCGTCATTTTTTCTTAAATTTTTTTTAACTTGGCTTCTATAAATTTTCATTAAAGCTGTTGTTTTTCAGCTTCTGATCATCGGCAACTCCTCAGTGGGGAAGACGTCTTTTTTGTTCCGCTACTGTGACGACTCCTTCACGTCGGCGTTCGTCTCCACAGTCGGCATTGACTTCAAAGTGAAGACCGTCTTCCGGGGCGACAAACGCGTCAAACTTCAAATATGGGTATGAGAGTTGAAATTATCACTTTTTAATTTTCTGAAAAGACTCCTCAGCCTTTGACGAGCTATTACTGCCTTAATTAAAACCTAGAGAAACAGCTTAAAAACTCTGCTCTCCTAAGACTTAAGTGTCAATAGAAGTTTTTTCGTTGATAGCTGAAAAACTAATTATTTTGATCAAAAAGGATCGTGTAAACGTTGAGTTTTCCAGGACACAGCCGGTCAGGAACGCTACCGGACCATCACGACGGCCTACTACAGAGGAGCCATGGGCTTCATTTTGATGTACGACATCACCAACGAGGAATCTTTCAATAGTGTTCAGGACTGGTCAGTTTTTTTGTATCACGATTATGTTTCAAGTCCGAAAAGCCTTATGGAGACTGCAAAAAGAAAAAAAAAAGATTATTTGCAAACTTCTGAAAAGTGGGAAAATGTTCTTTGAACTATTTTTCTCATTTTTTTACAGGATTTTTTCTTTTGCCAAACTTTTCTTTTCCCAAAATTTTCGTTCCCAAACTACTTAGCCTTACTCTTTTTTTAACTCCTACTGGCCATCCTTCAAAGTACATTAGTTTTGTGAAAATAAATAAAAGGACTTTAAGACTTTTAATAGAAGCTCCAGTCTTTTTTTGAGAAAATTTGGAATCATATAAAAATCAATAATTTTTCTTCGAGACTCTTTTATTGATAATTTTTCTTTTTTTGACGTTTCTATGCCTTCGTCATGCCTAGTAAGTATCGGCTGCAAGAATATCATCAATATCTATGGGAATTTTTTTCTCTAGTTCAGAAAAAAAGGTTAATAAAATGACCTTTTTTTCACCCATTTATTAATTTAAGAAAGCATAAAAGTTCAATTTTTCATGGCATTCTTTGATCATTCCTAACGGGAAAATAAAAAGCCAAAAGTTTTTTTATCTTAATACTATCATTCTCATTCCAGGTGCACGCAAATCAAGACTTACTCTTGGGAAAACGCGCAGGTCGTTCTTGTGGGAAACAAATGCGACATGGACGCCGAAAGGGTCGTCTCCGTCGAACGGGGCCGTCAACTTGCTGACCAACTTAGTGAGTCTTATTTTCTCCTTTTCCGTACTTTCCACGAAATAGCCTATTCTGAATGCTTTGAAAAGATTTCTAGGAACTCATTTCAGATCCCTTCTTTTTAATTTTCGAGAAAAGAATTGAAAGTTATGAAAATAAAAGAAAATCGTTACGAGACTATTTTTTATCCTTTCTTCCACCAAGCACGAAAAATCCTTCTAATTTTTTCAGGCCTAGAATTTTTTGAAACGTCCGCCAAGGAGAACATCAACGTGAAAGCAGTTTTCGAGAAGCTCGTCGAGATTATTTGCGACAAAATGGCCGAAAGCCTCGATAAGGTTTCTTTTATTTTCTTTCTTCTTTTTATTTTTTTGTATTTTTCAAGGAAATTTTCATGATTCTTAGAATTTTAAATTTCGAATAAAATGATTGAGAAATTGTTTTTTGAAGCTCTCAGTAAACGTTCTTGGCGCTCTTCTCAATCGAAAATTCTTGAAAAACTCGAAAAAGCTCTGACACATCAGTTATTCATGATGTTTAGTCTGCATCCAACGACTAAAAATTCTAACTTTTATTCGATTTTTCTCATAAAATCGAAGAATTTTTATTAACCAGGCCTTTTTAAAGTTTTCAATAATCAATATTGAAGTCAGAGAGAAGCATTTATTAAATTTTTTTAACTCGATTTTTAACCATTTCCTTTCTCCAAGCTAGCTTTTTTTCAAGTAGCGGTTCAACGAATTCCAAAAACTTTTGAACAAGTTTTTTTATCTGTTTTTTTGTAATTTGAGACTTTCTCTTTTTGAGGTGGATCGTCATAGTTGATGAAAAAAAAAAAAAAAAGGTTGTGAGAAAATATTGAGGTCCCTTAGGACGGCTGGCTATGTGAATAAAAAGGACTATATTTGAAGAACTAGGAAAATATTTGATTTTTCGGAAAGTTGACTTTTTTTAAAATTGGGAAGCTAACAGCAGTTCTTTAAGAATATGTAAGAAACTATCGAAATAAACTATTGGATGAAAAAAAAGTTTTTATAAAACTAGACTTGCAAGGCCACCTTTTCGCGACTTTCGTAATCTTGCAAAAAGGCGAAATGGGGAAAAGCTATCAGGAAAAGCTCAAAATGTTCAGGATCCGCAACAGCAGCCGAAAGGCCAGCGACTCGACGCCAACACGACGCAGAAGCCGGCGACGCAGCAGTGCAACTGTTAGGCCGCCGACTTTTTCCAAACTCGAACCTGGATCATTTTCGGCAGCTCAATAAAAAAACCGCTTGGATTCCTTTGGAACCGCCAGCGTGTCCAAAAAAATACACTTATTAGGAAATTTCTTGTCTTTTTCTTTTCTTCTTCTTCTTCTTCGTAACCAAAAACCCCGTGATTCCAGCACCGCCCATCTTCTACTTATTCACAAGTTCTATTTCATTCATTGACACTTATTTACTTATGTAAATACACGCAGAAATAATTCATAGATTTATGTAGCCTCTTCTTTTTTGCTCTCGTCATGGGAAAAGTGCACAAAAGTCTTAGCGGACCTCTTATTTTCCGAAGTTCTGTAGCCGTGGTTGTGATGCGTTTGAATTGATAACATTTTATTTATTTATTTATTTATTTATATGACGAATAAATTGGATTTGAAAAAAAGGGAAATAGTCGATTGTAAACGTTTTTACGCGGCACGCGGCCAGGAAAATTCCAATTATCTCTGCTTCTTGGGGCGGAAGACGTGCTGAGATTGCAGGAGCAGAGGCTCGAAGCCGACGCTCGTCGTCGACGGCATCAGAGACCGCGCGAAAAGCTCCAAAGTGCTGGAAACAAGTCTTTCCTATTGAACTTTCTCCACTTGGGAAGGGCCGTAATCAACCAATTTCTCTACTTTTTCTAATAAATACTTTCAGGACCCATTTTGAGAAAATGAAGACTAGTTTTAAAGTCAAGGAGATTAAAAAAAGTCTTTCAAAATTATTTCAGCGTCCTGAATCTACTTTTTTGTGTACTTCGAAAAAGAGTGCTTTTTCCGAATTTTCGAATAAAATCTCAGTAGTTCAGATCACTTTTGGTAGTGATATTCCTTGAGAATAACTTCCTTTTGACTCATAATTTTATGATCGCGTGTAAAATGACTAGACTTAAAGCGTTACGGCTGCAAAGCGGACTTTTCGAGAGGCATCCGACCGAAAACTACTTACGCTCAGTGGTATCACGAAACATTAAAGCTACAAAACGAAAACCGAATCGATTGCAAAACTCAGAGCTTTTCCAAGAGCGACCACATAACCATTTCGGTGATAACTTTTTCGGGGATGTTCCTACTTTTTCGGTCGAATGTCGAAGTGAGCGAGAAGTTCTGGAAGCGGAGGCTTGTGGGAGTGGACGGCCATCGGAACACTGCATAAATCAGAAATTTCAGTGGAAGAAAAACAAGGGAAGACCTCGAGAAGACGAAAAACTCTGGTAACGCCGTCAATTCCGGAGAAAAATCGTCGTCTTTGCGGACCGCGATGAATAGACTTTCGAAGGGAAGCTTGTGTTGCTCTCGCATCTCACAGACCGGATCTCCTTCCTTGGTTACCTAAGTTGAAGTTGGAATCCAGGCAGAAATGAACTTTCCGCTCTTCCAAGCATTTTTAAGAGGTGCAAGTAGAGGGGAACTTTAAAAGATACTAAAAAAGCCTTATTTGCAAAAAAATAAATGAAAATTAAGGGACGTTTTTGGGGTAATTTGAGGGCCTAATAAAAAAAAACGATAATTATTCCTCTCAAGTTCACAGATAGCACAATTTATGGATAAAACTAACCAAAATATCATAATTTTTCTTTAACATTAGTTTTTCAGAGTGTTTGGAAAAATGCAAAAAAATGTTCTGCCGATTTTTTTCAAAAAAATTGGAATAGTTATTCAAAAATAAACTAAATTAAACATAGGGAAGGGAACCCAGGCTCACTAAACCCAGATGTGAAATTTCCATTCAAAGACTATCTTTGAAACAGGAAAATTTGATATTGCGTTTTCTCTCAAAAACGAACCTTGAGCCATTTCCACTCTCTATGGACCTTCATTTCCCATTTTTCCAGAAGTTCATCCAACTGTTCTCGAATCCCTAAAAAAAAGGCCTTATTTTGCAAGCAAAAATAATCTGACCAGTCTTATTAGTCGCCCAAACAACGAGAATCCCACCAGGGGACAATAATTGGCCGATTTCCAACTGTTCCAACACAGCTTCGTCCATCGAATAACTCAATTATTATATTTAATTCCACACAACTTGGATAATTCTGCTCGCATCAGAATGGCTTGACGCGCTGCGGTTTTGACTTGGAATTTTGAGCTTGCTGACTGATTTTCATCACCCAATATGATGGACTATATCGCAGCGAAAGTAACGCTATATCGCGGCTGCAAGCGATATCGCTCTCTTCTCGCTGCCAGCCTTCGCTATATCGCACCCTAAACGATTTCTTTAAAATCTATTCGTTTCTCAAATTTTATTCATTTCACCATAAACAATTGTTTTTTAAATCAAAAATTCATGAGAGGAAGAGATATGGATGCAAGACTTTGACGATGTCGCAGCAATAATTCTTGGCTATATCGCTTGCGGCCCGCTGCGACGTAGTCCGTTTTTTGGGTGCAGCTTGCTGGTCGGATGCAAATTCCGAAAAACCGCTTCACAGCCGCTACGCGTAGAGTCATTCCAAACGCGACCAAGTCAATGCAAATCTACCTTTTCTTTCGCTTGACTGACCGATTTTCCCATGGCGGGTCCATTATTATCAAGTCAAACTCCTTATCTTAATGACACAAATAAATTTTGGAATGAAAATTCATGAAAACCGTTCAAATCACAGTACTCTATAACGTCGGTGACATCACCGATGTGAAAAGTTGAGCAGGAAGGAACGAGAAAAGAAAATTCTCAAATATTCAAAAATAATCATCAAGGAAAGAAGGCTATTTTTACCTTCTCCGTCCAGGATTTTGTTCAAGAAAGTAGCCTCGCCTTGATTTTCCACCCAAGAACTGATGACTCCGTTCAAAGCCTCGCTGGAAAATACAGAGAAAATTTTTTCAAATTTTCTTTTTGACATGGAATTCTGTTCATATACGAATTTTCATAATGAGAAATTGGAATCATTTTCTGATTTTTTTTTGTTCTATTTCGAATACCTTTTCAGTTTTTTTTTTGAAAATAAATTTCATCATCAAAAATTCAGTTCAAACCTCAAAGGAACGATTTGACTTGAAGATATACATTTTCCTAGATTTAGCTTCTTCCCACTGTTTGTCACTCTGAAAATCAATTTCCGCGATTAAAAAGTTGTTTTTTTTTTGTACCTTTCAGCTGCTTCCCTTGCTCTTTTATTGTTGTCCTTTTCTACTTTCTCTTGGAAAAAAACTCAAGTTTTTTTGATTTCCTCGGCGATTTCTGCTATTTTCTGACAATCCTTAAATTCAAATAATAATGAAAATAATTTTTAAAATATGCGCTTTGACTTGTCGCAAATCCCATATTCCTATTTTTGAAACGGTTCTTACCTCGAACACCTTCCAGGAGCGCAAGAAATCTAATTTTTGCCGTGACTGTTTTTGTCAATTTTTTAAAAAAATCCTCCTGTCGTTTTTTTTGAATTGTTTTGACAAACCTCGCTCATGTCGACAGCTTTTCGCTTTCTTTTCCTACTTTTTCCGTCATTTTTCATCGCCGCCTCGAATTCGCTTTGCATCATAAACTTTCCATTAATATCGAAAAGACTGGGGTTCGGAATGAAGCTAAAGAAAAAATCTCAACTTGAAAAGACTTTTGAGACTTTTTCTCACTTCAGTTCTTTGTAGATTTTCTCCAAGTAAAGCGCCTCGTCCAGAACCGCAAACTTCTCATTCGAAAAAATTACCGACATCTTCTTCAACTTTTTTTAGAGATACTTCATAACCTAGAGTGATTTCATGTGCTTTTCAGGATTCTAAAACGCCGTCAAGGCAACAATAAATTAAAAAAAAGCTAGCGAATCAATCTATCACGTAGAAAGGAACCTTGAAAATTATAAAAAAATTGTATTAATTTATTTTTAGAAAATCACGAACAACTAAATACAGCAACGGGAGTTGAAAGTCTTTGACACATATTTTAATACTTAAAATTACAATTATTCTTATCATGAAGAGTTAAAAAAACTTTTTTTGGAATGAAAATATTAAAAATCTCAAGAAATTCACGAATAAAATGTTATGCATGGGACCCGACACCACAGAGATCAGACAAGAAAATAGAATTATGCTTGGAATCGAATTGAAAATATTAATGACTTGGTAAGATGTTCTTGATGACTACAAAGACCCCGATTCCGAGGGCGACAAAAACCGATTTCCAAAGATTTCTCCACTGGGATCCCTTCGAGTGAGAATGGCCGTTGTGATGGTCGTCTTCTGGCAAAATGCTCTGGAATTTAATTTTTTTTTTCTCCGTTTATTCGCTTTACCATTTTTCGAAATAAAGAGAAATTCTTTGAAAAAATGGAACTTTTGGTTCTTATAGCTTATTCTTCAAAAACTCAATGCTACTTTTAATTTAGAACCTCCTTTTTTTTCATTCTATTCCGTTAACCGTGTGGAGATCTTCTTCACCTGCATTCTCAAACCAGAGGTCGATTAAATACATAAATATATATGTACTTCCCCAGAGTTACGAAAAAAATTGTTTCAATGATGTAAAGAATTTTGTCGCTTGGTACCCTTATTGATGCTTTCCAGCCAAAAATATTGGTCCCTACTTTTCAGATTGAAGAAAAACCTGACCCCAGTTCCCATTCTCATGTTCAAAACTTGAACGGCCATTAAACTCGGATTATGATGTTTGACATTATTTCTCTGCGTCTCTAGAGAGTCTCACGCTCTCTAGCTTTGAAGTTTTGAGCTTTTTTAATGGTTTTTTTTAGTACTATCGAATGCTCGCCCCAAAAAAACTTAAAATTATTCCAAAAAAATTGGAAAGGTAGTAAGTTTATTGGTTATGTATATGAAGCCTTGAGATGAATCTTAACATGCGATTCATTGGCGATCTCGCAAACATATCGCTCTATCCACACGCGCGTCTCGCATTCCACCGACTTTTCACAAGCACGGAAAAAATTTGTAAGTTTCCAAATAGAGAAGTGCGATATCGCGCCAACGAAAGCAGCACTTTAGCGAGGTCGTCAATGTATCGCCAGCGACGTCGCTTTATATCAGCAATTATTCTTAGCGGAAGAACGAACATGGCTGTGACCGTGGCCGTCTTCCGAATGCAGCTCCATGGGCAACAGTTCGACGAGGGCCACGTGGACGAAAGTTCCCGCGGCCAGGCCCTCGAGCCAGTATCTCGCCATCCTCTGCCATTTCTCTTCAGACAGCCCGTCGACCTGGACACTCCTTGATTGAAGAATGGAAAAACTGTGGAATTTACTCTTATGTCCAACGCAAAAATAAAAAAAAACCAAGTTCGGTGATCAAATAATCCGTTTAAAAACAAATGAAAAAGTTTTTAATTATATCGTGATCGTCAGTTCGAAATCTCCTATAGTAACTTGAGAAACGCTTTAAGGCAGTTTTAAAAAGCCCAGAACCCTATAATGACTCAAATAACCCCCGGAACTACACTTCGTCCCTCCCAATTTTTATGATTTTTGAAAACCTCTGCAAGATTTTATTGTATACTACGGTTGCAAAAAATCTCATCCAGCAAAATTTGTAAGCCTAGTTTTGAAAATATTAATGAACATTCAGAACTACCTTATTATTATTAAAAGGCTTGCATAAGCTCTGAGTCAACTCAAGCGAAAAGAAAGCCTCGATTCAACTGGAATTTTCACAAAAATGTCTTTTCAACCACCGATAATTCATCTTTTATCAACTCTTTATTGGTTTATAACCTCTTTTTCTCAGAAACATTCAAACTCAATTTTCAAAAGAAAAAAGGAAAAGTCACCAAAACGGCCAGGAGCATTCCGACGGGAATAGTGGAGCAAAGGAATAAAGTCGACGTCCAGGCGTAGAGTTTTGTCGCGTTTTGCTTGGCCAACTGCACTCCGTACGAAATGCAACAAAGGATCTGGAAAACAAGGAATAATATGAAATTTATAATACTTCACGAAGAAATATATACAGCTTCGTTACCAGAAAACATACGAAAACAGGTTTTTTCGGTTATAACTTTCCTCTACGACGTATAATCTTTCTGAAACTTTCTGGAGTTGGGATGACTGTTATTTGTAACGATCTGGTGGATTTCTAGTTCGGAAAAAAAATGCAGGTTCATGGAGTTTCGGAAAGATTAAGCTCCATACGAGAAAATCGTGAGCAGAAAATTGTTTTCGTACATTTTCTGACGATATTTTATATATCTCCCCTCATATTTATAATTTTTGAAAGTTTACTTTTCCCATTATAGTTTCTGAAGCTTTTTTCTCTAACTAGTAAGAGAACCATTCAGCGCCAGTTTTCTCGAAAAAATTTGTTGATAAATAACTTTTGATCAATCAATGAACTGAACTCATTAACAAAAATAGTAAAAAAAAATCCCCACCTCATGGAACAAGATAGCAAACAAGATCTGCGTAAAAGAGTTTGACTCTTTCTGAAAACGAATTTACACATTTTTCATCCGCAAAAAGTCACCTGAACGCCTAAGGCGATTCCTTCGAAAAACGAGTGAACTGACATTCCTAGAAGCAAAAACCAAACGCGGAGACTTGATCCACCACCTTTCGAAGGGGAATCGTCGCCGGGCGAGGGGAGGGAGCCGTTCTGAACCAACTTTTGTTTCAATAAGTAACCGATCTTTTTCGGCTCATCCCTAATCTGATTTCCTTCAAACGAACGTTGAATAATATTTAAACGCAGATTTATCGGGTGAAAATTTTTTTTAAATATTATTTTTGCGTTTTATTCTTTCTGAGAGTTCCTATTTGAGCGGAACCAAGAAAAAAATGAAAGAGATTTTTTTCGCATGAGTTGCTTTGATTTAAAAAAACATTCGATCGAGTTTTTTTCAGACATCGGAAAAAGATATGGTTCACTAGGAAACTTTTTAACCCCCGGTTGAACTTTTAGTAAAAAAAAAATTTTCTAGTCAGATAATTTTTTTGAAAAGACCATTAGAAGAAAGTTATCCCTAGTTTTCCGAAACTATTTCTAACGACATAAAAAATTCGAATCAAACTTAAATACTTGAAAGTTAACTCTTTGAAACAGTGAAGCAAGATTGGAAACCTGACGAAAGATAATGTCGACATTATCGTTGTCATGGTCTTCTCCTTCCATTTCGACCAGAGGCCGCGCATCTTCGCCGTCTTCCTCCTCAAAAGTCCCCAATTATTTCAGGAAACCGAAAATTTTCTCCTACATCTACAAGCTTCCGCATTTTGATGGTTTGCGAAGAATGGCTATGTCCTCGGCTTTCCAAAGTCGTTCCAAAGCCGGTTATGATCTGAAAATCGAGTAACTTCCACAATTATTGTGAAAAAACCTGTTCAATGATCAGAATCATCAAAAAGCCAATGACGATCAGTTCATCGGTGCTCGGAACATAGAAAGAATCGGTTGAAATTGTTTGATTGTTCCTGGAAAAAGTCTTTTTTCTCTAAAATCTCGGAAAAAAAGACCTAAGCTGCATTTCCTGATGACGAACGTGAGGCACAAGACCGAGGAAACAGGTGGCAATGAAAACGCCACAGGAGGCGCATCCCAACAAGGATATCGTGTAGGAGTTGGCGTTTCTAGAACATTGGAGCTCGAAAATGGATTATAACACTAGAATGAATTCCCATATTGGAAGAACCGAAAATATTTTTCTCCGCTTTGAAAATCTCGTATGTCAAATTTACAAATTTCTGCTCTTTAGGGAAATTGGAAATTCCAAACCAAATTTTTCTTATAATAAGAACAAAAAAACTTCTTTTTGAGCTTCTGAAAAGATGCAAAAAAATCTTTTTACTAGTAAGCGCCTTATTTTCACCTTTCCAAAAAACCCTTATTTCGGCTTTTGTTACCTTCTTTTTTTGAAGTTTACTATGATTTTTTTTTCTTTTTAACATCAATTTGTATTTTTCGAATGTACCTTTTTCGTTAAAGAGTCAAAAAAAGCGCCAGGCAGATCTTCTAAAAACTTTTTTCTTATGAAATTTTATACCCTGTGACATTTCTGCCAGCTTTTCTCGTTTATTTTGAAGAATCAAAAGGGATTTTTCCTACAAAAATATCCTTGTGGTTATATATTACAAAATTATCTTTGTTTTCCCTCGTTTCAGATTTGATAATTAGTGATTGAACGTAAAAAAAAAAGCATTTCTAGTAATTTCGCATCCCAAATTTTAGTCTCTCTCGTTCAAAAACAAAACTCACGCCGAATAAGAGCGAAGGAAAGAATAAGGAACGCAGGTTGAAACCAAAAGGACGAAAAAGACCAAAATGGCCGCGCCGACCATGAAAAGCGACCAGTACATGGCTCAGAATATGATTTTTCCTCGTTTATCGTCCTTTTAGTGGATCATGCTAACTAAAAAAACCTTGATCTTCAACCAGCAGAAAAAAAAAATGCTCGAAAGGTATAAAATCCGCTGAAACGGATGAGATCAGAGAAGAGAAGAAAGTTTTAACAATTTTATTGAACTGAAAAAGGTACAAAATCAACAACGTAGAGTTAACAGAATGATTGTAACAGTGATAATAACGTAACAATTTCATTGGAATTAACCGCGACCGCGACCTCGTCCCCGTCCGAAACTACCGCCTCTTCCGGAACTACCGCCTCTTCCAAAGCTGCCACCTCTTCCGCCGCCGCCGCCACGACCGCCAAATCCGCCTCTACGGCCACTGGGCAAGTTTTCAAAGCTGAAAACATTGACGAACATTCATGTCGCTCCGAAGCAAAAAAAATTCTAAATTCAATAGCTTTTTGAAATAAAACGAAAAAGAAGTCACTTTAAGAGCTTTCTGTAAAGAAAAGAAATACAAAAAAGGTTCTGAGCAAGAATTCTCGAGTCATATTTCAACATCGAATTTCTCACTAATCATAAAACTTTTTAGACCCTAATTTCTAAACCTAAAAGTTTTAAAACTCTTTTTGCTTTTTCGTTACAAAAGCTTCTTTTTCAGATTTTTTTGGAAACTGGGATTCTAGGCTTACTTTTTTTCTACAATGAAAAAAATTAAAAACTAGTTTATAACTTTAAATAAACAGAATTATAACCGTTAAACATCTGCTTTTCGCCATTTCAAACAATTTTTCGCATCTTCATGCTCCCTATGAAAAAAATTTTTCCTCCTCTTGCTCAATATTTTTCATACAAACGAACCTTTCTTTGGTGTTCCTCTTGGATCCCTTCTTTTTGCCACCGTATCCAAACCGATCCGCTTTGAATTTCCTCTTGATCTCACTTCGATTTCTCGAAGGTCCCGCGAAACTTTTTCCGCCTCGGCCAGGCTTCGAATCTCGTCGACCACCGTCTTCTTCTTCATCTTCCTAGAACAAACATCACTGTATTATTTTTCGTTTTCTATAAAACAAGACATAAAAACTGCGTTGATACTGAAAATCCAGAAGAAAAGAAAACCTTATCCAAGCCCATGCGTTTGACGTTGTTGAGCATGTCCTCGAGCTGCTGTTTCATTCCCTTTTTGTGTTTTTTGACAGCCTCGGCCAATTGTTTCTTCTCTGTGTTCTTGGCCGCATTTACCTCCTTAATCATTTTTGTCAAGTTCAAAATGAAAAGTTCTTTCTCCAACCTTCTGGACCTTCGAGGCGAACTTCTTTTCTTCGCGCATTCTTCTGATGGCCTCTTGCCTTTCTTTTCCAGCCTGGATCTTGATCAACCGCTTACGTACCTGAAAAATCGAGATTTCTAAGAAGAGAAAATATCCAATAATTATGCTAAATTTGAAAAAAATTATTTTTTTTCTTTAAGTAAAGAGTTCGAAAACGTTTCAAAGACAGGGGGTCGATTTTTTTGAAAACCACTAAAGATTTCTCGCTCCCATATAACGTTCAACAAACCTTTTGCATATGATCATCAGTCTTGGCCATCTCAGCATAATAGTCATCTGGACGCAGAACTTTGATATTGGAGTTGAGAAGTCTTGGAACAGCAATTTGCACAGCCTTTTCAGCTTGTTTGTAACTGAAATCAAAAATTCAATAGAAGAAAAAAAAGAAAAGACCAACAATCCAAGTTCTCTCTGGAAATCGTCATTTTCGACTTTTTTGTCGAGTTCGAAACGCGGCGTCACCACGTCCAAAGTCTCGGCCCAGGGGAACTTTTTCGAAACTTCGGCCAGTTTAGCTCGAAGTTCATTCTGAATATTTCGATTTGAAAAACTTTCTGTTGTTCTCCATGTTCAGCCACGATTAAAAAAACGCTGAATGAAAAAAAATCCCTCCTAAAAGTTTTATCAACGCTAAGTTAGAGAAGCCAAAAAGGTTTCTCGAAAAGAATATTATTGAAAAGAAAAATCGCCCACCGTTTTATTGATCACTGGCCTCTTTTTCTCTACGGCGTAGTTGAGTCGATCTGTTTTCAACAGACCATCTCGCAGTGCGATTTGTAACTGAGAATCAATTTTCCAAAAACATCTGACCATTTTCATTCGAAACCTCTCTGTCGGCATCGTCGCCACTGTCACTTGCATCCATTTCTTCATCTTGGTTGAGATTTTTCACTTCACTGAACCCAGTTTCCGGAATAGCATTGTCAAAGTCAAATTCAGACCCGTCGTCACTTTCTTCCTGAAATTAGCGACCGACTTTTTAGAGAGGAAAGAAATATAAAACCTCCACGGGCTGGTTTTTTGCATTTGAGCCATTCCGAGCTCCAGCTGAAAGTCTTCGAGCCAGAGCATTCTGCTTTAACCTTTTCACTTTCATCTAAATAAAAAATTTTCAGTCTCAGGTTCAGAAAAGGGTTGAAGAGAATTTTTTTATCAAATTATATAAACACATTCTTCAGGCAAAAATTATTTTGAATATTGTCTCGATTCTCAATAATAATAAAATACATAAGTCGACAAACAATGATGTATGTGCGATTTTACTACAGTTTATATTTCCTTTATATCTCACTCACTATTATAAAATAGAACATACAGAAATAAAAAAAGTAATCATTTCGTCCAGTTCTAAATTCAATCAATAAATACCTAATTCAAACCTCTACAGACTTGAAAAATCAGAATGAAAAAAAACTTATAAAATTTGTAATGCCGTGTTCAAAGTAATTTCCGCGAAATGCAAAATGGTCTCTGACCCTCCAAAAATTTAGTTATCTTTCTCTTTCTCTGACAGCTATTTTTGAATTTCGCGGAATCACTTTGAACACGGCATAAGAAAAAAATTTAAAAAAATTGGGAAAATTTTCAAGCATGAAAACTCGCGGCGGCGTGTCTACAGGTCAGAGTGATACAGTAACCGAATCCTGCGGGTCGCGCGTGTTGCTTCAATACTTTTTTCCAGCTCGAGCTTGAGCTAGCTCACTAGTCTTCTTCTTGTTCCTACGCCTTTTACCGCGTGAGCGGCGTCAGCGCCCCAAGTCAGTTAGCCGACGTCCTATTCTGATATTAAAAATCACAACCTATTGCGCTACGGCGCGCCCCGAGCTAGCTCACTAGTGACCAGTTTTATTCAGTTGCAGCGAGGCATAAACCAGAAACCTGTGCCTTTTAAGCGAATAGCGGCAATGAAAACGTGATTTTTTGTAGATAAAAGGACGTAGAGGTTTATAAGGTATTGGGAATAAACACAGAAAGCGATATGTGGATAGGAAAAAATGAGCAAGTACAACGAGCTGTCGACATTTGAGTAAAGAAATAAAAAACATGAACATGCGAAATTATTTACTTATAGATATAATATAGATCTATATAGAGTATTCTTTCAAACTTTAAAGTCCCCGTAAACATTAAAAAATATTTTCTCAGTCTTTCATTTGTTTTTCGTTGTTGAAATAGTGCTCGTAGTCGTTTCAGAAAGGTAAGTTGAGTATTCCAGAATCGAGTGGTGGTCTACCTCTGAAAGATGAAACTGAGTTGAAAACAAGATAACTGAGAAACTTACTCAGAATAACGAAGACTAATAAAGCCAGTATGCCTAATAATATAAGGAACGCCAAGATTATTATCACCGATATCACAAGGACTACGTTGGAACAACGGCCTCCGCAGCTCTTCTTCTCTTGGTAAAGTTGGTGATGAGCATCGGGGAGAATACTGGATTGATACATGAATTCTCGCTTTTATTCCTAAAAAAGCACCTGCTGATTGTAGAAAATGAGGAGGGCCGTTCTTCGGATTCATCGACAAAGCCTTTATTCGCCGGCATTTCAGTTTTGAATAGTGCAACCAATGCCGCGGGGCATCAAATCGATTTCAATCAAGGCACAAATACAAACCTGATGATTCATGCTTTCAATGATAAGACTCCAAGTATCCTGCACATACCATGCTCTTTAATCCCTGATTTCTCTTTTTTTTTCTTCTTTGTAAAAGTTGTGAGCTCGATTATATGTTTGAACTACTTTTCTGTTTTCCTCAGCTTAATCCTCAAAATTTTTCAATTTTTACATTAATTTCCTTTTTTCAGTAATTCCTGAAAAAAATCTTCTTTCTATAGAGGATATAAGAAAAAAGAAATAAAACTTCATAGAACTTCATTTGAAGTTTTAATTTTGATTGGGTCAAATTTCTTGGAAAATTAATGAAGACAGCAGCTTTTTTTTTTCTTTCATCTCTTCAGTTCAAAAGAACACATGTGTCATGAAGTACGCTCTTTTATTTTTATTCATTTTTTCGGGTTTTGACCACGACCGCATTTGCGCATGACAGTTTTGTGACAAGCTGAAGATTTTGAGTTGGCGCCCTTCGAAAGATTCGCAGATGCGGCGCGTAGCGCGTCGCGGTCACCAATTCGAGAACTGCTTTCTCACGCAACGCAGAACTTTTTGTTGTATTTTTATTTTTGACAAATCTTTTAAAGAACTTGGTTTCAATTTGTTCTGAAACAATTTCAAAGGTTGACGCGAGAGTTTACTAACGTTTTTTCCACTAACTAACTTCTCACAGCGATTTCATCAATTTAAATTTGCCTGGTTATTTTCCTCTTCGAAATTACACGAAACCACTTTTTTATGGCTCAACTTCTCTCTAAATATTTATACTTCAGGGTTTCTTTGTCATCTTGTTATCAACTTCCGTTGCTGATCATGTCGGTGAGTTATTTTTTATGTACCTTTCGAAGTTTTGGTTAACGTGTCATTGGAATGTCTTTGTAGTTTGTTAGATCCAACTGAAAAGTCGCCCAGTTTCTTCGATGATTAATTAGTTTAAAAGTATCGAGAAATTATGATAAACAGAACTACGAAGAAACTTTTCAAGAAATGTTTTCATAAAAGAACAACAACAGAGGCTTTATAAAAAAAAAAGTGAGCGCTACCAAAGGAAATTTTCATTGGTCTATTTTTGCATTTATTGAATTCGTTAAATTCAACTGAAATATAGCCGCATAATTATCTCTGACTTTCCAATATTTAATTATATTTTTCACTCTCTGCTTTTTTTTTCCTGAATTCAGTCGAGTTACTTCGAAAACGAGATAAGTGGCAGAATACTTTTTTTATTAACTGCTTTGAGATGATTGAGACTTTTTTCAGTACTATGGATTCGGTGGAGCCAACGAAGAAGGCGGGTACAATGCGCGTACGCATTCGAAGATAGCGGAAAAAGAAGGATTTCATATGGGTGGAAGCAGTGACGAGCCAAGAACTTTGTGAGTTTTTTTTTTTGAATACAATTCATGTTTTTCTCCTCTTAACAGATATGTTGGCAACCTCGATCCTTCGGTTACCGAAGATTTCATCAATACTTTGTTCGGGCAAATCGGCGTTGTGACAAAGACGAAATGTATTTTTGACGTAAGTTTCTCGAAAAATGGATACAACTTTAGTTTCAACTTAATGAACTTTGCAGAGCATCTCTTAAGCGTTCGGTTCCTGTATAAGTACGTATTTATCCTTGCGCATTTGCGCGCTTTCTCTTTTTTTACTTATTGTTTTCTTTCTCTTGCCATATGAGAATTTTGAAATTTAACAGGTGTGGTCAGGGTAGCCCGAATCTACTCGATGTGCAAGCGTATTTGGTGAAAGTCCCACTCGCCAAATTCCACCGCCCTCTAAAAAGTGTATACTTTATAACTAGATTTTTTTTTCTTTTTTCTCCTCTTTGATTCAATAATTACGCAGAGATCCAAAGTTACTGTGCTCTCATTAACTGGTAAACTAACTCGATCACGCGTACACTATACTTATTTCAATTCTCTTATTTTAGGGCTCCAATGACCCGTACGCGTTTGTCGAATTCGCTGATCACAACCAAGCAGCTGCGGCGTTGCAAACAATGAATCGACGTTCACTACTGGAGAAAGTAGTTTTTTCTACCTATTTGAGAGTTGATGGCATACATTCAGGAAATGAAGGTCAACTGGGCTGTCGAACCGGGAACTCAGCAAGCGAAAGTGGACACTAGCCGTAAGCTTTCTCTAACTAAATTATTGCCAATTCAATTTTTCAGGTCATTTCCACGTTTTCGTCGGCGATCTTTCTCCGGACGTTGACAACAGCGTTCTCAAAGAAGCCTTTGCGCCTTTTGGAGAAGTTTCCGACGCCAAAGTCATCAGGGACACGACGACATTGAAATCCAAGGGATATGGCTTCGTTTCATATCCTAAGCGTGAGGTTTTTCTCTGAATATGCATCAAAGTAAAACTAAATAGAGCTGTTAAGGAAGCTGAGAGGGCTATCGAGCAAATGAACGGCCAGTGGCTTGGACGGCGCACTATCCGAACAAATTGGGCGACTAGAAAGCCAGGACAAGAGAGCCAAGCCGCTAGCTCCAACGAGAAATCGTACGACGAAGTCTACAACCAGACAACGAGCGACAATACTTCGGTGTATGTCGGAAACATCACAGGAGGAACCGCTGGCGCCAACATTGGTTTTTGCTAAATTGAGATAACTTCTAATAATTCCATTGTTATTTTTAGCAGAGGAAGAAATTCGCAGAGCGTTCGGCCAATTCGGTCGAATCCAAGAAGTGCGAGTCTTCAGAGTTCAAGGATATGCTTTCGTCAAGTTCGACAGCAAAGAAGCCGCCGCCAAGGCCATCATGCAGATGAACGGAGCTGATTTGTGCGGAAACGCACTTCGTTGCAGTTGGGGAAAAACTGGCGATGTTGGCTATTTCAGTTTAAAAAATGAATACGATCTTTTTTGCAGTTCCAATCGAAGCAAGGAGGTCAACAACAGGGCGGTGGCTACGGCTATGGATACGGTAGCAGCTACGGTAGCGGCGGTGGAAGCAGTGGAGTCGCTGCCAATGGATATGGTTATGGAGGTGCTTCGGGGGCTTATCCAACCTCTGGACACGCTGCTGCGAATCCCGCTGCTGCCGCCGGAGGAGCTGGGGGAGCCGCCAACGCCCAACAACAGTACTGGCAGTACTACGCTCAGTACTACAACAATCCGCAGCTGATGCAACAGTGGAGTCAATACTGGAACCAACAGGGTCAAGGACAAGGTCAAGGTCAAAACGGTGGAAGCAGCGCTCGTTAAGTTTTTTTTTTTTGGCTTTTCGTCCAATATATTCTCTTTTTTGTCCCATTTCTTCATTTTGCTGTATCTGTTTCTTTTTTTTTCTGTTTTTTTCACACTGTCAAGGAGTCATTGATGATTTTGTTCGTTTTTTTTTTCTAAATTTAACCTTATTTTCTCGAGATCTATTTTGATAGACATACGTGTTATTAATTTTTTTTTTCACTCCTTTTTCTTTTTTCTTCTTTTCTCCAGACTGGTAGTTTTTCGATTTTCACGCTTAATTTATTTTCTTTTCAAAACGTAAAACAATATTGTTTCTATTTTATCGGCACCTGAAAATGTTCATTTCTGATAATAAACCAAATATGGGATTTTCAAAGATTTATTTTATCAAGGGGAATTCAATGAATCAGGCGATACTCGTGTTACAGTGACGGTGCTCATATATACACATAATTAATGCAGAAGGTTAATTAGGTTACAGGATGACTAGGGCTTCGAGTTCAAGGCAGTTATGACTACATGAAATGGATATCACAAAGACCGCGCGCAGAAAATGCAGATTTGACATAAATTTTCGAAATTGACGTGGATTTTGAGTTTTCTTTTTGTTTTTGGGATTTTCATCAGGATCACGCTGTTGACTCGTCGGTCTCGACGTCGGTGTTGCTCCTGGCAGAAGACATGGACCGACAACTGGGATGTTTGTCGAAGAAGGAGGACTTGGAAGGCTGGAGGAGGACCGTCGAGATGAGCGTCACCAGAAACGCCTCGAGGACAGTGAAGAAGTTCTTCCAGTCTGAACATTTTGACGATGGTTCTGGGGGGACCGACGTCACAACTCACAGAAAGAAGATTCGATGGCGGGCAGGACGGTGCCGCATCCGAAGGCTCCGTATCGTGCCAGAAAGTCGAAGACCGGCTGCTGCAGACCGAAGAACATGAAGAAGAAGTCGAGCAGCCGGAAAACGACCACGTATCGGTAGGAGATCAATTCGTCCTGAAAATTGGTTAAAGTTTCAAAATGAGAAGTTCGAGTTCAAAAGGGAGTTGCAAGAAGTCACGATTTTTTTCTGTTTCAATTTCACAATTTCCCCATTTTTCTTTGAAAGGCTCCGTGACTTTCATTTTATTGTTTTCGAATCACATGCCCTTCGGGAAGAAAGAGTTGCTCACCATTCTCGAGACGGTCGTGACCAGAATATGAGTGCCGTAGATGCCGGCGAGCAACGACGGTAACGTGATAAAGTCTAGCACTTTGAGCGCTCTTCAAATCGGGAAAATCAGTATTATACGGCGCTTGAGCGACGACTTACATCAGTCCTTGATCCTGGTACTCAAAGTAGATGATCAGTGAAATTAGTGTGGCGAGAAGCCGCACGCAGGGCGCCTGGAGGACCATCAGCTCGCATAGACGGATCTTCCGACTGGAAAATTTTGATCGTTTCGAGAATTATTTCGGAGAAACTGACCCTTCCAGTCGCACCTTTGGTAGACACGGGAAGACGCAGCAGAACGGCGGCGTTGCTACCTGAACAAATGGTATTTGGAAAGGGGTTCCGAGGCTTTCGATGCACATGAGAAATGATTTGACAGTAACCTGAGTATCCTAAAAAATGTGCTTTTTTTCGGAAGTTGTTAACACGAACCGAACGTGTCGGAGCATTTCTAGTGACCACTATAGTAGCGTCACTCTTAAGTGATCCCTAGAATAACTGAGAAACTTCGAGTTTTGGTCACCGAGGTCCGAGCTGGAATCAAATTCATCTAGCCGCTATCTGCTATTTTTCGTTTCAAAGATTTTCGAAAAAAAGTTTTTGACTTTCGAAAAATTCTGAACCTTTAAATCCTCTTTTTTGAAATCTTTGGCTCTTATTCTGAATTTTTGAAAGAACAAGAAAAGAACCTCAATGTGTTCTAGCCGCTCGCACATTTTGCTGACGAGCGCCTGGTGGCCGTCGAAGATCTGCATGAGGAGGCAGATGATGACCCACAAGGCGAACGAGAAATACAGAAACGAGAGCAGGTGCGCCAGGAACCAAACTCGCGGCATGTACATCGCCACCAGGGACAGCAGCGACACAAACTGTAAATCAAGAAGTTTATTTTTGTTTCTAACAGATATTCCTAGTTTCTGCAAAATTGGAATTATTACAACTTTCTTTCCGATTTTCTACGATTTCAAATGATTGGATCTAAATCTCTTATCATTAAAACACGGAAAAGAGCTGACCGGCGCTGTGCAGGCGAGAAGGATGATGAAGAGCCGCCGGTCGGAGTGGGTGATGTACATAGCGATGTAGATGAGGTGCAGAACGGTCATGCAGAGCGTCGCCGCGGTCATCGCCGTCGCGACCGCCAACGCGGTGACGTAGGTCGGCGAGAGCGCTGGAAAGTCTCTAAGGTTGGAAAGTCGGCAGGGATTGGACTGACAGTTGAGGAAGACCCCGGCGTGCGGCACATCTCGGGCGGTGCAGTTGAGCAGCGAGTCGGTGAGAAGCTTCACGAGCGTGTCCCAAGGAGAAAGGGCCAACATTCGCAAAACATCAATCGGCTGCAAACGCCTGCAGATTCGACTTAGGCGATGGAAAAGAGAATTTCGACAGTAACGGAATCGGACAGGGAAACATTTTTCAAAAGCGTAGAAGCACATGTTTCCTAAGGCTCAAGTGGGCTTGGACAAATTTCAGACACCTAGGATGGGTTTTGAGCCTTTTGTTGTGAAGTTCATCGAAATTCCTCGAAATGGTCGAAAAAGTCGGAAGACCGGCTGGAAAGTGTCCAAACCCACTCAGGTAGTAATGTTCATGTTGTGAGAAAGGTGTTGTAGGAGTTTCAACTTAGTTAAGGGGGAAAATTTTGAATTTCGGGACATAGAAATTTTCAGGCATTTTAGGTGCACCCACAAAACACTGGACTGCACCTGGGGTGCACCCAAAATGCCTGAAAATTTCTATGTCCCGAAATTCAAAATTTTCCCCCTTAACTAAGTTGAAACTCCTACAACACCTTTCTCACAACATGAACATTGCAAATTCATAAGTTTCTAGTGGGTTTGGACACTTTTATCCAGTCAACTTTCAGAAAATTCAATTCATGAAGAGATGAAGAACGGAATCGGACAGTTGAGAGTTTCAGGAAAGAAAAATGAGGAAGGGAACGTTATTCGAGATGAGTAGAAGCTACAGTATCTAGATTGAAAATAAATCTTCAGAAATTTCAATCCAAAAATCTGAGGAGATGGGAAAAGAAGGTTTTCTGGTAATCCAAAACACTTCAAGAAGCTACAGTATCCGCAAAGGTTTTCAAAAGATGTGAAATCGTCAATTTATGACATAAAATCTGGCACAAACTGACTCATTTCAGAGAATTATTGAAAATCACTCTCTACTTACTTCCTTTTCTCACTTCCGAGACTTGGGTGGGAATCTGAATCTAGTGAACCAGAAAAAACAAAAAAAAAGTTTGCAGAATACAATCACAAAATTATTGTAGTTTTCAGAACACTCCACTACAAAAAGGGTTCTCTTGAATCATCTTGGCTGTCTGAACTGAAATTTCGAAAGAATATGAAATGACTATCGAATTTATGTTTTGTTTTATAGCAGCCGAACGATCGTATATTTTCAAAACGAAGAGCGAAATGTTATGAAAGGAAGGAAATGTGATGCATTGTTCTTTTGCGGAAATTCTCAAAAATGCGCGGATTAACTTCTCAATGTCCGGGTGTTCCACTAAACGTGATTAGCGAGCACTTTTCTTTTGATTTCTTCCTTTTGAAGCTAATGGATGGATACCTACCATAATCCTTATTGAATAGAAAAGGTCCCTGGGACTAAAAGAATCTAAGATCCGTAAATAAGTTTGAGTGTTTGAACTGGGGGAAGTATACTTTGCTTTCTACGAGTTGATACGTCCTGATAAAATTACTCGGATGTGGTTCTGGGGGTCGTTCAAGGCCGCCAGCAGCTGAACGATCAACAGGCCTTGATTTTTTTAACCGTCAAAATGCAGAACAAACGCGACGATTTGAGGTATTTCATGTGGTCTGAAGTCGGAAAAAACGAGTCCAGGCTCTCAAACAGCTATCAGGGCGTGGTGATTAATATGTTGTTTTAGCGATTTTTGGCAGGCGGGAACAAAAACTATTTTCGTGAGAAAAACAGCTGTTTCCGTGAAATTCGTCATAAATTAGATAGCATGTTGAATTTCGCAGGCTTTAAACTGAACCATATTGCAAGGATAACACGAAGGTCGTTTTCCGCTGGTTCGAGATCATATTTAATCAGAATCTTATAATGATTTGAAGAAATAAGAGGTTCAGACGTATTTTAACATTTTCTGTACCACTGTTTCAAGCTCAAATGACTTGACACAATTTCCACATAATCTCCAAATATTTCTGAATGAACCTTGGGAATTTCGACTTGCGACTGCGACATCGTCAGTTTATAGAAATGAGCGAAAGAGAGCGGCAAAACTCGAAAACGTGAGGGGACAAGGAAAAAGAAATAAAAATGAAAAGCTGCCGTAAACGCCAAAAAAGGAGGAGTAGAATGGGAATATTTGATCAGCCGCCAATTGGAAACTTGAAAAACAGTGTGGCCCGTCAACAATTCGAAAAGGTTTACACTTTCGGGTGTCTTGGTTCTGTTGGATTCGGAAGTCGATTGATAAGAGGCAGAATGTTTCCTCTCTCAAAGCGCCTTCAGATGAAATTGTTTTCGAATTGAGAAGAGGAGGTTTTGCGTCACTAATTATCTGGCGATACTAATTGAGCGAGGCTGAAAGTCAAAGTTTGAGGGCTGGAGCAAAGACTGGCGAACATCTTGTTACAGCATCGGTCTGTGCAGCGGAAACGCCTCTTCCACCTGTTGAGGCCATTTTTTCCACCTTGGTCTTGGTTTTTTGATTACCGAGAACCTTATTAGGTTGAGATAAGTTGATTTCGACTTTCAGGAATATGTATTAGTTTATTTTTACTTTTTAGTTTAACGAAGAAAAAACCAGATAACACGTTAGTAGTAAGACAAGGTTAGGTAGTCATTAAGAATATTAAAAATATTTTTTTAAAACGTGATTAGAAATTGGGATAAATCTTCAGACTCCTCTTTATGGAACCTGAGATAAATTCGTAAATTTTAGATTTATATCTTATCTCCATTATCACCATGAAATTCACGATTTTGGCTTTCAAAAAACACATGGAAAGTTTTGAACTGAAGTTTTTTGTTGATTAAATGAATAAAATTATAAGCAAAAAAACTTCAAATTGAAATTCGCTTCTTGAGGAAAATTATTTCATCTCGAGAGAACTCAAAAGCAGACTTTCAACCGTTGAGAATATCGAAACTTTTCGAATTTTTTTTTCGAAAAGCTCTATTTTTCACCAAAGAAGCTTATTTTAAAATTTGAAAAAAAGCTGGAAGAGAATGAATGAACGAAAAGAGAATTTCAATGAAACGAACCAAAAAAAGAGGTTTCGTATGGTTTGGCTGTGAGGGGAAAAGAAGAAGCGAAGTGCAAAGAAAAGAAAGGACTCGACGCGTTTTTGTGGTCACTCGGCGCTGCACGCAGGAGTCTCCTCCGCAAAATCGTACACTGGCCGTTCGAAACGGACGCAAAAGTCTTGCCAAATCGAAGAAAGACGAGGAAAAATGTGCAGTTCGAAGTTGGAATAAAGGAAGAGAGAGTGAAGGAAAGTGTCAGTAAGAGAATCTTCGATCAAGTTTCAGAATTATTTCGAAAAAGATCTACAAACTCGGGGAACGATCAAGCTCGGTGTATACTTCATTCGTCGCTCAATAAAAGTCTGACCTGTCTGCGCTCTCTTTTCTCTTCATCTAAAAAATGAGAATAGCAGATAAAAAAAGAGAGGGAGAGAAAATATAAAGCAGATTCTCATTGTAAAGAATGAGGTTCAAGGAAAGGACTTTTTCGTTTCAAATCGAGCTTCTATATGAAGTTTCTCAACATCCTGAACAGATTTTATGATCCTAAAAACCGCAAAAATAAAGTCTTTTTTGTACTCGCCCCATTTTTCTTGGTCTCCGAGCCCTTAACCGAAAGGATCTTTTTCATAAAAACGAAACCTGATAGGACAAAAAAAGAGATGCAAAAACAACGATAATCCTTTGGAACGGGAACAAAAAGAAGAAACGAATTGGTGCTCTAAAATAAGGGATCAGAGAGATTCAAATGCAATCAATTTGTTGTGGGGAACGAATTCCGGAATAAACAAGCTCGTATTTTGGATTCATAACTACTATTGGACTGTTCGACGATCATTTGTAGTATAATTTTGAAAGGAAAAAGACCGGTCAATACATTTTCGAGAGAATCGACGGTTCCCAAACGGATTACGGCCGTGGCGAATTCTTCGCTATTTTGCATTCCAATGTTTCATTTTGAAGGAAGTTATCAAAGTTAGAAAATTCCGGAAAACACTCTATTTCTATATAAGGCTAGAATCGGAGCTAATGAGAACTGAAAGGAGGGATCGAAATAGAGGAAAATAAGTGAAAATGAGTGAAAAGACAAGCTCTAAAGTTCTTTCAAGTTTTTAGCTTCTCCGCGCTCTCCTTAATTGGCAAATTATGGAGAAAGGAAACGGGTGAAGAGGGATAAAGAGGGCGCAGACAAGGTAGGAAAATTCAAGATGACATGAGTAGATTACAACTCACCTCCGAATATGTTACTGGATAAGGTGAAGAAAATCAGAACTTCCGTGCCTAATCATATCTCGAAGTTACAATTAAAAAAGGGGTTTTAAACAAATCCTTCACAAAAAGGATAATCCCAAAAACTACTCCCACGAGTTTCAAGCCGCAAATGAGAGCTATCACGAAGTTAAAAAGGAAGTAAAATTCGGGAAAACTGAATGACGAAAAGATGGGCGTATCAAAATAGGCATGTTGAAATTGAATCAGGAGTTATCAAAAAATGAAAACAACCTAAAAGTCACAAAACTCTCATCTTTCAACACTGACTTGAGGCAAAATTTGAGAAGATTCTACACGATAAGCGAAATATCGTGAAAAAAGAAGAGGTTCAGACGGTTCTCCAGTCATTTTCGTTCCACGCAGTGAATGGATTATATTACTAAACGATGAATAAGTTACAGAAAAAAAAAACCGAGATCAATTAGTAATTTTGAATGTTAAAAAAAAGATTGATTGGAATCGTTCTTCTTTTCAACTTCAATCCGTATTTGCAATTTGAAAATGAAGAAAAGCCCTCAAAGTAGGATAATCTCGGAATCTACTCCCACGATGTGAGAATATGAGATTCTGAGAGAAATCTCTCAAAAAGTGGAAAAAGACGAAAAAATATATGACAGGGACCATAAATCATTTTATTCTTTATTTTAAAGCTAAAATTCAATTTTTCCGAGAGGAAAATCTTCGTAAACCTCTTCTTACCGTTAAAAAAAAATTGAAAAGAACAAAAATGAGTGAACTTGAGATAAGGGAAAAAGAAAAGTGGAAACGTGGGTCGATATCAATTAAAATCCTGCGACTATGACAATTAATGTTCTGGGAAACTATGTAGTCAGGAAAATTGGATAATGAAATCCTGGATGTTTTGAAGGAAAATTAAAAAAAGCGGAAGAGATATGATAAGTCATAAAAGTTTTCGTGAGAAAGAAAAAAGAAATTTTTAGATTTTTTTTTACTCAAAAATTACTGAACATTTGAAAAAAAAACCAAGAAGAAAATAATTCGAGCAAAAACCATTCGAACAAAGTTTTCAAAAAAAAAGAAGGACGATTGGCGGCAGATCAAGGTCAAAAAAGTGTACAAGTATTGGTGACCTCTCTCTTTTTCTTGAAAGAAACGACACTCGCTTGAATTTCAAGGACAAAGGAGAAGATTTTCGCTTGAAAAATGAGGCCTGGAGACAGTTGCTCGGATACGAAACCAAGAAATTCGAAGCGAAAGAACAAAAAGCGATGGAGAAATTCGAGGAGACAAAACAATGGGAATTGCCAAAAAAGGAGGTGGAAGACAGCCGGGTCAAGGGAATCCGCGGCGAGAGAAAAGATGGGTCCGTCGGAGGAGAGGCGGATCGATGCCAGCTGACGACGGCGGTCCCTAGAGGCCCCACTTGTCCAATCACTTGGATTTCCGATCAATCCAAGATATTAGTCAAAAAATCAATCGACTTTTTTCAATTTTCAATTATGTCTTACAGTTGACTCACCATGAGCCAATATTTATGCTTCATATACCGCTAACATTCGACGAAATATACTACAAAGACGTCTGCATCTCTTATTTTTGCACACTATTTCGCAAATAATGTCCAGATGAAACTCGTCTCAAGCTATCGATAAACTATAAAAATCTGGAGGATTACTAAAGCTTTTTTTTTTCGATGACTCTATAAAAGATTTGACGTTCTAGCCTGTCTGCGCTCTCTTTTCTCTCATCGGTGTGAAAAAAAGTGCCGCTGAACTGAACCAGGTTTGTCGGAAACACCGAAAAAAAGCAGCGAATTTTGAAAAATTTTTTTGTCCTAACCTATGAAAAAAAGAACTCAAATCCAGTTCAGAAAAAAATTAATTTATATTTAAAAAAAAGTCCGTAGAGTTCACTTATAATAATAAATTTTTGGTTTATATTTGAACTGGAAAAAAAGTCAACGAGACCTTTCTCAATTTCCCATGTTGCGCAATTGCATTATAAATAAATTTCAACAGAACAGGTGCTTGATTTGCGAAATTAAGGGTTTTTTATCCCAAATTTCCAATCTCACCTGCCATTTTTCGCTGCTTTTTTGCAGTTTCTGACTCTCCCAAAGGTATGAGACCAGTCTGCCGACTCCAAATAACGTGGTAGACAGACGAAAACAAATAAAAAGTGCAATTTGAAATGAACCCAAACAAGTCGACAAAAAGATTCCATCGGTAACCCGCAAAAAAGAGGAAAATCAGATAGAGATCGAAAGAAGAATGTGCAGGAGACAATTCGAAAAAGAGCTGTTTTGCCTACAAATTCTTGTTGTTTGTGCTGATTTCCTCGGTGGAAAACAAGCGATTGAGAGAAAAAACTCTTGGAATTTGAAATTGTTATTTAGTAAAAATATTCAATTTTAGATAGCTTTTTCTAAATTTGAGTTTTTTTCATCAAGTTTCCGGACTTGAAATAAATACGGTTCTTTTGAAAAGATTTGGAAGGACCGTTTTTCATTTCATAATAGCAAAGCAGTATCCACGAAAATCTCCTTTCGCAACCGAAAAAAAAAATGAGCCAAATAGATTTCCGATCATTTCAATACATATTTTCGGCTATTCTATGTTTTCAAATCGTTTACAATGAATCAATGGATTGAACAAATAATGAAACACGCAAAATAACAGAAAATAGCGCAAAATGGAAAAAAGGAAGTTTTTCTTTCAAAATGGGCGTCCAGGCGTGTGGACAATATTTCACGGTTGGCTTCGCATTTATTGCCCTTTTCGCTTTGCTCTTTTCTTGAAAAAGGAAAATAAAACATGGACAAGAACAAACTGGATTCTACGAAGTCTTCAATTTTAAAAGACATGGGAACTGTATGATTCCAGGAAAAAGTCATTCAAATTTGACAAAGGAATGAGAGAAACTCATAAATGTTTCATGTATGGAATCGCGCGTTTTTGTTGTTGCTCAACACGCGACCAAATAATTTGATGGTTCATTTTACTGCTGAAAAACGAGGATTCAATGAAATCATTGGGGTTATTTAAACTTTTTTTTTTTTGAATATTTGATTGAAAGTTTGAAGAGGACAAGCTTGAAAAATTAGATTATCCAAAAAAGAAATAAAAAAGCTACTTTTTTTTAAAATCTTTTGCTCGGGTATTTGAAGGAACGCAGACTTATTTCGTAAATATTTCTGAGCTGTTTTCAACATTTTTCGAGGTCAGACAAGAATTTACCATAGCGATATTTTCTTGGAAACTAAAAAATTCAACTCAAAAAAGGCTGAATATGACCCGTCAGAAAGAAAATCGCCGAGAGAATAATTTAAATCCAAAAAATCCGGGCAACCGGAAATCCAAGGTGCAATCATGCTCCAAAAACTGCTTTATTCACTTTTTTCCAGCCCTTCTTATAGAAAAACAGAATAACACTAGAAAAGTGAAGGTTGAGATAAAAGAAAGGAAAAAATTGCAGGAGTTACCATGCAGGTGCAGCGTCCAGTCTACTGTAGAGGAAAAAATAGAAGTGAAAAATGAAAGAATGAAAGTAGGATAATGCAGCGAGAAGAGAAAGATTATGAAAAAGTGAACTTTCTTTGAAAAAAGGCATGTTTTCAAAGCGGAGAGGGCAATAGGCGTTCAAGAAGCTCACTTGGTATTATTCAAACTCTCAAGTTGAAGATTTTGAAGTTCATTCTTGAAGGCTAGTTAAAGCTTCACTGAACGGCAATTCTTGCAGAGGAACTAAAAAAAAGCGGAGGAAAAATGGTAATAGGTTGAAGTGAGAGATGAAGCTGCAGCTTGGAAAAAGTTCTCAAATTTGAAAAAGAAGAAATTATTATCTATAAAAGTTGAAATCACAAGCTTTGAAGTAACGAGAGGTTCGATCAGCACAAAGGATGAAAGAATCAGCTTCAAGTTTTGAACCATCAAGCTTCGAATTTTTCGGCTACCGGCTGCAAAATTTCAAATCCAGACCATTTTTGTTTATTTCCGTTGCAGACCCCAGTGCATTGGGAAACTTCTCAGAAAGCTTCACTCGAAAATTAGACAAAGGATGAAGACGACTTTGAGTCAGATCACAGTTCAACCGCTCCAGGACCGCTCCCAACACTAGTTTTTCGAGGTTGAGCTTTGAAGCTTCACTGGGGAACTAGGCAGGGCGGATAGGAACCGAAGTTGAAGTGGAAGAGGCGCTTGATCGGAACTGCACCTACAGGAGCGGTTCCGGTGGAGGAGGCCCCCAGAATCAATAGGAACAACAATGGTGACCAGCAGGTCGAGTGTTTGCGGAAGCCTTTATGCCCACAGGCGCAGATTGCCTCGAGGCGCTGAATCACGCCGACGTGACGTCACAGAATGGGGAGTTTTGCCAATTTGCTACACGGTCCGATGGCCCTCACTCTTCCCACTCGCATTATCTCGGCAAGCATCTCAGGGTGAAACGTTCGTCGGATGCCGTGCATTCCGACGGGTTTTTCCTCTTTTTTTTTTTCGCCGCCCAAGGAGTAGCACATCTAAAAGTAAAAGTTCAAGCGGGGAGAATGTAATGAAGAAGAGTGGATCACTTTCACAAGGAAAATTACGCTTTTGGAAGCTGACTAGAGGTGTCATTTTATTTGAAGTTCAGAAGCTCCTCAAAGTTGGCCAAAACTTAATACACTGGATAAAGATCCTGAAACTTTGAACCTTTGTGACTTTGGAAAAGGTTTCGACAATTCTGAAGTTTAGAGTAAAATCTTCTAAGTGGCTTATGTGGTAGCCCCATATGAATCCCTAAACGCTGTCGTAGGGGTCCCTAAAAAGATATAAAAATTTTGGGCTGTAAAAAGCTTCCACTGGTTACCGAAGAAATATTTTTCTAATAATAGTACTGATTCTCTCAAAAAAAGTATTTATTTGACGCTATTAGATTCGCAGCTGAATTAATGTAAGAGATCGATTTTTAACCTTTAATCCTTTAATCTGTCGAAGTCGACATAAAAAGAGAATCTGAAAATAAAATCAAGGGTTGAATTTGTTCACAAAGAGCGCTCTAGTGAGGATTGCTATCAAATACATGTGTCACTTTACAAGAGCCTTTGAAATGAGAGATACTAGAGGATACTTGTCTTTTTTACTATAGGTTTGAAGTTGAACTACCCACTTGAGATTTTTTTCAAAAAAAAATCTCCGTTCTCTTCAAACCTTCGTTTGATTCCCTATTGCCTTTTTCTGAAACGTATTGAGATGAATGTGGAATTTTTGAAAAAAGTTCAAATTTTTCTCTCTTCTGTTTTTTTCATTATTTTTTATGAATATTCGAAAGCATCAGATCACGAAGGATGACTGATAAATTAGATTATTAAGTGAAGATAATTTTTATATGCCAAGAAATTCCAGCAGCTATAACTGAATTAACTATTTTTAGTTAGTAAACTTAGGCTTCTACAGAGGTCACTAAACTTTAGCCTCTTAAGTGGCCACTATTTCGACCACTATAGTTGTAAAAAATCTTATAGGCTCCCACAAAAAGACGAAAATAAACGTAAAAAACCAAAATCGGCGCCGAAATTCAAAAGACGGGTGAAATAAATTGTTGGCCACTGAATGGATCTTCGAGGGCATCTAGACATTCGCGAATTGAATTCGACAAGCAAAGTGGCCGAGAGGCGTTGAGAGACACCTGGGGGAACTCCAACCGGTTGGCCCCCGTCCAATTACGGCCCCCGGGGCTCAACTTCGTCGGAGTTCGAGAAACTTCCGACGACAACCGGTCACGCTGACCCCCCAAGAACCACGTGTCTCGGCCACAACTACTTGAACTTCTCACAAGGAGCTTGATTCAATTCTTGTTTGAGAACTTCCTGAAACTTCGCCAAAACACTCTTGAATGTAGCAGATGAATATAACGTGTTCCGAAGCAAGAACATTCTAAAAACAGTAGAAAAAAGCCATCGCAGGCTCAAAATTTAACGGGGTTTTGAGAGACGATCCAAAGTCCATTTCGCGTCAGCTTGTCGCAATTTTTTTTCTTCCAAAAATACCGTATGCCAAATTAGATCAAATATGACCCCATTTCGCTTAGACCTTTATTTTTTACTGTTTATAGAAGTTTCGTAGAGCAAAACTACGTATTTATGATAGTTTTCAGTTGTTTAGTACAAATAGAAAAGAGAAATAAGAGATAGTTGGATCAACCAATAACTTTTTGACATTGACAGTTTTGAGTTGGGACTGAAATAAAATTCAGAGTGGTTTTATAAAAAATATTCAAAAACTAACCTTTACAAAAGTGCATTGAAAGTGTGGCCGAGAAAAGTGAACTGGAACAGAAATGTGGCAAAAACGAGCCCAAGAAGTTAGGCATTGATCGTTTTGGTTGCACTAAAAATTCTGAAATCACAACTTTTTTTTGAAATAAGCTCCAAAAAACTTCGCAATATTAACAGGAAAGGTCATTTTACTTTTTCGGTTGGGATTTCCCTGAGAATAGGAAAGAATCCTTTTTGATGTACCAGATGAAGATCCTGAAAGTCTCAACCTGCACAACTTGCTAGTTTTCGAGAAATAAGGGCCTAAATTCTCAAAAAAGCCTTTTTTGTGGGTTTTTTTTTTGATTTTGAGGAGTCTTTTCCCAAAAACGAGAGAGCTGTGCAAGATGAGCCTTTCACAATCTCTTTCTGGTACTCTAAGGAGTATTCTGGCAGATTTTCAGGAGAATCCCAACCGCAAAGTAAAATGACCTCCCTTGTAAGGTCATTTTTGCTTTTGACTTTTGTGAAAATAGTTCGTGAAAATTATTTTCCAGCAAACTACTCAAATTTCCACAAACATGTTCTTTAATTTTTTTAAAGTAAAAAAATTTTTGATACTATGAAACCACAGCCAGAAAAATCTCCTTGGTTTTCGGTTTGAAAAATTCGTCGCTATTTTTCAAAGTCTCATCAAAAATTTCATTTCCAAGGCACCATATAATATTATTTTACAGCTTTTTCTCGGAAAATCATTCCCTTCTGAAAGTACTTTGCTCTAGGAAAATGCTCTTCGTTCCCTTGACAGAAAAGGAAACGAATGGACAAAAAATGGCGTGTTCTTTCTCACCATTATTTCCCACACGAAGAAAGGCTTCCACGTAGCAATTAACCTTCGCAGGTACACATTTTCGGAGGCAATTTTTTTGTTCAAATAAAAAGATCAACAAGACTTTGATTCTTTGGCGATTGGACCAGATGAAGAAATCTTCATTGAAATTTGAAGCAAACCTACAACCCAGCGAATAAAAAGAAATAAGTGAATCAGGGAAAGAACCGGTTGTACGGGGGTCGTAAATTCAGAAAGGAAGCACAAGGAAACCACGTATTTTGATGGGTCTGAGAACAAGGAAAAATCGGAGACAGAAAAAATTGAGGGATTTCTGGCTTTGGTTGAAAGCAAAATTATATTACACAGTGCAATAAGATGAACTAAAAGTGATCACAGGTCAGGTCGATAATTTCTTAAGGACACGAAGAAACTTGAACTCGTAGTAAATGGTGAGGATCATGGCGAGGTTGAGGACGAAGATCAGGAGCTGGACGGGCCAACCCGGCTGTACCGCCACCATCACAGCTAGCATCGCCGCGAAACCCGTTTCCATCACTAACTGCAAACCTATTTCAGCTGTAGCTTCTCAGGAAGTTCAATTTCTGACAATCTTTCTGATTTTTTCGTGCTACCTTCTAACAGCAGTTTTGCAAGAAAACTTCATAAAAGTTCTGAATTTTGAAGTTTGGATCAAGTTCTTTGTAGGATGCCGAATTAGTCAATAATTATTTTTTTAATAAAACGAAAAAAAATAAATTTTTCTTTTTCTTTGAAATACAACATCCTGAAATATATTTTTCAAGATTAGGACGGCCTTTTTTTATGTAATTAAAATGGAAGATTTTTGATCTTAATTGATTTAAAAAAATAACTTTCAGTACTATCTGATGTTTCCAAAGTAAAAAAAAAGCCTAGAAAAAAAACCAACACTAAAAAAAAGATGGACGTAGATGAAAAGCGACGAATTGGCGAACAAGGCACACAAGGCGAAAAACGAACAGAAGACGTAGACGATGAAGAAAGTTCCCGTGATCATGGTCGCCGTCCTGAAGATGGTTTTGAGACTGAAACCGAATAAATTCCAGACTTTGTCTCCGGAAGGACGAATTCGTGCTCGGGGATCCGCATGACGACGACGTTTTCGGCGACGGCGAACGTCGAGATGACGATCTGAGCGACGAAACAGGCGAGAAGGGGACCTTTGGAGGCGTTGTCGCTCTGTCTCTGCGACATCGCCACGACTGGGCTGTCCGTTGTTTGGAAACGCGACACCCGCCGCCGTCGCCTGTAAACTACCGATGCAGAGGAAAACTTTGAATCTTGTTCAACTGACAGGTGATGGAAGCCAGAGGGAAGTGACCACTTAAGAGCTCAATTTTGATATTTCCAAAAAATCATACATATAAAGAAAAGATAGTACGAGGTTTGTCGCTAAAATGAAAAAGTTTTTGAAGCATTTGGGAAAAATTCTAGTGGCCGCTTGAGAGGTTTCTCAAAGACTACTCGGAGGCCCCAAAGTGGCCACTAGAACCACTTCTACAGGAGCCACTCTTTTTCGCCTCAGTCGCCTCTATAGTAGTTTTCAATGATCTAGTAGTACCACTCAGACTTCTAAAAAGACCACACAAGTGGTTCCCAATTAGACCGTTATAGTGGCAACTTAAAAGTCAAAACGCTAAAGTGGCCCCTAAAAATATTCCCGGCATGACGGAAAAACTGCATTTCCTTCTCAATTCGTCATAACCTTTCAATAAATACAATCTATTCGATTTCCGCCAGCCATCCAAAATATTGCCAAAAGAGTTTGATTACGTCGGCCGACCTGGTTATTTCAGAAGCAGGGGCAAAAACAAGGGGCTGATAAGGCGATGGAAATGAAAAGAAAACTCACAAAAAAGCGTCTACGTCATCCTTTGTAATGTGCGGATTTCGAAGGCCAGACAGACCAGCAAAAAAAATTCTGCAAAATAAGTTTTTCTAGAGAGATCATAAATATATTAAAAACTTAGGATATTTATTATTTTATGTTAGAATATAAAACAAGTTATGGTATCCAGAAAAAAAGAAACCTGCAGAAAGAGCTGCAACGAGACCGATATGCCAATTGAAATCAGAAACGTCGTAATTTACTATGATCCAAAATAAAACTCGACATCCAAATGTGCAGCAAATCGCCTGAAAAAGTAACTTGAATATTGAGGGAACCTCAAAAATATTTCTATTTTTAAATTGTTTTACGCTGCAGTCTCTACAAACTTTTTATGTGAGACATACTGATACTTAATTTTTAAAAATTTAGAAATGTCCTCAAAACTGTTCAAAACTTATATATCTCGATTAAAGCACTCTCGTCGAATCTTAACTCACCAAAACGACAATGTGCGGGATCAACAACGGTTTTTTATGATTCGAAAGACCTATCATGGCGCCGACGGTGCAGACGATCATCAGCAAACTCAACACGCAGAAGGACCACCACTCTATGCTGGAAAATATCCCGTTTTACCTTTTTGAGAGCAAGTTTTTCTAGTTTCAAGCTTGTTAGGAAATCGAGCATAAATTGCTACTTCTTTATAGAGGACGGAGGACCTTAGCGCAACGGAGTTCTGCTAAAAACTGTGGAACTTCATTTCAACTATTTGCATGATTTCCTTTTTAGTCTGGTTCTTCAGAAAAGTCTACGTTCGAATTTCGGAAATTCAGAGAGAGCAGACGTCAGTGCTCTCTAGCTTTTAAAGAGGTGAGCCTCGATCAAACGTTAATTTCTCCACAGCAGAGATAGAATAAACACCGAAAAACCGTGGAAAAAATTATGATATTTTAACGAAACACTCCCCATAAAATGACCAAGAAAAAAGAAGTGGATACCTGACGTACTGCTTGTCGGGGTAGATGGAGACGCTGTTGAGCTTGGCGGAGATGACGGCGAGAGACGCGATGAGACAGACGCAGCTGCCGACCAACTGCATCAGGACGCAGGTCCACGTCAGCGTCCGCGTCGACACCATCCTGCAGCTTCCAGTTTCAGAAAATATATTTTCCGGAAGGCGACAAAAGATAAAATCTTGACATAGTTTCAGAAGACGTTGCGGTGGATGAAGTACAAATGATATTTAAAAGACGAAAAATATCGAGAAAACGCAGGACTTTTTGTTGAAAACGTGGGAGAATGTGAAAAAAGTTGAGTAATCGCCACACAAAACTGAAAATTTCTCATTCAAAACTTGTAAGCTTCATTATATTTTCAGATAAATCACTACTGAGTTCGCACAGACGGACTCAAAATTCCGAAATGTTAAAAAAATGAAGCGGGAAAGTTCCTTGAAATGTAGAGACCCTTTTTTGCCGTACTAGAAGCTTTGACGCTTTCTTTTTTAGAATTTTATGATCTTACTGGGCATAAATATGCTAAAGGAATGCCTTTGAATCCAAGAGCAGATATGCTATTTTTTATCAGGCTCAACTAGAAACTAAGAAAGTGGGTTGACCCAGTTTTCATCGAAAAGGTAAACTTCTCGGGAAGAAAATTTTCCATCTTTTTGTACCTTATATTTTGATTTGTCTGTGAATAAATAATATTAACTTTCAACATAATTCGGCGTTCGGAACACTAATTCAAATATTCATCAAATTTTTATTTCATTATTGAAAATAGCATCAACTCAATCGTTTTTTTTTGTTTTAAAAAGAGAAAATTGTTGTAATAACTACCGAATAAATTGAATTATATAGCAAAAGAAGGCGTAGATTTAAATGAAAAGAAACTTTGTAATAGCAAGGGAAAATGACTCACTAGGTATTCGAGCAGTTAATCCCACGCATTGCAGCTCACAAAAGACAAAATAAATGTTTTACCCGTTTGCAGGGAAACAAATGCTCCTAATCCTGTATAACATTTTATTCGAATTTTATAATCCCATATAATATTATAATTCGAAAGTACAAAGTCATGAGACAGGAAAAGTGCCCAGACCTTTATAATTTTTCCATCGTCCTTCGGGTGCAAGACTAATTACCAAGACAAGAAAAGGCAAGGATTGGAGAGTTATTCTTCTTGGAAAAGAAGGCGCTCTAATCAAATAAGAGCTGATAAATGATTCATTGGAGCGTGAATAAATGGTCCCGTTGGGATTCATCCAGACTTCCCGGATCAAAACATAGAAGCCACACGAACTCTTGTCCAAAGCAGAAAAGATGAAAAAATTGAGGCTTTAAAAAAACATTTCAAAAAAATCTCATAAGAATGATAAATTTATGTGGAGAATCCAAAAAGCAATTGAAATTTGAAGAATTGTCAAAAAAATTATTCAAACTCAAAATTTATATGACTTATTTCAAAGCCTAGAATTTCCCAACAATTTTTCCTTGAAATATTGAAAAAAATAAAAACCCAGTCACAATAATTGCTATTTTCTCCAAAAATAAGGAGTTTTCTGGGATACTGAGTAGATTTTTTGAATCACAAGGAAAGTTATCAGAAAATGGCTCAATGACACGCAAACCTCATTTTGACTAGCCACTTACCTTTAAACGGATACCTGAGTCATTTATATGTATTAGGAACAGGGATAACCTGATTGTCCAGAAAAAATTTTGGTGACCACTTGAGGGTTTCGACGCTTCAATGGTCTATTCAGTAATCCAAAAGTGGCGACTCAAGTGGCGAACGATTAGTGACCTCTTCAGTAGTCTACGCGATTAAAGTTTTCTCCAGTTTCTAATATTTTGGCGCTCAAGTTATTTCATGGCTTAGCATATTTCGCTGTTGTAAATCTGTACTTTAAAAAAAAAGTCATTAATGTGAGATAAAGAGTCAATTTCAATCGAAACTTCAAAGTAGAGTTGTGAGCTTTATAAAAGTCTGAATCGGGAAAAACGATGAAAATTTGAATGAGAAGTTCTATTGACTTCAAAAGAGAGTTTGGAAGATTTTCGGTGGCAAGGATCCCACAAGTTATTCGAACGAAAGGTTCAAGACAACGGCATTATAGAACAACTATATTACTCACCTGTTTTTAATAAAAGAAAAGGTGAAACTAAAAATAAGGAAGTTGAGGGGAAAAAGACGACTGGAGAAAGTTAGGAATCGACGTTGTTACTGCAGAAAAACGGACCTCGAAGCTTAATTATTATTATTTTTCCTCTTCTCGCCCTGATTTCTCCGAATTTCTCCTTTTTGATAAAGGGTCGTGAGAAAAATATTCAAAAAAATTCTTCAAAAAGAGGCTAAAATTAGCACCCACCATAGATTTCAACGCTTTTAACGTTCAAAAAACAACTAAATGTAATTTGAAGACAATGAGAAGAAAAAAATTTGCTCGAGTATCCCGCTTTCAAATTACGAGCAGTCTTTTTTGGAGTTGGATTGAAAAATAAATCCAATCCTCATTGTCTCAGAACACGTGAGAAGAAGATTTATAAAGTCGTTAAAACAATTATTGTAATGAAACATGCGCAAAGTTAGTAATCGGATCCGTTTCTAATTAATTCGATTTTCCCTTTCACAGAACTAAAACTAAAAAAGAGCTGAGAGCCTTAATTTGTGTTATAGACTTTCACAGGGAAGTTTTTCTTAACGCAAAAAGTCGTATAGCCAAAAGTTCACTTGATTGAACAAAAAAAAATTTCCCAGAGAAGCAATTTTTTTCTCATTCCAGTTTGTCGAATAAGGAACTGATTTACCTCGAGAGAAACAGTACTGCAATCAAGAAAATGAAAAGTCTTGAGAGAAGAAGCTTTCTTCCTTATTACTATAATGCGAACACTCTCTTCATGAAGACCCGACGGCGACTTTTTTGATCTCAATAATATTCTTCAGAAAGCCGAGCGAAGAAGAAATGAAAAAGAATAATGGGAAATTTATTGACTGGCAGATAAAAATAAAATTTGTATTGGAGTCCAAAATGAGCCGAAAAAGGTGAAGCCTCTGTGAGACCTAGAAAGTGCTAAGGAACTACCAAAAGCTTGTGCGGAATGGCAAAAACGTGGGAAAAAGGCTGACAATGACGGCTTTCGCGCATATATTTGACATGGACGACAAAAGAAAAGGCTGCAAAGTGTTGTAGATGATTAGTGACGCAACGAGTCGCGAGGGACCACTTGAGGGACAAAGAAGGCCGCATTTGGTTGTTTTTGAGAGTGGGGATCGTCTTGTGTACCACAGATTTAACATGAGGAAATATGAGAAGTGTTGAAATTGTATCCACTTTTTTTTTGCCATCACTTAGAGCACGCAATGAATATTTATTTTGCCGTCGTTTTGAAAAAAGAAGTCTTGAAAGGCCTAATGTTTCTAGTTGGTCGACTTGTCAAGGAAGCTCACAGAGAAGTAAAACAAAAAAACAGCTGGAAAAAGAGTGTAAAAGCGAAAAACTGCGGAAAAGCGGAGAGGAATTTGCATAGAATATGCCGCGTCTTCAAGGAGTCCTCGGCAAAACTTCAAATTTTCAAACACGTTTTTTTCTTCTCTTTTTCGTCCATTTTTCATGCAAAAAGAATCCTCTGAATGGGAGGCGTTTCTAAGGAAGAGGCGGCAAAAAGTGGAAGAAAGGGTTTCATAATTAGGAGTGTTTTCGGGTGGCTGAAAGAATTCTTCGACATTTATTAGGGGAGAGTGTTCCGAAGAATTCCCAGGCGAGTGATCGAGTTGTTTTTGAGAAAATCGGCCATTGCCTTTCCGAGATACTCTTGCAAGACCTTCCATTCAAGAGTTGGAAAATATCAGTGCAAAACCTAATTCTTTTCAAAAAAGACAAATTTAGAATTGGGGAGAAAAGTAACGAATCCCCCAAGTGACAAGTCGCGGGGATGCTTTTAAAGTAAGTGAACCTATGAGGAAGGAGCTCTATAGTTGTGTCAAAACAAAATCTTCCGATCATCAAGGCGTTTCTTTTTTTGTTCAACATAAAGAGCACTCGAAAAAAGTAATCAAATTAATCAACATGTTAGAGGTGATCTGAAGGAGCGACGAGAGAAAAAAAAAGTAGAAAACGATGGGAAAAGCGGCCGTGTTGTTGTCACACAGACACTTTCCTCCGTGTTCGAGTCAAACAGAAAACAAAAACCAATCTTTTCTTACCCTCTCCGTAATTTCCCGAATTCTAAGTTGAATCTGTTATCTGCTTGAATAGATTGCGAAAACGCAAAAGGTCATTTCGAGAAGATTTTATCGAAAAGCTGACAAAGTCGGCCTCCTTCACTAATCTCAAGTCTGCACCTTTCTGAATGATACTTCTTGCTTCCGACTTTTGAAAAAGAAAAATGCTCATTGGGTTTCTGAAGGCTAAAATGCAGCATAATTGATCCGATTAGACTTTTTCAAAAAACCGAGGCAAAATTAGCAGACTGACTAAAAAAAAGTTATCCATTCCCTGCATGGGAAGAAATAATATATAATTCCACCCAACAATTTTGCAGCTACCGTTAAAATCTGGAATTATACGCCTCAAGCACCCACAATGAACGTAAATAACATATGTTCGGTACGAAATTCAAGCACCGAAAATTGAATATTCACAGTGAGTTTCCTATAGACTAAAGTTCGAGCTTCTTCTAAATATTTATTTTCTTTGAAGTTTCTCAGAATGTTTCAAGATTGAGTTACGCGACAATCGCAAACAAGCAATAGGCCACGGAAATTGAAGTGTCCAAACAAAAAGGCAAAAGAAAAAATTGAATAAAGATGCGGCCGAAAAAAAAAATGAAACGGCGACAAAATCTTCACAATAAGAGGGCTTCTTCGCGCGAAAAAAACGGCCGAAGCTCTACTTCGAAAAAAAAATTTTCTCGTAAAAGTTAAAGATGTCTTCAAAAACAGTATTGAACCAAGCTGAAATATTTGAAACATGGAGAATAGAAAAATAAGTAAGTATAAGCTTTTTCCTTCAAAAATCTCATTCTGGAATCTGTTCGAAAAAAACCTAATGGATTTTCTTACGCGTTTTCTGGAGTTTCAAGTAACTTTCCTAGATCCATAGTTTCTTCCAGTTAAAATAAGTATGTTCCTACCGAGGAAGGTCGTTTTACAAGAAAGTTTGAAAATTGCTTCAAAAAGACTTTGGAAGTGTAATCTGTGCAAGAGGTCAGAAATCGGTCCGTTTTTGAATAAGAAGAAATTTTGCAGGTTCAAATTTCCAGGATCTTCTGTTATTACATCTAACACTATGTTAGAAAAACTTCAAAAACTTCAAAGACTTGATCAGAATCCTTTTTGAGGGCATATTCCGATTAATTAGCAAAAAATAGAATGAAAAACAAGACGAAAAAGACTACAAAGTCTTGTTATTCATCTCTTCGCCGCACTTTCCTCCTACAAAAGGCTCACGTCTCCAGGGGACCTTCACAGGAAAGAAAGAGAACATAACACCAAAACAACCCAATTTGTCGCAGACGCTGAATGTTTCTCAAAATATTTTCGGGGATGTTTTTGTAGGCGCGAAAATTTGGTTATTTTGATCGTTCTCAATGGACCGATGGAGTGGAGCCGTTGGTTCCGCTATGAAAATATCACACAGGGCAACGAAATCTATCAGAAGGAAAAGCTGCAGACACCGACGTAATTGATGGGCACATGGCGGTCATCAGTCTTCGCCTGCGATTCGGTGAAAGTTCGCACGACTTTATAAATCGTCTCTCAAAGGTTCTTTACTTGTTTTGAGCAAGAAAAATTGAAGAGAAGCGGGTTTTGATAACAAAGTATTTGCTAAAATAATAGAAAAGCCCGTCTATCGTAGATAAGGTGAAGCGATGAAGAGTATTCAAAAAAAGGAAACTTTGAAAATTATCAAAAGTTCAAAAACGCCTTGCCTTCGAAGGCGCCAATTACTGCAAGAGAAGAAATTGTTCATCGTTTTCAAATTACATGATAGGATCAAAATTTTGTTGATCTAGAGGCATTGATATACATCTTGTTCCTTCATGTCTCTGAAAAAATTATATTTGAAAAAAATTCTAAATTTAAAAACACAGATTCTCGAATATGTTTTAAATAAAGCTAGCCAACGTCCAAGTTATTGGTGAAATCTGAGCCTCTTGATACACTTTTAAAAAATCAGTTGGAAGATAGAAAAAGTTTTGAGAAAAAAAAAAGTTTTCGCTAGTTTATGAAAAGACTCGAAGAAAGTCTAAAAGATCAACTCGTGGTTGGAAAAAAGATACTTTTCTCCACAACTATTTTTCTGCTCGCCTCAAACCTCAAGCACTACTTTAAACTTGCAAAATTCGAAATAAAATTTTCCGAAAGATATTGATTTTTTTTTTTCAAACTTGGTTGGGCAAAAAGAATTTAAAAATGCAAGTAATTGATTTTTTTTAACCAAAGAGCCAGTAATTGAAAAATAGTCAATAACTTTGGGACGGACGAAGATTGAATTTGATAGTGAAAGAGACGAAGAAAAGGCGACAATTGAGCTCTCCGTATGCTTTATTTTTTGCTAGCCGATGGCCTGAAGTGAGTGTATTTCCGCCGAGATCGCAGTGGACTCAAGAAGATCTTCGAAAAGTGTCGAGTTACACGCCGTGAGGAGCCGCTCCGAAATAGCGCCACCACGAAAATGAATGAAAAGTTCTGGCGGTCTTCGATCAGACCAAAAAACCACATCTTTTGCAAAAAAGAAGAAACCAACTCCGAGCAATCATTTTAGCAGGGCGCACGGAAGAAAAATTTAAATTATCGGGACCTATCCATTCTTTTCTCGCTCAACTCTGAAAGGAGATTTGAGAACGCAGTGGGAAAATGTACTTTCAGGATACTTCCGCCTAACTTTTCAAAACCTACCTAACTTTTTCGAAGCTTGATCTAAGCTGAGATCGAAAAAACGAACATTCTGAAAAAAAAATGTTCATGATCAACTCTTAGAACTAATTTGATTCAACCTTCGGTGCGTTAATTTTTGTCCAACTTCAATAAAAGCTTTTATACGAAACGTTCTCTGTCAAAAAAAAAAAATCCTCTATTTCTGCTGATTTTCTGATCTTTAAAGTTTTAAGTTCAATTTTTCCGTGTGGGCCTTCAAACAGGAGGAAATATTCCGTTAAAGCCTGGGAAATTTCTGAAAACCATCTAAAACAGTTTTTGACTTCATAGATATTCTAGATATATTCTCCGTGTAAAAACCTTTATCATAGAAAAATGGATTTGAAAATTGCGTGATATTGGTTTTGGTACCTCGGCCCTGTACTCGACTTTGAAAATATAAAAACCCAAAACTATAAGTTTGAGTAACTAGTAAATATTAACAGAAGATCTTCTACAAGATTTTAGAAGAGTCTTTGAAAAAATTCCAACTTTGTGAGTGAAATGACCTCTTTCGTCAAAGAATGCCCAAACTCCACGAGCAAGCTAAAAACGGCATCTCCATAAAGACGTAATTTTCTTGAACAACAAAAGCCCATAAAACATGTTGCAACACCAAAAAAAGGAAAGCGGATTAACCTTGCTTCGTCGGCAACTTGGCCCCGGGCAATTTCCGTGCAAACTTTTGGCGGGAAATCGAGTTTTGTTGGGTTTTCCCTCAAACTTGTGAAGGTTCTGAGAAAAGATAAACTCTATAGAAGGTTTAAATCAGAAAATGGTGGAACTGGACTTTCAGAGGCGCTTCCGCGAGTCGTAAAATAGCGAAACTGGGTTTATTAGCCATAAAATAGCAGCTTGAGAACAACCAACAGAATGAGCTGAGCTTGGAAGAAATAAAAAAATCGTGAAAAAAACCGCCAATCCTACGGAACCTTGTGATTATGTCCGGCAGTTGGATGTGGAAAATCGTCGAAAAAAAAACAATCAGCTAAAATCGCCTAGATTAAGAATCGGGGCTTTTCCACGTGCCATAAGTGGATTTACGACTGGCCTTGACATTTGAAAAAATTCAAAACGATAGATTTTTGTCTAGTGGACACCAAACAAGATACTTTTTTTGACATTTTCGTTTGCTCCTGATTTTCGAGAGCATGGGTCTAAATATGTCTGAGAAGCTTTTTTGGAAATTGATTAATATTTGAAACATTTTTCACTGAAATGTAGAATTTTAGAGTCAATTCCATCAGGAATTTTTCAAAAGAAAAACTCATTTCTGTTGTACCAATAAAAAAATAAATACTATTTTTTTGAATCATACCCATGAAATTCGCCCCACTTGAAACCGCGATTAGGATTATTTTTTTAAAACTTTCTCTTTGAATAAAAAAGTTGATAAATATTAAATTTTCCCACCAAGATGAAACAGTATTCTCGTATTTTCCCTTCCAATGTTGGACCGAAACACTTCCACGCCACGTGTCAAATATATGCTTGAGCAGATTTTCAAGAAAAAGGAACATTTTGTGAAAATGTCAAGTTCCGCTACCGCGCTTCGAAGTTCACGGTTGAGAGGGCGAAACTGCGAAACGAAGAAAAAATTGTTGCATTTTTGTTAAACTTTGAGAAAATAGTGAATCGAAGTCAGTTTTCAGTGAGAAAAGAGTCGAAAAATTTAGTTTTCAGTTGATCTATTTGGAGCGAGTACATGGAAATTTGTTTCAGGAGATCTCAAGATTGAGCCAAATTCTCCACAGAAGGATCTATACAATCTACCGGTTACCAAGTTCATTTTTCTCCCCTTCCGGGAACTTCCATTTTAGAGTATGAATCAAAGTTGTGCAGTTCAATTTTCGGCCAACCTTTGTATTCTTTGCTTGCTCGGAGGCCAATCTCGAACTAATTGCTCATTGGCAAGAGTTGCAAATGTCATGTAGGCATTTGAAGGAGGATGTCGCAATTTTGCAAAGCAACTCGATTCGAAGCAAAGAAACAAAGAGAGATTTGAACTAGGAATGAGAAAAAGTGTTTCGAGACGATCGCATTAAAAAAGATTGACGAGGGCAAACTACGTGAAGCAACACGTGTTCTTGGAAATCTTCCGGGGAAGTGTGAAATTTTCAAATAAAGTTGAGAAACATAATAAAAGTTTCAGGATGTACTGAGCAAACATATGAAAAGTGATTTCATTTTATTCAGGCTTGAGATTCTCGAAACCAAAGGAGAAACTGATTTGATTCAACTATGTGGGCTCTGATTTTATCTATCATTATTTTTACAATTAGCCCTATATTTCATCTAAAATCGTTTTGGCAGAATTAACATAATCAAAATATCGTAGAATAAGCATTCGAAATGCTTTTTTGGAGAACTCTTATGCTAACTCCTCATAAGAAAAAAAAGGACATATTTAAAAAAATTTTTTTGAAAAAAAGTTTTTGAACGTCGAAAAAAATATTTAAAAAAACAAGCTTGCAACTTTTTTTCACTACATAGAAGCCATAAAATAAAAAAACAAAAAAATTGAGAGTTAGTTTTTGCTGCGCTGGGATAACTAATAAACATAATTCCTCCAGTCAAGATTCCAGAACCGAAAAAAAAGTTTAAAAAAAGAAATTTATTCATTTTTGTATTTTTTTATATATATCGTTTCAACTCACTTTCTGTTTTTTTCACGTTTCACCTCACATCTCAAACACTCAAGCACTGATTCTAACTCAAGCCTAAAAAAAAAATCGTGATGCCCGTCTACTAGCAGTTTTTGATATTTTATGCAACTGATAAAGAAGTCAGGTTTACTGATTTTCAAGGTAGATTAAATCTTTAACAAAATTTTTTCAAGACAAACTGACAGGTTAAAAAATCAAAAATGGTAAGAAAACGGACTTGCGAAGGAAGGCCTCGGACATGCGACGCTTGCGACCCATGCTGGCGAGCGTGGCCGTCGGCGCGATCGAGAAGAATCGCGAGCTTTCCGAACTCGCCGTGCGACTCGGCGGCTCATCGTAGCGCGACGACGACGCGACGCTGATCGCTCGCAGCTGCTTTTCTTCGCCGTTGAGAGCGATTCGCGGAATGCTCGTCTTCATTCTGAAACGCAACGGGTTAGTTGGAACCGGGATGGCGTTGAAATGAGTCGTTTCAAAGGTGAAAGCGAAGATTAACAGGGGTTTCTATAGAGGAAAAACGGGGATGATCGTGTTAAAAAACAGGAGTTGGATGATACTGTTAAAGATGAGCTTGTTTCAAAGTTATACCGCCCCTGAAACGCACGTGAGACGATCATGTATTTCGGTTCTGACTGGTTCAAAAGTCGACTTGAAATCTAGCAGTTTGCTCCAAGACTTTTCGGTTAAGTCTTATTGGATCGCTTTTGGATAATGCTATACAACCACCACGGGTGAAGCCCTTTTCTGCCTGATCTGGACTTCGAATTTAGATCGATTAGACCCGCATTTTCAAGACATTGCTAGCCGGTCAATATTGCGCCGTCTGTTTCAGAGCCGAGACCTTTCGTAATCATTTTCTTTTTTGTAATTTTTGAGGACTTATCTCTCGAAGTAACAAAATCATGCGCCACTTAAAAAGTACATAATTTTCCACTTTATAACCTAAAAGCTTTCTAAACTAGCGTAATACGACCAGCCACCTTGAAAAAGGCGTTTAGAGTTAAAATTAAAATAGAAAAATCAACAAAAGATGAAAAAAAGCATTTTTTTTGTAAAAATGCGTTTAAAATTTGCACGCAACGATTATTAAAAAAAATAATCGCAAAAAAAGTTTATGAAAAACTTGAACTTCCTTGTTTGGGACTTCTTCGAGAAGAACATGTGCAGATAAAAATTCAAAAATGGTGGAGGAAACGTTTTTAGTTCGATCTTCGAGATGGAGCCTACCAAAATGACAAATCAAAATCAAAATTTCAAAATATCCTTTCAGGAGTAGTTTTTGAAAAAAAGTAAATTTATACAAGTTTGCCAAATTTGATAACTTCCATGTCGCAATTGGAATGGCTCATTCTCCCGTTTCCTCGGGAGAGAGAAGAGACACGGAAAGCCATTTCAAAGGCAGTTTGGAACCCATCAGATCGGCGCAAATTAAATCTAGAAGGTGTTATTTATGAGTTCATAGAAGTTCGAATCGGTTTTGGAAGGATAAATGAAGGCATCAAATCCTATTAAAACTTTCAGATTTCTTTTAAAATAGCGATTTCCTGGTCTAATCAGAATAGCACAAAACTCGTATTCAACGAAATTGTTAGAAAATATAAATGAAAAAAATCACTTCTGAAGCTTATAAATAAAAAGGAAAAAAAGCCCTCCAAAAAAACCGTTTTTTTCTTCTTCAAGTTATGTTTTAGCACTTCTCTCAAAAACTCTCCGTGATGAAAGCTATCCATTTTGAAAATTTCGCCTGTTTTTGGTACACCGTTGCTGCTAGTTAGTTCAGAATTATTACCATTCATTTATTTGTATTTGATGAAGAAAGAGATTTTTTAAAGACCAACGGAAAACCATTTGAGCTATGATTTTATCTCTGAATGTTAGGATCGAATTCAGAACAAAAAAGGAAGTGAAAAAAACTCTGATTTTGAGTGAATGGTTGAGAAAAGGCAAAACAGCGACAATTAAGAACTTAAGAATGAGATTGGTCTGAAAAACAGAAAGATTCCATCGAGAAAAAAAGAAAATTAAATTACACATTAATAGAAAACACTCTTTTTTTTTAAAGGCAAAGTAAAAACTGCTAAAATTTTTTGTGTTCATATGAGAAAAAGCGGTGGCGTTGGTGGGAAAAATTTCGTCTAGACTCAAAAAAGTGACAAGATTTGCATTTGGAAAAAAAACTCGGGAAGTTCAGAATTTATGCAATTCAATAAAAGAATCTTTTAAAGTCATGTGAAAAAAAAGTAACAGCGTTCACGTTCAAAAGCGAAAATTAAATGGAAAGTTATTCCTGGACGACTTTAGAAGAAGAAAAACATGCGATTAGTGACGGATCCCAAAGCTACTAATCGAACAAAGTTCAGAAAAGCTTTGGATTTTGAAATGGTGCGAAATAAGACTGAAAGTACTTGGAAAAAAAAGTCTTTCAAGCAGTTTTGAGAGCCTTTCTGAATGAAAGGTCCTTTTGTTAGAGAAGAAAAGATCTTAAAAGGAGAAGGTCAAAAAAAAAAATCTGTGAGGCTGAAGAAAGGCCGTTTTCGTTTTCGTTATTATTTAAAGGATTCGAAAGATCGTTTGCCGAAATTTAAAAAAAGCAAAAAAACGAAATGAAAAATTTGAAACCTTGCTTGCACCATCAATAGTTTTTTTTGACGATAAATCTTGTAAATTGTTCGTTTTTTTTTACTTGCTAACAGGGAGGTTCTAAAAAAAGCAGAGGAAAATATTCCGAACATCACTCCGCTCAAATATGTAGAGAAAGTGTAATTTTCCCGAGAGTTGAATTTAAAAGCGCGAAGAAAATGGGATTTCATGAGTTCATCGAAAAAAGTTGTCTGAAAGAAAAAGCTTATTTCGGAAAGTCGAAAAGTTTGAACATCAAAATATCAAAAAAAAAAAAACGCAAAAATGTGTTTTGGAATGATAATGTTTCTTGAATGATGCCTCTAATGGAAGCCTCTAAGGACCGTTCAAAATGAAAAATAAAATCATTTTTTAAACATAAACCTTGAAATTGGAACACATAAAATCAAAAATCTTGATAAACAACTTCCGATCACAAAGAAATGAACTGAGACAAGAAACCGAATAAGTTCCTTAAGGTACCTTTGTTTCCGGGTTTAGGTAACGAAAGACGCTCTCCGCATGTTATATTGTTTGGGGTGGCGACAATTCCAAGCGTCCGAATCCGAAAATAACGCCCAAAATCCTCAAAAACAACTATCTGGAAGCAGAAGAAACGAGTCTCCAAACCTACTGGTGGGGAGAGAAAAATGTCTGAAGGCCGAGGAAACGAAAACGAATAAGGCGGAGCTGCAAACTTTGAGGCTAGGCGTGGGAACAACGACGTTCCGTCCAGAGAAGTCGCCATGAGCTAACTGTGAGGCTCATAGACATCATCATCAAGGAAAAAAAGGAAAGAAAAGGAAATAATGAAGATAAATGAAGAAAAGAAAAAATTTGTGAAACGCGCTCCGCTGCGATGGAAAATTTCAGAGTGGTCACTCAAGGGAACGGCAACATACGTCGGGAACTTTTTTTTTATCCATAACGATTTTCTAAACTGTCCTGATTACATAATATCATATTTTTCTTGTATTTTACTCACTGGCGTGCATTATTCAGATAAGGAAATATTTTCAGAGACATCTAACCTTGGGAATGAGCATTAATGAAAAGCACTTTAGTCTCCCTACGCAAAAAAAACTTCGTGGTAAGTATTTCATTGATTTATAAAATCACTGTGTTTTTTAGAATCAATGTATTCTGTTTGATATTTCTCGCTAGAGTGGTAAAGGCGCATAATAAATCTTTCATGACCTCGAAATCTTAAAATGGCTCTTCGTGTCGAGACCTCCATCAAATTTTCAATGCTCCTGAAAACACTCCAGCAAAGATTTTTGCAGAGACTATGATGCAGGAAAATGATGAGAGGTGTTTTTAGTGCTAGCAAAAACAGAAGTACGATTATTTTCGCTGTCTCCTGTTGACAACGAGAATCTTGCGTCATTAAGCTCCGCTGTTATATATTTTGGCCTCGTTAAAGTCGTTAATAAGTACTAAAAAAGGTCATGTTCTCTAATAAGATTCAGATCGCAATCTCAGCGATGCATCGCGTGTTGTAAATTTTCTAGAAAAAACTACTCTTATTGGAAACTTCGAGTGAAAATTCAAAAAAAAATTAAGATATAGAATTTTTTTTCAGAAAAAAATTTTGCACCCGCCGCAAAAAATTCTCCAAGTTTTTTTTCAAGATCCTTGTCAGTCAATCACTTTTTTTTCTGACGTACCCCGTCAATCATCTATTATTTTCGTCGGCCGTTCAGAAAAGAAGAAAATGCTCGTAGATTTTCTCCTCAAGAAAAAAGGCTGGGGTTCTCGCCATGAGATTTATGAAAAATATAATTTCAGAGGGAAAAGAAAGTTCGAAATGGAAAAAAGACATTCTAGACATACTTTTAAATTCTGAAACTTTTCCCCGATTTTATAGAAGCGAACGGGTTGTTTGTTGATGAGTGATGTCCGAAGAAGGAGTACGAACTTTCATCTCTAGACATACAAACAATCGAGGTTGTAATAAAAAAACTTTTAAATGTTTATATTAATTCCTAGAATCTTCAGAGAACTTTGAAGTGACAAACTTGATAAATTTATGTTTGATTAAAGTTGTTGAGTCTAAGCTATGACTTTAGTGAAACCCTCCAGATGTTCGAAAAAATAAGTTGACTCATTATATTAAAAAGAGGTAAAAAAGGGGGAAAAATTCGAAGAAAACATGGAAGAAAAAAGGAAAGCAAATTATATTAATGAAGTCTTCATAAAAACATCCAACTATCTTGCTTCCGTTTTTTCTTGGGAGCTTTTGAGTTGAGTTTATTAGATTTATTATATGGCAAGATTGCGGAGTAAAAGAATATCGGTAAAACGAGAGGATAAGGGAATTTGAGGCGGGTTTGAGCTTGCGAGTAGGCACAAACTTTTATTTAGAAAAAGTTGATTTTCGATTTTATTGGAGGAATGTTGAATGAAAATCGGAGAAACATTTTTAAAAAGAACAAAAAGCGAAAATATTCCTGAGCCAAAGACAGACGAAATAATTGGCCTGTCTGCCTTTCAGCCACGAAGGAAATGGGAATGGGGCGAAGAATCGAATGGATCTGCCGTGTTCAAATAAGAGAAAAGATATTAATGTCTAGCTTAACGGGAAGTGCTTGAAATCCGCCAAAAAAGTCTAATTGCCATGAGGCAGCCCTTATTTGGGTGAATCTAAAATGACCTCGGCAAAGTGACGTCTCTCAAGACTTTCAAACCCAATTTCCCCTCTTTTCTATACTACACGACAACCTTCTTTCTTTCGATTGATTGACTCTTGTTTTTTTTTTGTGAGTAAATTTTGAATTTTTAAGAGTTGAGAAAATAAGAAATTAGGATACTGTCGTTTTAAAAACAAAGATTGAAAGAGATTTTTTCGAAAGAACGAAAGAAAAACTGTAATTCATTTTCCTGAAACAAAAAATTCACTAACCGGGACGAGCTACCAGAAAACTGAGTAAGATGGCTGACCCGGGAAGAAGATGACCTTCGAGGCACCATTTTCTGAAGATTAAAGTTCGAAAATCTTTTAAGAGCTGGTAAAAAGAGACAGGGACATACCTTTACAGTTGTTCACGAGTAGTACAACTTCGACTAAGCACAAAATGCGCAATAATCAAGCTGAGCCGCAGGTCGAAGCCGAAAATCAAGTGGAATTGTTTGTCGACGGCTATTTGCCGAGTGTTCTATCGAACCTAGTCTACTCGACAGATAAAATCAGGATTGAAAAGATCAGAGACTAATTAAAAGCTCCATGAACAGTTTCCGTGGTTCCCGGTCCGATTTTATCATCTTCAGGTTTCTTTTTAAATTGTAATGAAAAAAACGCAGCGCAACCGCAACGCGTAGAGCTATTCCTTGCGTTCTTCCGTACTTTCAGAGTGAAAAAAAAAACACTATAATCAATTAACATTTTTTTAAAAAGATGTTTTAAAGAAATCATAATTAGTTTGAAGCTTTCACTTTCTTCTCTCCTTGTGCGGAATTTCAACAAGTGACGGAGGCTCTCCGCAAACATTTGTTCAACTCGAAAGATTGGCACTAAACGACCACTTGTACGGTCGCCGTCTCATTAACCTCTTTTTCTTCTCATTCTTTCAATTGATAAATTTTTTTGAAAAATTGTTTTGGAAAAAAACCTTGTAGTCTAGAAAACAGTTTCAAACTTTTTTCGCAGTTGACTTTGATAAAACTATTAAAGAAACGTTTCTTTTCATTCATTGTTTTGCTAATTATAAATAAAAAATAATCTCTGTAGCTAATAATTAGTGGACTGTCTAACTCTGATTTCAAAAACTCTGCTTTTTTTTGTCAAGAAGAAGAAGAAGCTCTCTAACTTCTTCCTGATATTTGGGTCATTTTCATCTTTTTCCAAGTTTTTTTCCCCATGAAGGCTACATAAATCTGAATCGGATCCTTTGTTTTTCGTAAATCAAAAAAGAATGGCGAAGTCTCCGGGGATGTTAAAAACTGAAAAAAAGGCATGACTTCTTTAGGAACACTTTATATTTATATGATGCTCCGCATGAAAGCAGTTAAAACTAACCGAAGCCATACGAATCAAAAAATTAGATCTTCCGATTGGCTAAATTTTTTTTTCAATTTGATTGCTCTTTTTTTCAAGCGTTTAAAAAAATTACAATAAGTCCATTATTTAAACTAAAAAAAGCAAATTTTTTTATCGCGAAAACCGGTCCAACTGATTCTATTTTTTTAAATTGACCTTAATTCTTTATTTCTGCAAATTTTCTAAAAAAATCAAATTTTTTTAGTTTTTTTCAGATCGAAATATATAACTTAAGCTTCAAAAAAAGCTCGGTAAAAAAATTGGGAGGAATATTTTTTTCCTGTTTGGAATTTCTACAGATAATTACCATTCCATGTGTAACATTACGATCAAAAAAAAAGTTAAAGTTCAATTTTTCTAAATTTTCGACATCCTCCGCATTTTCCAAGTCGATGCGCATGTTCTTCTAATCTCACTAGGCTCGACACGCCCCCTTTTTGCTTCTCACTTTTTTTCCCCTAGCCGATGTATATATTTTTGCAGTCTCTATAGTTCAGTGTTGACTTTTCCGGTATTTTTGGGGATTTCAGAACCGTGACGTCGACGGGTTTCAAGGAACACTTGTACAGTGTCATGGAATTCGATGAGGAGCCGCAGGCGAAAACGGACGTCGAACGAATTTCCATCTCCATTGTCACGGTTTCTTTCTTTATGAAGTGTTTTTTTGGCTCATTTACAAGAAATAACAATTTTTGAAGCTCTTTCCTATTTTTCTATTCATTCTATCAGACATCAGAGCAATCAAAAAAAGCTCTGCTGAATCATGGTAGATCTGAAAAGCTATTCTAAAGTCTTTCCAGTTTAAAAAAATTTTTTTCGGTATTTTTTTCCATCGGCCAAATTGGTTTCCAGTGTTATTTCTGATTTTTTTCAAGACTTTCGCGACTTCGAAAACCTTAAAAAAAGTAATTTTCAACAAACACCTAATTTTTTTAAAAAAATTTTTCATATTTTTTTCTGGTTTTTCCAGTTCATTTCAGGTGGTTTACTTTCGTTCTTAATTTACTAAAAAAAAATTTTTTTGAATAACCGAACGTAAAAAGGTCAACATTGCTGGAGGTCACATGAATTTTTCACAAAAACCTTTTTCGAGGGAAAAATCCTTCTCTTTTGGTTTAGTGCAATGCGGTTGACCGCAGGTGCGCCCTATAACGAAGTGCTTGAAGTAAAAATAAAATTTTTCCTTGGTCTAGTACTAGGAACTATTGAAAATGAACACAATTGTACTTTGAAAGGGAAGTTTTCGTTTTCTTATGAGAATAATTTTGAAAGAAACTTTTTTGGAGGTTGCTCTGTGAAAAAATGTGACTTCAGTGGATTTTTTTCACTAGAAAAAGGCTAAAACTTGCTCGGAGGATTTTCATTACTTTTCCGTTCTTACAGTATACACTCTATATATACGAAAAAAAAAATGAATTTACTCGTATGTTTTGACTATTCTTTAAATTCCTCAAGTTTATTTTAGATTATAGTACAATTGAGGGTATTGAATCTTCTTGTCCGCGATTTCAGAACCTCTATGCAACTCTAGAACGTTTTAGAAAAAGAAATCTGCTAATTGGTAACATTTGATCGATGGACACCTAGTTGAGCCATTCTAAGAGCTCAGTGAGCTTTCTCATCGATTATTGATTTGTCAGTTGTTTCGCCCTTAAATTGAACTTAGCTTCGAAAGAGTTATTCTCAACTTGCAAGCTTATGTGATGGCTCAAAGTTTGGCGGTTTCATCAAAAGTCATCAGACCCAAAACGACTTGCGCATGGCGTAGCATTAGAAAGGATTCCAAAATGTCAAAATATAAGTAGAAAGAAAGCGCTTTGAGCCATTCCAAGTGCGACCCCGACTTTTCGAGTTGCGAGTTATGATGTACATCCATTCTCAGAAGCACGGACGGTTCCGACGCGCGATTCCGCGGATGCCGATCGCGCTGGCGGTCTTCTGCTGCTTCTGCAACGTCTTCATTCCAGGCCTCGGTGACCTTCTTATATTTCATGCTCGAAACTCAAAACTACACCATTTTTTGTGTTTTTTTCCGACTCGAACAAATAGCCGAAAAGCATAAGAGCTCCCTTTGGGACACGGGTTCCTTTTTTTTTTGAAGTATCGCTCAGTTTTTTGCGCCGTGTTGGTGATATTTCTTCGAGAAAGACCGAGGACCACATGTTTCTCCCAATTTCCATCCGATATTCATTTGCCGTTAAATTGAGGCCCAAGATCGAAGAATGAATCTGGAAAGGAGGAAGTTACTGGAAAGAAAAAGATGCTTGATGTAAATATTAGTTCTCTTGATCAATAACAGAACTTTGAGGGCTGCAAAAAGGGAGAAAACTTGATTATGTGTCCTTATTAGGGATATGAGGGCAATAAAAATCATCTTTTGCCGCGAAAATTTTTTTGGAAAGAATAAAGTTACCCAAAATCAATGAAATTAGGCTATAAAGCTCATGCAAAAAGTATATTCCAAAAAAATCTATAAAAAAATTTACGTCTTTTTTTCGTGCAAAAAGTTAGAATTTCCAATAAATTCCTGAAAAAAATTTGTTTATTGAGTTTTTTTCAGCACGGAGACAAATTGAAAAAGGACTGGAAAGATATTTTTTTGAGATCTTTAAAATTCCAAACGCGATCCAAAAAAATTAATATGAAATCCTCTTAAATGATCACCTCAACACCTTTGTATTCTATTCATCCCTTTTATCTCATTTTTTCAGGAACCTTCCTGTCGGCCTTGTCAATATTGTGTTGTGCCGACCCTCGCGGAGGCTCCAAACTGAATTCTATGGGTATAAATCTCCTTGCTGCTTTATTACAGGTTCATATATCAGCTTGTTTGTAGTTTGAGTAATTCTCAGTACGATATATCACCAGAAATTGTTTTTTTTAAAGGTTGAAAGAAGCTCGCAGTTTTCAAAAAACATTGAAAAATTCATGATTCAGTGAGACTATCATAAAAAAAACCTACCAAAAAGCTTGTTTTTGATACCGCGGATTTATCACTAGTTTTTTTCACGAACTGAAAACACATATTTTATTCAGAAAAGCAGAGCTGTGCGTTTGGCCGAGGATAGTGGCCGAAACGGCCCACAATCGTAGCAATCGCGAAATTTTTCTATCTCGTTTCATGATTTAGATTACATAATTTTTCTAAATAACATATTTTCGATCACTCACTTCCCCTTTTAAACATTCTATGAAATTTTCGAGAGAAAAAGGTTCGAAAAGTGGCAAATTTTCGACCGCTTCGCGACCGCGTTGCAACACTGTGGCCAGCCCTGGCTGGCTCAGAGCACAGCTCTGTCAGAAAATATAGGAAAAGAAAAATCTGGGAAATTTAGAAGTTCTATAAAAATTTTTTTTGATAAATATTCTTTAAGGTTTTTTTGGGCTTTTTTGAAGAAATAGATTTTTCTTCTTATAAGAAAATGTTTAGTTCCTTTTTCAGAATAGAAACATTTCGAAAGAAAAAAAAGAAGGATTTTTGGCGCTTCTTCGAGTTCGAATCGTCGAAGTACTAATTGTAGAAAAACATAAAAAAATTAAATAATCATGGAATTTCTTCAAATATGTGGGAATTTCAAGTGCACTTTTATCATGAAACTATTGGTTTTCAGATCAAATTTTCAGTCGAAATGCAAAAAAAAAAACGGTAGATCATTTGAAGAAATTCTCAATTGAAAGTTGAAACATCTTCTGATGACCAAACTACACAGAAAAAAAAAGACTAATTAACATTCTAAAAAGTGTCAATTGCAGCTGTTGACGTGTCCGCTGGTGGTGGGCTTCGTGTGGTCGGTGATCTGGGGCGTGCTTTTCATCCAAATCGCCCGTAAGTGGTTCATTTCGGACATCGACAGTCGCTACCACGCCCTCGACTGTTGTGTGTGCAGTAGATGGTGATCGTGTTGGTATTACTCTCCGTTGTTTCATATTTTATCATTAATATTGAAAGCTTTCCCGAGAAGTTGCTTGAATATCGAAGTGTACAAAAATAATTGTGATTCATGATCCTTTCAGAATTGCTTTCTGGAAACGCGTGTATTCCGAAAAAATGTGTTCTGGAGTGAGCTTAAAGTACCTACACTTTCAAATAAGTTTAATGGGTTCTGAAAAGACTATAATCAACTTAATAAATCCGAGAAATCAGCTGGATCAGGCCAAAAGAAAAAACTGGTTTCTTGAACCAAGAAGAAAACTGAGAGAAAAGTATTTCTAAAACAAAAGGGTGTTTATTTTTCCCATTCTTTAAAGTTATTCTTCTAGCCTTGGTTATTTCCAGTGAGTCATTTCAAAATTGGCAACTCATCAATAGCGAATATTTTTTTGAAATAACCACATTGATTCTAAGAGCTTCGAATTTCAAGCTATACTTCTCTATAAATACATTTTGGAGTGCCCTTTTTTCTCATTTTCACGCTTTAAATGATCGTTCCTTTGTTTCATTTTTGTGTAAACTTGTTGTGATTTTGTTGTCTTTGGTGATTGATCTGAGGCCTTGAAGAATAGGCAAAAAGTTTGCAGATGAAGAAGAAATAGAGCGAAAAATCGCAAGAAGAAGAGCCCAGGAGACGGCGCGAAGCCTGATGGAACATTCACTTTGAACCTTACTGTATAAAGCCATTTTGCCTCTTTCTTTTGCTCATAAAATTTTATTGACTTTCATTTCTACAAAGATCGCCGGAGGGCAGTGAGCAAAGGAACACAAAAATGGTGGGAAACAAAATGGGATTCGAAATAACAGTTTTCGAAAATTGATATTTACATATTACGATTCGTTGAGTACTGGCCCTATCAACAAAAATATGATGCATTAATGGTTCATAGGCAGAAGATCATTAGATAAGTGATTTCGAATCACAATCAAAATGAGAAGTATGAAAAGAAAAACCGTTGAAAACAATTATTAAAGCTTAATTATCGATTATAAAAAAATATTATGTCATACCATATTGAGACATTTGATTCGCCCAGGATTGTGCAGTTTTCTTTCTTATCGTCAGTACACAGCAATCTTTCTTCAACTTGAAAGTCACGTCAGAGATCTCGGCAGGGAACCTTTGCACCTTGAAAAATTAAATAATTACAACTATCATCATCATCATCATCAATATTTATTGGTTGTTTTAGTCAGATGGAATCGACTAAGTATGATAAAAAAATTTTAAGAAATTCGAAAAATTAACGTTGTAAACCTCAGAATGTTGAACATTATATTTGAAAAAAAGAATTATTTTTCGATAAAACTGTTTCCTGAAAAAAATTTTCGGAGAAGGTAAAACCTCCGGTAATTTTTATCATCGAAAAAAGAGCTCACTAGTTCAAGATTTCTGCCAAGGCTCATAATAATGAAAAAAAGACAAAATTAAAAAAAAATTAAATAGCTGAGCTCAGATTTAAATTGCATCTAATTGACATTATAAACAGGTTACAGAACATAAAACTGAAAAAAAAACTTATCATTTTATTTTTCTAATTTCAAAAATTTGACATAAAGCTAGATTCATTGAAAAAAACTTTGAAAAAACGCTGATTCAATTTCGACACGAGAAAAAAAAATAATGTCAACTCTTCATGCAGCCATAAAATTTCGCACGAAAAAAAAAATGAAACCTCGTAAAAGCGGCGGTCGATGACAGTTTTCTCTGGAGGCTTTTTCTTTTTGTCGATTTTGACGATTTCCACTGTACAACCGAGGCTGCTGAAAGACAAAAAATTGATAATTTATTGAACAATAATCTGAAAAGAAAAATTAAGCAATAAAATTACTTACTAAGGGTCGCTTTTGAGATAGACTTGTGTATTGGAAGCCTTCATAAAGGTCTTTTCTCGGATTCCAGGCACGACCAACTGGATTTCCAAGTGGTTCAGGTTGTCATCGTATCGGCCTGAAAAGAGAAATGAGAACTTTATTCAGATAAAAAGGGAATAAGCAAAAAAAAAAAACTCACAACCCAATGGGCCTGGGATGCAAGAGGTGTCCGACTTGGAACTGTCGGGAAAAGAGGCCATGGCGGCCTCGTCCAGTCAACTCGCAACTGAAATCGAAGAAAAAGTTGTGATATAAAAAGGACGGATAAAGTAATATACTGAGGACGAAAAATGACGCGGAAGTCTTAAAAGAGAAATAAAAAGTGAGTCACATAGGACCTCTATCTATTCGATAGCACTTCAACTATTTGCACCAAGGCACTTGAACCGCGTCGAAACTATCGATCCGACCTGGCGCATCCTATCCCAACCGTTGCGAAATAAACAATGGGATTTTCAAGTTATTTCGAAGCTGTTGAAAGAGCAATTCGTCACCCGAACCGCATTTCGGGAGACGTTGGTAAAATCGATAGGATGGTGGCCTTGAGAGCCAAAATGAAACCGCAGCTAATGAGAACGCCGTATCCACCTTCACTTTATTCAAAGTTTCTCTCAAAACAAAGCAAAATATAGTTCCAACAGAGAACTTGATATTACAAATAAGAGCACTTGTAATGAAACAGCTCCTCAAATTCTAGATTCAGAATTCAAAAAAGAAAAAGAAAATGAAAATTAAGAAAACTTGATTGTGACGAAGATTTCAACTCATTTATTTCACTAGCAAAACACGTTAATACGAAATAGAGAGAAAAGAAGTAGAAATTCTCAAAAAAGTTCAAAACGATCCACCACGTAAAGCGCGGCCGTGGAAAACAACTCAAGGACGAAGTAAACAAATATTTGGTTTGGACTTTTCGGCCTTGGCCGTTGGCACATTTTTCAAAAAGTTTTTTTTTCAATTATTTTTTCCCTTTTGATGAATAACAATTTTTTGTTATAAAAAGTTTCTCTTTCTTTCGAGTCTCATTTGACTTAATATAATTAATTTAAAAAAATATATTATCGGATCTAAATATCCTCTGTAGGTTTAAAAATTACCAATTTCAAGTTCTCCTGTCGATTTTTCTTGAAGAAATATCATTAAATAATATGTGAACTTCATATGTAGACATATTGAGTTCAGAGTGCACTTCTTCTTTTTATAAGGACACTTTCGTAACGCGGGTTGTTGTTTCTCATATCTTTTTTTCTGTCTAGATGATTATTGTTGTAAAACGTTTACGTCACTGTTGCGAACGACTTCATAGGACATCCAAACATCATTGATCTCCCCCAGTTAAATAGAGAGGAAGGAGCAACAGACCACTGTTCGGAGGAGACACGTGCGCCTTCAACTCAATCAATTTTCATCCTTCTTTCCACGCTTAAAAACAGAAAAACGTTTCAAAGATTTCAATCTCTTTCTTTTGTCGACTGAACCTTCCTATTCGCAAGGTTTTTCGGCCGCCTGTAATGGTGTCACCGCCTTTTTTCTCGCCGTATCAAGGATTAATTGTTTGTTCAGTTTGTTTTTCCAAAGATCACTCTCTCAATTCATCTTCTATTTGAGATTTTTTGAAGTTTTAGTTCTGTATCAAATATTTTTTTTATATTTACCGATCAGTAAAATCTGGCGTTTCGCGTATTAAATCTTCCCGTACAAACTTTACTTTTTTTTTTAATTTTGGGAGGTAATCTGTCTTTTCTTTTTTGACTTTTTTTTAAAAAGCGCAATAAAAGTCTCACCTTTTTTTTGAGATAGTGAAACAAAACTCAATTCCAGCGAATGGTAAAAGTCTGAAAAATACTGGTGACCGTTTTTTTTTGAGAATCTCTTTCGTCTTTCTCTTAACGCCTACGTTTTTTCCTCTAGTTTTCCATGTACTTATTTTCTCTAGAGATGCTGGCCTCTGCTCGCTGCGCTTCCCAGAGATCCTTCTCGGCTTCTGCATCAGCCAAGAACCGTGTAAGTTCATCCAACTTTTGACCTTTATACCTTTTTTTTTTTGAATATTCTTGAGTAGAAGAAAAGTGTCAATTTCAGGAAGCTTTCATCGTTGGCGCAGCCCGCACGCCGATGGGATCTTTCAGGTCGTCTTTGGCGACGGTAACCGCGCCGCAACTCGCCACAGCCGCCATTACCGCGGCTTTGGAACGCAGTGGAACCAAGGCTAGCGCTGTCCAAGAGGTAACTTGAGCGTTTTCTGAAAGTTGTTGTTGGTTTCAAGAGAGGGAGGGCTTTGAGACTAAAAATAATCGATTTTTTGGGTTTTTTTATAAATTTGTTCTTAGTGAAGCTGAAACAAAATGAGCAATTTTTTAGACTTCAAAATTTGAGAATTGAAAAAATCTCCCCTCAAGTTATATAATTCAGATTTTCCTCGGCCAAGTTTGCCAGGCCAACGTTGGACAATCGCCCGCTCGGCAGGCTGCTTTGGCTGCAGGTGAAAAGACAAAATCATTTTTTTAATTTACCCTGTTTTCAGGCCTGGATTTGTCGGTGACGGTTACCACGGTGAACAAAGTTTGCTCCTCCGGTCTGAAGGCTATTATGCTCGCGGCGCAGCAAATTCAAACAGGCCATCAGGATGTGGGTTATTGGAGATATATTAATGCTTTTATTTTTTTTAAATCATGCTTTTGGTCCTCCACGGGTTTTCTTTCAAATCTGATTTCTAGTGCGTGTTTTCATATATCCTCTATTGAGGTATTAGAGAACAGAATAGGAAATCAAATCTTGAGTAGAGCGATTTTTGAAAAGCTTACAACTGAAGTAGATCTTCGCATAGGAATAAAACGTAACTTTACTGGAAAAACATTCGAAATTCTTGAGGGAATAATCCGACGTTACCAACATGTTCGATTTTCAGCATGAAAGTATAACCATTCGATCCGTCTCGTCGAGATACGTACGAATATCATAAAATTATTTGGCGCTAGTAAGAAGAAATAACTTTATGGTGTGCAACAACCAGAAAAAAATTTCAAAAATTTCGCTGTATTTTTCGACGCTGATTCAGTTCAACTATCGCTACTACGCCATGAGAAGAAAAAATCTTTTAAAATAGGAAAAAATTTGAAAATTATTCGAAAAAAAACAATGCAAAAAAGAAAAAAAAAAATGAGAAATCACAGTAAAAATAAGCGACCGCGTCGAAGCCCGCGCTTACGCACACTATGCTCCTTTAATATTTTTTCTTTCTTTTGTTTTTGGGAAATACATTTTACAGATTTTTTCGCTACGCGTATCAAGTTTGCAAATCTACCTGATAGTGTTTTAGTGTCCACGTTTTGAAACTTCATGCTTTTTATGTCAAGTTTTTCATTTATTTGACGAATTGTTCGCTGTGGCTCAGTTTTTTCGAAGCGATCCACAGTCGGCTTCGCGCTATGCGCGCTCCGCCTCCGTGTGAAAGCCTATTTTCTTAAGTAATAAGCCTATTTTCTTAAGTAATTCATTAAAAGAAAAAGCAAAAACTTCTATTCCTCAGAATAATTACCTGATTGAAAACTAATAAAGTTCATCTTAAAATTTTTCTTAGTGGTCAGCGCCGAATAATTTTATGATATTCGTACGTATCTCGACGAGACGGATCGAATGGTTATACTTTTATGCTGAAAATCAAACATGTTGGTAACGTCGGATTATACCTTCTTGAGGTGTAATGGCTTTTCTAGTTTTGGGGCTATAGTTAACGACCTTAATTCATGTTGAATTTGGGCTTCAAAAATTCATATATCTTAAATTAATGGGAATATAGCGACTATGAAAACATATTAGCTTTCAGAAAATTTCTGAGCAAATTTGAAAAATTCCACTTTGGACCTTCAAAAGATCTTTGTTCAACTTTTAACTTATTTTTAAACACAATGAAAATGATTTTAAAGGTGACGATCGGCGGTGGAATGGAGAGCATGTCGCAAGTGCCGTTTTACGTGCCCCGCGGAGATATTCCGTACGGCGGCGTTCAGATGATCGACGGAATCGTCAAGGACGGCCTCACCGACGCCTACGACCGCGTTCACATGGGAACCTGTGGCGAGAAAACGTCGCGCGAGCTTGGAATCAGCCGCGAGGACCAGGACCAGTACGCCATCTCCAGCTACAAGAAGGCCGCCCAAGCCTGGAAGGTCTCTGGCTTTTTGAACTGGATAAAAAGAGATAGTGCCTGGTTGGTGGAGAGCCCAGACAGATCACGCCTCTTTGCGTCCCAAGCTATCCGTGAATCGACTGCACCTCGGGAACAATTTACCCCTTTTTTCAACACATTTTTTTGTTTTCATATTGATCTCCAAAAAAAGTCATGAAGATAATAAATTTTTTCATCTTTCAGGATGGAAATCTCGGTCCTGAAGTCGTTCCGGTCAACGTAAAATCGAAAAAAGGCGTTACGGTGGTCGACAAAGACGAAGAGTTCTCCAAAGTCAACTTCGACAAGTTCACCTCGTTGAAATCCGTTTTCCAAAAAGGTATACTTGCTTAATTGAAGTTAGGACTATGGACTTAAAGAAAATAGTTTCTGCAGGTTGACATCAGAAATATAAGGTGGAACGAGTGTTAAGAAAATAAATTTCGCGAAAAGCCCTCAAAATTCAACCAAAAGTCCTTTTTGAAGACGGCACCATCACGGCTGCAAACGCCTCGACGCTGAACGACGGCGCGGCCGCCGTGATCGTCGTATCGGCGGACGCCGTCAAGTCGCACAACCTGAAGCCGTTGGCTCGGATTCTGTCTTTCGGCGACGCCGCAACGCATCCTCTCGACTTCGCAATCGCTCCCACTCTGATGTTCCCCAAGGTATGAGTTTATCATGGACAGGAAGACGCTTTCGGTTTGCATTTCTTGTATTGCTACATTGAAGGGTTTTTTTTTGCTTTTTAAGATTCAATAGACTTTTTCGGAGAAGGAAAAGAATCATGGTATAAAAATGTATGACCCATGGAAATCCCGCACTTACTTTTAGCTACGAGAAAGTCTCTTGATTTTGAAGGGTTTTTTTTTGCTTTTTAAACGTGTTTTTTGATAGGTACTGAGAGAGCCTAATAAGAGTAGACTTTTTTATATATTTAATCCACCTTCTAATTTTTATGCGATAAATTTCGAACAAATTGAGACGGCTTCGCTTCGAAATTCCGTACTGTTTTTCAAGTCCTTCAAAACTGATTATATCTCGAATTGATGTTTTTGGAGTCACCAGTGTTTTTTGGTTGATTATTCGAATTGGATGATAAGGATAAGCCCTAATTTTCGATTTTCGAATCTTCCGCAGTCAAAAATATCTCTATTTATTTAAATTTTCGTTATTTTCCTCTGTAGGACTCTTCAAAAGAAGTAAATTTATTCACAATTTCCGCCGATACAAACATCGAAGGAAATAGGGAATTTCTCAAGGTCTTTTTCTACTAGTAATGCTCACCAGAAAGTCAGGAGGTTTTTTATTTCAGCTTCTGGAACGGGCCGGTGTCACCAAGGACGAAATCGCTCAGTGGGAGGTCAACGAAGCCTTCTCCTGCGTTCCTCTCGCCTTCATCAAGAAGGTTTGAAATAACCAATATTTTTCCAAGGAAGCTCAAAATTCAGATGGGAGTTGATCCGGCGTTGGTCAATCCTCACGGAGGAGCCGTTTCTCTCGGACATCCCATTGGGTTCGTTTCTTTTTCTTTCCGATATGTGGGGTTTCAGTAAAATACCAGCTGAGCGTCGAATGAAGACGTCAAAAAGCCACTTTATTGGAATTTTTTTAATATTCAAGGCTTAATAATTTTTCTAAAGCTTTCTACTTCGAGTAAAAAGCGCAGAAGGGATATGCCGTAACGGAATTTTGTTTATATTGAAAAAAAGTGTGTATTTAGAACATTCTGAGCTGTAATTTTTCTTCTAAAAAAATAAATTTTTTTCATAAATAATAATTCAATTTCTTGTCTTGCCCGACGTCTACCCCATTATTAACACAAACAGCTCAAGAACATTGATGTTCTCAAAAAAACCTACTTAGTTTTTTGTGTCTTACATAATTCATGTGTTTTTTTCTTCAAGTTCAATAGATAATTCAATCAATTTCCATTCTTTTTTTCCCAAAAAAAAAACGTTGTTTCACGCCTAAGAAAAAGATTATTTTGTTTTCGCTTTGCGCATCACTGTTAGAAATTGTTGCTCGCTGATAAGTGTCTTGTAGTCGTGTACTTTGCAATCTTTGATGGTATACTTTGGTCTCGTTCAGCCTTTATCAGCATTTTTTTCCATTGCGATATCATGTTTTTTTCTCATGCTTTTTTTGCGGTTTTTCAGAGCGTAGTCTCTTTAAAAAAAAAGAAAAAGAATCTTTTTTGTTTTCTCTGAACCTTCTCTGAAGACTGAATAACAGTTTCAAAGTTTCACAAGTTTTTTTTAATTTCAGATTTACGGCGAAAGATTATTTGAAATGAGAGTATTATCAACAACAAAAAAATCTGTTTAAAACCCGATCAAATAATTGACTTCTTATTTCCTTTTCATAATTCCAAAAACTTGATTCCAGGATTTGGAAAGTAGAATTTCTGAACGATATTTTTGAAAATCGGTCTCGCAAAAATTTGAAAGATAGCAAGAATTCTTTCTATTTTTCTTTAATTCTCTCTGAAAAAAACGAAAAGTTCAGAATGTCGGGAGCCCGACTGATCACTCACCTGGTCCATACTCTGAAGCCAGGCCAAAAAGGCTGCGCGGCCATTTGCAACGGCGGCGGCGGCGCCAGCGGAATGGTCATCGAGAAACTTTAAATTTTCCAAAGACATCCAATTCGTCACTAAATCCTCTATTTCCCTTCCTTCCTTCCTTTATTCAATTCCCCTTCCTAATCATGCCAAATCAATTGATTATCGTCAAAGTTAAGGTATCAGTACGGATCGATTCGCGCTCATTGCATATTTTGTAGGTCTTGCAACTTTTATGCCTTGGTTTTTGTTGTTGTTGTTGTTTAGATTTTACGATCACGGGACTTTTTTCTAGGTTTATTCATTAGGTTTTCATAGTTTTTGTATTTAATGCTTGTTCTAATTGTATAAATTTGTTTCTTCTTGAAATAAAGGTGCTGAGTTTTAATTTTTCAAACGAATATTTTTCGTTGGGTCATGTTTTTACCATTAATTATTTATCATGATAAGCCTCTCCGACGAACTATTTCTCTGATTGGCTGATGAAGTACTTTTTGGAGCTAATCGGTGAACTATTTCGTTAGAACGCACTTTCCAGGGCTTTTTGATTGAAATACATAATTTGTTATTTGAAGGACAGAAGCCGTCCGGAGACAATGAGCGACAAGGTAATCTAACTTGAAGAAAGTTTTGATGAAAAGGACGTTTTGAGAAAGTTTTCATCGTCTCCGGCGTCCGCACTCCGATGGCCTCATTTCGCGGCTCTTTTTCCAAAGTCTCGGCCGCCGAGCTGGGAACCACGGCCGTTCGTGCCGCCATGGAACGATCTGGTTGGTTTTGATTGGATAAAAAAAGTCAAAAACAGTGCGAAGAAGGGACCAGTACGATATGAAGATCATTTCTGAAAAAAAGTGCAAAAAAAACTGGAAAGAAAGAAAATTAAACATTTTAAGATTCAATTTCTCGATTCTCTTTTTTTATTAATTGAAAAAATTTTACTCAAGAAAATTTTGAATCGCCCTTACATAGACCTTCTTTGATTAAAAAAAAAGAATTTTTGAGCGGATTTTCATTTTCTCAAGCAAGTTTCCTCTTATGGATTCCTTACATTCACATCCAACTATAGAGAATGAATCAAGGCTAATTCTAAGTTTTAAAGTTCAACCATTTGAGCTTTGTCTGTTGCCTTGGAGACATCAGAAATCTGCATTTCTTCAAAAGTTTCGAATGGAAAATTTTTTATCATCATGTTATTTTCATGGTCATTTTTTGAAGATGAACTTTTGAGGAACTTTATCATTTCTAAGTTTGAAAAATAAGAAAGCAGTTTTGTATAATCATCTTTTTTTTTGTCAGGGGAAATTATTGGAATATTTTTCATCGATCAAAACCTAACCTAAACTTTAAGAGAAGCTCAGTAATTTATATAATTTTTGACAAGCTTCTGATTGTCCATTGGTTGATTTAAAAGAAATATTTTTCCAGGATTGAAAGACTCGGAAATCGAAGAAATAATCGGCGGATGCGTTTTGTCGGCCGGTCAGGGACAAAACGTCACTCGTCAGATCGCCCTCGCTTGCGGTTTTTTATTTATTTGAATATTTTCGCACTAGAAAGTTATTTAACTTCAATTTACAGACTTTTTCAGATTTCCCGGCGTCGGTACAGGCGGTGACTGTGAACAAAGTGTGTTCATCTTCGATGAAGGCGTTGGTTTTTGCCGCGATGTCCATAAAGTGCGGATACCGTAACCGGATCGTCGTGGTTGGAACTGAAAATATGAGCCAGGTGGGGGAATTTTCGCGATTCTTCATACAAGTGATTTTTTTATTCCTTTTTTTCGGTTCTTTGTTTTTAATGACAAATATTGTCTTTCTGAATTGAAATTTCGTTTTTTAATGATTTTTGTGTTCTTGTTAAAATTTGAAGCTCTAGATCAGATAAATGATCCCTGGTTATATAGGATTTTTAAAACTTTCAAAATTTTTGGGATTTTTTTGTTCATTCATTAGATTAAAGTTGAAGGTTTAGCAAATAGTTTCAAAAAAACCTGATTTTTTTAATTTTTTTAGGTGCAAAAATTTAGTAATGAACATATACTTCAAGATAAAAATGTATCAAGCTGTCATTTTTTTTGAAACTTTATGAAAAAATCCTTTTTCCTCCCCCAATAAACAATTTCCAGGTTCCTTTCTACGTTCCCCGTGGAGAACTTCCATATGGCGGCGTTACCCTTACTGTATGTTTCTTTTGCCCTCAAAAATATTCTAATATTCAAATATTTCCAGGATGGAATCGCCAAAGACGGACTCGAAGACGCCAAAGAAAAAGTGCCGATGGGCGTTTGCGCCGAAAAAACTGCCAAGGTTTCTTTTTGCCTTGGAAGTTTCATTTCATAATATTCTTCCAGGAAACTCAAATTTCCCGCGCAGAACAAGATGAATACGCCATCAACAGTTACAAGAAAGCGGCGGCGGCTTGGCAGGTCTGTTTTGAGGGGGATATATAGTGGAAAAGTTCTCTGCTTGAGGAAAAACGTATCGAAATTGAACTCAAAACGAAGTCTTCTCTTTCGAGTATATTTGTCTGAACTAAAATTTGAAGGAAATTCGAGAATTCCAGTCGTAGTTAATTCTAAATGTAGAAAATATTCTCAATTCAAAACCATGGTCGAATTTAATTTTTTTTTTTCTCAGACTAACTTTTCCTATTTCTTTTCAGTTATTCGGAATAAAAGTCTAAAGGGGAATTTTTTCAGACCCCTGCGGATTCAGAAAAGTGTTGTTTTTATATTTACCTAATGATTATGAACATTTTTATCCAAAGTGTTTGTTGTCAAGATTTTTTGATTTTTTAGTTTCCTTTCTTTTTTGAGAAGGTATCCAGTTGTTGCATCCCTTTGATCTCACATTTTTCAGACCGGAAAATTCGCCGATGAGGTCGTTCCAGTGACGATAAGCCAAAACGGGAAGCCGGGAATCGTCGTCTCCGAGGACGAAGAATTCAAGAAGCTCAACGAGTCCAAGGTCGGCTCCTTAAGGACCGTTTTCGACAAGAACGGCACCATCACCGCCGCCAACGCTTCTTCTTTGAACGACGGCGCCGCGGCGGCCGTCGTCGTCTCTTCCGAATCCCTGCCACAAGGTCGGCAGAAGACGTGTCGATCCAGAAGATTTGAATGTTCTCAGGCGCGACTCCGCTCGCAGAAGTCGTTGCTTTCGCCGAGGCTGGCCTTCCTCCGATCGACTTCACTTTGGCTCCGGTCAACGCTGTCCAAGAGGTTCGGAAACCTGTGAAAGGAAAATAAAAGAAAAAAAGAAGGTTCAGAGGCGTTTCGCAAAAAAATGAACTAACAGTTGAAGAGCCACGTTCTTCTTCTCACTCGCGATTTTTTTTTAATGACTACTTTTAACCACAAAAAAATGCTGTATAGACAATTCACGGCTAGCTTGGGACGCGAAGAGGCGTGGCCTGTCTGCGCTCTCCACTAATCAAGCACTTTCTCTCATTTAGTCGGGTCAGGACCTTTTTTGGATTTCTCAAGCAAGCCGCGAAGCAGCTACAATTTTTGGAAAATTCCGAATTCGAGCTCTATTAAATAACTTTTTTACGTCAAATGCAACGTGAACGCGTGGCGTCTTTATAAACTCGTATGTGTGTGTGTGTGTTTTTTTTTTCAGTTTATCTTCACTTTAATGCCGTGTTCAAAGTAATTTCGCGAAATGCAAAAAGATCTCTGACTCTCCAAAATTTAGTTAAATTTTTCTTTCTCTGACGGCTATTTTTGCATTTCGCGAAATTACTTTGAACACGGCATAAGATTTTGAATGTCAAATTTATTGACAGTCGCCTTTTTTTTTAACAATGTTTGAGATCTCAACCCAGCTTTTGCTATAAGCAAAAAAGCTTGAACCTCTCAAAAATTGAAGTAAGAGTCATCTCGTCTTGTAAAAAAAAGATTTTCAGCTCCTCGCCAAGTCGAATCTGAGCGTTGGCGACATCGCGCTATGGGAGATCAACGAGGCGTTTTCGGTGACTGTCTTGGCGTTCGCCAAGGAGTTGGGCGTCGACTTGGGCCGCGTGAATGTCAAAGGCGGCGCCGTGGCTCTCGGACATCCTCTTGGGTATGTCGTTCGATTGGTTGAATCTTATTTTTTGAGGCCTTCAAAAAGGACTTTTTCCTTTTTGATCTGCAGTCATCGTTTAAGAAAGATAAACTGTAGTTTTGATAATTTCGATAATTTGAAAATGAAGAGGAAGTAGCATGAGAGAAAGATATACAATATTTCTTTAATTTTCAAATTTCGAGGTTAAATTAAAATTCAAAAATAACAAAATCATCGAATGAGATTTAAAGTTGAGGTAAGATTTAGTTAAAGTTTGAGAAATATGACCGTTCTGAAACTTTGATGTTTTCTTTCCGATTTTATCACCTTCCATCAGACCTGCTGATGAAACGGGCTTATTAGGGCGGCTCGACCCGCATAAGCCACATTCTCAAAAGAGCCTTTTTTCTTAACTTTTTCTACATTTCCTCTCATTTTTAACATTGCGGCTCGCGACTCCCCGAAATGATTTTTCAAATCTCGGGGCACCCATCAACAGCTCTTTCTAAAATCACTTGACTCTTCTAGGTTAAATAACAGTTTCCGACTTTTTGTAGAATGTCGGGCATCCGGATCGTCATTTCCTTGGCCCATTCCCTGTCCTCTGGCCAATACGGCATCGCTGCCATTTGCAACGGAGGCGGCGAGGCGACGGCTGTCCTTTTACGCAAACCTTGATTTTTCAGTTTCTTGTCTAATTTATATTTCCCAAACCATTTTTACATTTTCCAATTATGATACATCTACATTGATATATTGCTACTACTTTTTCATTTTTACCTTGCCTTTTTCACTTCGAACAATTATGTTGATGGGTCCTACTGGTTATGGTTTTTCCATGTTTCCTGTATCATGTCGCGATAAATTGACCGCAAATCGGTCTGTCTATCTCTATTTTCTGGTTTTCACCTTGTTTTGAAGCTGTTTTATGCAGTCAAGTATCGATGTTTATTCAGGATGTTTGATTTTTGTGCAAAAAGGAACCTTATCTCAAAGAGGCGCATCTGTTTTTCGTGATTTTAGCCTGTTTTGAGTTTTGTTGTGGTGTTCTGCTGGTGACTCTATTAGGAAGACTCCGATTTCGGTTTATTATTGCTTCCTACTTGTTTTATGGAACGAAAAGTTTAAGAAAAATAGTAGTACTGTATTTTTTTTTTACTGACGCTCCGTTTTTTGAGCCAAAAATTCTAAGAATCGTTGAATTTTCAGCGTGAAACATGTAGCAAACATTGGAAAACGTTTTTAAGCATTATCTCTTCATGACTTACATTTCTGTTATAAGCAAGCTCTGAAAACCTCAGAAAACAACCCAAAAACGAGAAAATGGCTTTGATTGGCTACGGAGCCTTCGCCGCCCTCGGCGGAGCTCTCATCTACGCGAATCTGCCGACGAGGCTGACAATTGGAGCGGTCGCTCCAACGGCTTCTTACCTGGCCAAGGCGAAGCTGGTACCTGTGCGTGGAAATCCCGAGGAGCCTGAGAAGATCGACAAGTCCGAGGAGATCGAGGTTTCGCCTTGCTTCGACTGCCAGTTTGAGATATTGGTTCAGGCCTCAAAAATCTTCGAAAAAGGTCCCACGATGGTGATGGCAGTCCGACGTCCCGGATGTCTCCTTTGCAGGTGGGTGGAATAAGAAATCTGATAAAATTGACTTGTTTTCAGGAAAGAGGCCAAGGAACTGAGCACTCTTCAGCCGGAAATGGAGAAAAACGGAATCCGATTGGTGGGTTCCTGTTGAGCCGAAAAAATAAATTTAGAGGAATTTTCATTTTTTTTAGATCTTTTTTTGCGGTCCAATGAGATGCCTTCTCAAAAATACATAATTTAGGAGAAATTTAGATCCAAAGATCAAAAAAAATTCTAATGAAAAAATTTTTGCACGCCTCAAAAAAGAAGGTGAAAAAAAAGGGCTGGCATATTTGAATTTTTCCTCATTTTTCCTGCTTATTTCAAATGTTTTCCATTCGCATTTTCCCGTAATTATCACGCTTTATTCATCACGAAAGCTACCGTTTCGCAGAGAATTTTGAAGTTTTGTACCGAAATGTGATGAATGATGGTATTGTGAAATATTTCTTATCAAAATTAGATTTTTCCTTTTTTTTTTTAAGCAGCCTCATTACAGTTTTTTTTTTCAAAACTTTTTTTATTTTTTTCAAGATTATTTGTGGTGATTTCCAAAACCAATCTAAAAGCAGCTCAAAAAAATGACGACTAAGAGAAACTCTGATCGTTTTTTTCCTTCAGACGGACGGATTTTTGCTTCATTTTTTTCAGTGAGCAGTTTGCGAGGAAAATCTCTTAACACTATAATATTTATACTTTTTTTATAGGGCTGATATGCTTTTAGTAGTTCTCCAAAAAGGTAACGATTTACTCTACAGATCGCCGTCGTCCACGAGAAGAGAGGAGTGAACGCCTTCAAGCCCTACTTCAAAGGCGACGTCTACTTCGACGAAGATGTAAACCTGAATCGTGTCATGGATCATTCTCCCTCGTTTCAGAAGCATTTCTACGGTCCGAATCAACGTTGGCTGCCGATTTGGATGGGCGTCCTCCGTTTCGGTACCTACCTGAACGTCTGGAACAGCAAGAAGGCCGGTTTCGACGGAAATCTCCATGGCGAGGGCCGGCTCCTTGGAGGTGGCTATCAAGAAATGTTTCTTAGCTTTTGACGAAACTTTTTTGAAATTTACTTTGGGGTCTCCTTATTCCGGAAAAATTTCCTTGCAATACGGTTCAGACAGAAAAGACACAAAAAACAGTTTGATCACAACTTTATTGTATAGAATTCAATTTTTCTGAAACTTTCTGGAGTTAGGATGAATGTTACTTGTAACACAAAAAACCCAAGTTAAGGGGAAACAATCGTTTGTAACACAAAAAGCCTTAGTTTGCAAGAAAAACATGCAGCTTAGAAAATTTTAGGAAGATTGAGCTCCATGTATGAGGATGTTGTCAGCAAAAAATTTATTTTTTAGCGGTGTTTTTAGGTTTCGTTTCTAAGTTCCTTCCTTTTTAAGTTTGTAAAATAAACCTTTGAAGCGTCGTAAGTCGGAAAACTTTTTTTTCCCCGAAGTTCCATCTAAAGTAAAACCGGCTGGCGGCTGGAACAATCTCCCTTGCAGGACAAAACTTGAAAAGTTCAAAAAAGAGGCTTCAGGAGTCTACCTGATCGCCGACGGCGAGCTCCAATACGCTCATCTGGAGAAGGAATGGGGCGACGCGGCCAACATCGACGAAGTCACCCAGGCCATCCACAAGTTCGGCAAAAAGGGAAATTGAACCTCGAAACTGTGAAGATCCCATCTAGTTGCTCTCCCTCTGTATGTACCATTTCAATGTAAATAATCATAAAATTTTATTTATGCGCCTTTCTTGTTTTAGCTCGAGGACAAGAAAAAATCCACTTGATCTGAGAAATTTATATCCAATGGATGTTATCCATCCCTGCAACTAACAAACTTTATTATATTCTTTTTGAATTTTCAATTTTGTTGGGCAGCTTTTCACACTTATTAAATTCCAGAAAGTTTTGGATATAAGAAAGCTTAAAATAAAAAAAGGGTTAAAAATCTAAACTTGAAAATGTTGGCGGTTTTCTGGAAATTTGGCTCTTGTTCACGGAAAATGACAACTTTTAGATCTTGTACGGGAGAAAATTACAAAATTCCCGAAAAGCATAGTTTTTGTATTTTTTTATTTTATTTTTTATTTCCAAGTTTCTGATTTTTTTTTTATGGAGTTATGAGCGTTTTTCTGATTCTGAGTAGGTTTTTTTTATTTTGAAAAAAATTCAGTCTTCAATTTAATGGAGGAGTGTTTTTTTGCTTTATACAGTAAAGGTTACGGTCGTCCAAAAGTTGCATGAACTGTATCTAATCAAATCACTCTGGGTAATCGTGGCTTGATAAGATATAGTTTATCAGAAAAAAAGATCCTTGCTGAAGTGTTTATTGGAGCAACTTTATCGCGAAGGATCCATTTCACTTTTTTTTTCCAAGACTTTGAAGTCTCAAAAACTTTGGAAGACGCAAATTAGAGCAAGTTTCTCTAGAACCTCAACTAAACCAAGAATAAAAAACGAAAATTTGAGTTTTTTTTTCAAAAAAATAACCTGCCGTTTTCGGGCAACCGGTTTGACGAGGCCACTTCAACTAATCCCAAAAATCAAGGCCGACGGCGTGATTCTCTCAAATCAAGGGTTGAAATGGAAATTTTCCTGTGATCCTCATGAATCTCAAGAAGTTCACGAGGATCTTTCAGAAGTTGTTGATGATCAAGCGGCTGTTGATGTTTATACCGAACATGTGAGTGAGTTCCTGAATGACGCAAGTCGGACCTCCGAATCGGGGTCATTGCCGCCCACTTTTGGTTGAGTAATTCTTCGCTCCGACCTCTTCCTCCGTTCACGCCACAATAAACTGATCCTTCCTTTTTTCAGATCATGAAATTACGCTTAATCGCGATTTTTCTTCTTTTTTCGGCTTTGGCTTTAGCGGGGGATGTCGACTCGGTTAGTTGTCTTCAGCTTTTCGGAAAAAGAATCTTGAAACTGCTTTAGTTCGTTCACCGCTTAGTTGAGGCAATATTCAACGAAGCTATTTCCGTAAATAGCCAAAAAAATAGTTTGAAGAAAGAGTTTTGAAATTGCTGTAGCAATTTTCCTAACTAGCAGCGAAAAAAATAATAAAGTAAATTGAAAAATTAGTTTTTTTGATGCCAGTTAATGAAACATCGCATTTATACAACTTTATTTCATTCAAAACACTGTCCGTTAGTTTTCTTTTCTTTTATGTCAAAAAATTTAGGATTCTGAGGAAGACGCGCTCATCGACGGCTACTTCAAGTCGTTGGACAACGTTCTAGTTAACGTTGGTTTTACTTTTTGTGTCAAATGAACTTAAAAAATATGGAGTTTCGGCCGTATATTCTGTTTTTCACTTGCTTTCTCAATCCGAAACCATTTTGGATCACGATAAGTTAGGCTAATTGGCCGAAAAGTCTTTTAGAGCTGCTCAGAAATGAGCCGAAAATTAAAAAAAAAGATCAGATATCTTAAAAATCATAAAATCTTGTCCAAACTTTTCCATTTTTCTTCCTCTGTCAGCTCTTCGAGAAAAAGACCCAAATTCTTAAAGGTGGACGAACGATTGAAGGAGTTACCCAGCGAAGAACGGTCGAAAATAGAACAGAGCGTCGGAAAAACGGAGCATCGCGTCAAGCAAATATTCGACAACCTATTTGGGTCTCCGAGAAAAGTTTACTGTATGAAAAACTATGTTTTCAGAATATTACGCGGCGAAGGAATAGATCGTACAGATGTAGGCGATTATCATGTGCCGAGCATCCGAGAAAAGTTCAAGAATGCCACTCCGAAGCTCAACCTGGACAGGTGAGTCAAAAATTGGTTTTTTTTTGTGTCATTTGACTGACTTTGTATTTTTCCTGAATGTTAGGATCTTTGTACTTCTATCCAATATTGCTCGAAATTTTCCTTTTAACTGCTTGAAATTTCGTTCCGAATACTCATAACCTTCTGCCGTGTTCAATTTGATTCCGCAAAAGACAAAATGATCTCTGACTCTCCAAAGTTTAGTGATGTTTTCCTTTCTCTAACGAGTATTTTGCATTTCGCAGAATCACTTTGAACACGGCATTCCATATCCTTGACGAAAACCTTGGAAGAAGATATTGAAATGGAAAAAAACCACCTAATCACAAACTGTTTTTGAAAAAAAAAGAAAATGTGCGAAGTGATTCGTTCTTAGCATATCTAATTTCAGTGTCAAGAGAAAATTAAATTAACGGTTTTTTTGAATCTGTACTTCCAAAAAAGGCGGATCCCTTTTCAGAGCGCATGTGTGTGTGCACGAAACGACGCCCAAGTTCAAGACGGACCTCGTCGAGGAGGACGGCTGGTGTCAGGTCTACTCCAACGCGCGTCTTTGCGTCCAGAAGCCGGATCCGGAAAGCCGAACGACGGTCCGCGTCGAGAAGTGCTGCGAGGGATTCGACACCGAGGATTTCGCCCATTCCGGCTGCTCCATCGGTTTGATATTCCCCACGTTTTGCATTTATTTATTCGAGAAGTCCGGTTGAAAAAAACGCATTTCTCTTACTAGCTGAACTGCTTGCAGAAGTTGAGCAGCGACTTTCTGAGCTTCTCGAGGTGATGAACAAGACCGACGTTAGCGCCACCAACTCTACGATCATTATGAATGAAGAAACCGAGAAGGTATCTTTTTTAAAGTTTCGTAATATTTTTGAAGATATTCAGCTTTTCGTTCTTCCTAAAATATCTGACATCTACGAATGGTCAGATGGAGAGATCCTGAAAACCAAAGAAGACGTTTCTTTCAAAGTCCGCGCCAGAAAGGCTGCCAACGGAGTGATGGTAGGAACTCTATTCACTCCTTTATTTTCTATTGTTTGATTCCAGAACGTCTCTTTGAACTGCGCGCCGGTGAAGAAGTCCTGGAAAGCGATCGACGGAAACGTTGTCGAGTTCGAGAACGATCTGAAGCCGATCGTCGCCGATAGTTTGCTCAATGTTCTGAAGGAGCCGAGGTTCTCAGTATTTTCTTCTCGTGAGTCTGTCTTTCTTCATTTTTCTGTACGGTGAGCTTCATCAATGAAAAAAAAAAGGAAAAATGGAAAATGGAAAATGTAACGATACTTATTTTCAGGCTTTTTTTTAACTAAAATGTCTGCAATCATTCATTATATCTTCAGTGATTGGCGAAAAGATGCGGACATACCTCGAGACGACAACTTCAGCCACTGTCTTCGCCTTCACCGACGACGTCTTCAATAAAATGCCTGATGACGTCAAGAATCAGATTCGGGACACGTCGGACTGTCAGAACGGTAGTACACTTGGACTTCTTTTATTGATGGATCTTGACGTGTTGCGGTTGCGCTGCGGCACAAGCTGTAATTTGAAATTTTACGCTTGACGTGTCGTTAGCATCCCAGGGATCTAATCTTGATTTAAGTTTGGAGTTTTCCTGAAGTTTAATCTAGAAATTTTCTGATGAGCTGGTTGAAGGTTCCTGGGCAAGATTCTAGTTTTGCGAACTCGAATGATCAAAATTGCGAAGTATTGGTTGTAGGCTTCTCTAAAACTACCAGTTTGCACAGGCAACGGCTATTTATAATTCTATCGTTTCCTTCTAACCAGGTGAGAAAGTAAATCTGGATAAATCCATAGAAGTTTCCAAAGTTCACACTTGAACGCGAGTCTTCCGTGTCAATATTTTCTCTGTCGGAAAGCTCAAGTCTTGATAGGTTTGCAGCCGTTAGGTGTTGAGCCATTCCAACTGCGACCAACTTTCTCAATGTATATCTAATCATGGAAATAAGAGAATTTCAGAGCTGATGGAGCAACATTTTGTCGACGAGGCTCTGTGTTCCGCTGATATTCGAGGTGCAGTCAAGTCTCTCCGCAAGAAGATGATCCCAACCACGATTTTGGTAAGACCTCGAGAGAAGCAGTCAAAATCATAAAAGACTATTTACAGGACAACGGAACTATCAGCGTCGGTGGCGCTAAAATCGTGGAAGCCGATCTTTTCACTGGAAACGGAGTTTTGCACCTGATCGACGACGTCATTCTTTTCGAAAAAGGTGTAGATGAAAATTCGATTTTTCACTTCAAATATTTTTCAGCCACTCCATGGCGCGTTATGCTTCGAAAATTCAACGAAGACTTGGCTGCAAAGCTGGAAAAAGTCGAAGTCCGACTTCCACTGACCGTTTTTGTGCCGAGGAATGAGGCAAATACTTTTAACAAAACTTCATAAAGTTATTTATTTCTAGACCCCATCGAGTGTGAAAAACTTGCTCGTTTCTGGTCAGATGATGACCGACTTCCAAGGCGTTTCCTTCCTTAAAACTGATGCCGGGTCTACAGTAAGCCTCTTTTTTTCTTACTTCATTTTAACTTTGTATGGTCTGTACTTTAAAAAATTTTTTACTCGACTCTTTAAAGTTGTTTCTGAAAACAGACTTCTTCAAACTTCTAAATGTCCTGAAAGCCGATCGTCGTATTTTTTCCCTGAAGAAAATACGCCTCAAGAGTTTCTATACGGGTATTTGGTTGAAATAATTGAACTTTGAAGCTCTATTTTTCGTCAAAAAGGAGAAGTTCTAGGTTGAAATTTTTCTCAATATTAATTAATTTAATCAAAAACTGTTTGAAAACTGGGCTAATTTTCGATGAGAAGACTATTGTAACTAGATTTCTCATTAGTCTATTTCTAGATTTTCGTGGAAAATGGACCCACAGTGAGTCGTTTACTGGCGTCGACTGGAAACACGAAGGTGAGCCCAAACGTGAGGATCGGCTGCTCCAGAATCGTTGCTCCTGCTATTCCGACCTGCCAGGCCATGCTTCACTTTGTCGATAAGGTATTTGAATCAGTAAATCATGAAATATCCAATTTCCAACCTGATCCGTTCACGAAAACTATTTTTTTTGGAATGTTTTAACTTTTGGCTTGAAAGCTTTGACATTTTTGGTGATAATTGCATTTCGAAAATTTAATTCAATGTCAAATAAGTGTAACTTAATGATAAAAGAAGCTTCTTCTGAACCAAAAGGAACCATTTTTTGGGTTTTTCTCAATACTTTTCTGCTACCCAAAAGGAGACTCACAGTTTTTCTTTCAAATCCAATACTTTAGCCTCTCGCCGAAACCGAAGGAACTGTGGAGCAATTCCTGGCGAGCACTCCTGACCTTTCCAAATTCCACAGGCATGATTTCAAAAACTACTTTTGAAAGAACTAAAGTATTATAGCCTCTGGAAGCAAGCCAATCTGTCGAAATTGTTCGATGAAGAAGAGACGCCTCTTCTGACTGTGTTTGCCCCTTCGGACGACGCTTTCTCCAACAATTTCTTTGCGAAACTTGAGCGCGACGTCTCCAAGGCTGAAGACTTTGTGAAGCGTCACGTCATCAGAAGTTGGTGTCCATATTCAACCTTTTTCGAAACGAATCTGTTCAGAAGTTCTTTGCGGAGATGATTTGAAGGTCCTTAGAGATGACTTCACGCGAGTGACGTCATTGGATGATTCTACTCTGACGTCATCTACTAATGAAGATAACCAGCCGACGATAAATGGAGCTGTCGTGGCGGTGAGATTTGCATAGAGCATTAAGAAAACTCGGACCTTGGTAACGGAAACCGAGCGTATTTGAGCAAGTCTAGGGATCACTTAAGAGAGCTGACGGCACTAAAGTGGCCACTAGAAAAGCTCCAACACGTCCGAATCGCATCCGGTTCGCGTTACCGAGGTCCGAGAATGAAAACTAAAATCTTTTTTAAATTCAATTCAGGAGTTTTTTTCAAAAAGAATAAATTTTGAAAAATTGTGTAGTTTATGGAAACCCTTTACTGGCTACTTTTGAACTTTTTCCGCGGCTCAATATTTAGTTTGAGATGGTTATCTCACAAAATGGATTCATTCCGTTGCAGAAGCCGGAGAAAGTGTGTTCCGACGGCGTCGTGCACATTCTGGAGTCGCCGATGACGTCAGCCGTCAAGCCGAAGCCTTACCGGCCGAGGCCTTTCAGTCGTCCCTACTCCAGACGCGTTCACTACGAAACCAACCGCGATTTCTTGCCCTTGGAAGTTTTGAACATCATTCCCTCAATTCTGGGTTGATCTTTGTTGTCCAAACTGTACATCATCTCGTTTTAAGACAAAAAAATATATTATGCATTCGAAAATCAATAAAATGTACAAGATTACTTGAGGGTGAGTTGGACGTAGGGAGGGACGCCGAATCGGCCTTTGTGCTCGTTGAAGAGCTTGCTCAGCGCGTGGACGTACTTCTGGTGGAGCTCGTCGATCTGTTCTCGCGTCGGCTTTTCCACTTTCTGGACGGGGATCGGCGCCCCTACCACAGTGTCGATCGGCTTCCGGAAAGGCAGATATCCAAATGTCATCTGCACAAATTTCTTCTTTCAATTGATTCGATTTTCATTTAAAAAAAAAGATGGCTTTCAAAATCATTTTATAGCTAACTCGAAGCTTCTAAAAAACGAAAATTCGTTAAGAATTCTGTTAATTGATTGTTTAACCCAGAACTAGACGACTGCAACAAAAACTAACCGAAGTTAGGAAGATTTTTGAAAAAAATAAATGAAATATTTAGTTTCTATTGAGCTTTTATGAAAAAGAAAACATTTACAAATTTCTGATTCTATTTTTCAATTATATAGCTTCATTTCGTATTTTGAAAAAAAGGCCTTTCGGGGTTTTTTTTTTCAGGAAGCTTCGGAATCCGGATTTTATGACTACCAATCCCTTTTTGAAAAAACGACATAATTGAGAGAAAAAAAAACCTGGAAGAATCCTCGACCATGGAAAATTGGGTAGGAGATGCCGAACAGCTTCTTGGACCACTCTTGGAATTTGCGGAGCTTCGAACCAATCGGGTTTTCCATCTGAAGTTTTCAGAGTGGGAAAAGAAGGAAAAACGGAGTTTACCTGGTTGAAGACCTCGTTTTCACCGAAGGAGTAGACGGGAACAAGATGAGCTCCGGTGAGAAGAGCCTCGCGGACGAAGCCTTTCCGGGACTCGAGGGTGAGGGTGTGGTAGCCGGGGTGCGCGTCGAGGGCTTCTTCGGCTCCACCTGATCATCTACCGCGTCAAGGCCGACGAGTGCAGCACCTACCGATGACTAGAACCACGGCGCGGCCTTTTTCGTGTGTTTTGTCCAGAACGTACTCGATGCTCTCGCGAGAACTGTCGATGCAGCCGCTCAGCAGGATCATTTCTCTTCTGAAAACGAAGATTTGCTGAAAAGAGCACAGCTGCACAACACACTTACACAACTTATCAAGAAAGTTCTGACGTACTTTTACTTCCTCTTACTTATTTTCTCTGTTTCTTTTCTACTGATTGATAAAATATTCATGTGGAAGTTATTCAGCTCTTAAAAATTTACTGGATCATGTGCAATTTTTTTCTGGAAGCTTTATCCAGGATATAGCTAGAACCTCGACTCTTAATATAATGGACTACTTTAAAATTTCGAATCAAGTCTTATTGAACTTCTGTTGTTGACCTAAAAACCCCTTAACAGTCCCAAAAAAAAAAAATTGAAACCTGATCATCGGCTTGAAGTTGACAGGCAGGGTGCACAGGTTGAACTGAATACCTGGGAACTGAAATTGAGGTCTTTATCTTCCATTTGTGAATTAAACAGACCTTTTCATGAGCTTTTGTTCCATTGGTGGCAAAGTTGGCCCAAGCCGCCATGGCGATGATTCCATGAGGGTGGCAGCCGATCAAGTAGTTCTACAAGTTCAATTTATTAGAATTTGAAAAAGAAAAGTTCAGGAAAACACGCAAATCATCCTGAAGAAAAAGTTGCTTTTTGGTGAAAAAAATTTCCTTTTTTTAACTACTGATTTTTCTCTTGAAATGAAAAAGTCAAGTTCGAAAAAGCTAACGTTTTCTGGCGTCAAATCAACAGTTTTTGTGCAGGGTGATGGGAAAAATATTCGGCAAACCAGTCGTGAACTCGAAGTCTGTAAAATATTTCATTTTCATCGAAAAAATCTGGAAAGTGCGTCACTTTCTAAAAAAATCTTCACTTGGAAGTTAATTTAAAAAATTTAAAAGCAAAATTTGAACGTGAAATGACCCTGGTTTTGAGCGCACCCGACTCCAAAACAGTTTGCGCAAAGAGACATAAAAATGCTAAGGGCAAGCCTTTCAAGCTACGTCAAATCGGCGGCTATTTTAAACGTTCCGCTTTCAGCCATTCCACGTGCGACCTTTCAAAGATCATTCAAAAACGGACTCTTGATAATCACTCAACAAGCTGAAAACAAAATAAGAACTTTTTAGAGAAATTACCACTGATTGAAACGTACTTCTGCCACCAATCCGAACGATAACCGCCCGTTTTTGGAGAGTTGCGATCGTAGATGTACCAGGCTCCGTAGAGAACCAAGAAGTGCCATTGAAATGTGAAGAGCTAGAAGAAATATGAATGAATGAGTTCTGGATGTAGATGAACCAGAAAGAAAGGCAGAAGCATGGCCAAGATGGACAGAGGATAGGTGATGAAGAAGTGATGGACGACGCCGAGATAGCTTCGCTTCTTCTCCCACGACGCGAAGATGTCGATCCATTCGATTCCCAGGAATTTCGGCATCTCTACTGCAAACATTTCCATAACTTGAGGAAAGTTGAACTTTTGTGAAAATCGAGAGTCAAAAATAGAAAAAAATATTTTTTTATCAATCATTTTCCCCAGTTTTTGATTCGAGAACCCCTCTAAAGGCAATAAATTCGTCAAAGAATATTTCCTGAAATTTGAGAACAAAGGGAAGACGTTCGAAAATTGTAAAATAAGAACAAGCGAAGAAGGAAAAACAATTCTAAAATTGGGGGTAGAGAATCAGAGTGAGAAAACATTTGTTGATGGAAAAAAAAAGGTTGAGGGAAGATTTTTGACCTCCGAAACAAATGAAATTGGCGGCTTGAAAGCAGTTTATCCGTTCAGATTTAATGAAAAAGAAAGAAAATCATGGAATCCTAGAGATGTATTAAAATTGCCTTATAAAAAAAGGTTAATTGAGTTTCAATACAGGTTTTGACTTTCTATTGATCAATAAAATGGAAATTTGACCTTCTCTGCTAAAAAAATAAGACGCAATAGAGAAAAAACCAAGAAATTATCAAGAAAAACTAACAAACTAGGCTACACTCATATTGAAAATCTATGAACTTCCCGCCAAACTTTCTCATCCAAAAGGTGAAAAGAATAAATGAAGTTAAGGATTGGTTTAAGGTCAACTTCACAAGGGACTTTACCGGGTGGAGTACAAAAGATATTTATTACAGTTGATAAAAGAATACGTATAGGTAATTGAGATTTAATTATGAGATTTTTCATAGGGGCCGCCAAGGGATGCTGACGAAAACTCATTCTCGGAGCTGTTGTCCAGAAGGAAACGCTCAAAAACAGAAAGTATAACTCGAGGACACCTCGAAAAACTGGAACAAACAACGGATGGCAAATGTTTGAACTGAGAGAAACCACCTGGCGCGTCCAATCACTACGGCGTAGTCACTGATTGCTGTTCCCTTGTTATCAGCAGTTGGGAGCTTTTTATAGCCGAAAACTCTGGCTACAACTGGGCGGACGGTAGCTTTGATCAAAGTCAACGAAACAAAGAGTAGCCGAGAAAGTTTGATAAGAGCGGTTGATGTACTTTGAAAGATAGTGCAGGTTATTCACCTTGAGTTTGAGCCATTTTCAAGATACAAGAAAAAGGTATTAGAAATATGCCACTAGGTAGAAATGGTCAATCAAATTTTGATTTTTTTTTTTGACTCGGTCCAACTGATCGGGTATGTTTTATAAGTCGTTGGCCGCGCCTGGAATGGCTTAAAGCGTTGCGGATTTCCATAACTTCAATGCTTCCTTTCGCAAGCCGTTTCAGGTCGGACGCTCTCAAAGGGACCGCTGTGCAACCGTTACGCGTCGATACATTCTCCCTGCGGACAAAGTCTTTTACCGTCTGACTATTGATTAAATTGCTCGAATTCCAGAGGAGGCAAACAAAGTCAGGCTCGAAAATTCCAGAAAAAAAAAACCAAAATTCTCACTTCATTTTGAATTTACAATTTTGAATTTATCTTCATTCAGTCCCCAAAAAATTTTTCTTATTCCATCTTCCCGTCATTTTCTCAGAAGTTTAGGTCATCAAATGAAAAGAAGGAGATTTTTTTTCGACAACAAGGACGTACACACGTAATCATTGCCGTCATTTGAACTTCTAATTACATATTCTCAATGTGAAAAACAACCGGCAATTTCCCGAAACATCAATCATTTTGCAGACGCCGATGAGTCTGAAGTCAAAACGGGCGGTCACTTCAAAACAAATCAGCAAGTTTTTGAGCAGATTATTCTCTGTCAGGAAGTAGGAACATGAGAAAAAAACATTTTTTTTCAGGTCGCACATGAAAAAACCGTAACGATTTCTTCTAGGCTCACCCGACTCAAAACGACTTACGCGTGGGACTATCGAAAAGTAGAAGAGCAAGTTTCCAGACCCCAAGCCGGCCGTAGACTCGATTTCCACCGCAACGCGACCGCGACACGTTGAGCCATTTCAAATGCGACAAAAGTCTTTGGAATCGAGGCGGATGTAGCAGTGAACTGAAATTTAGCGTTTTTAAGAATAAGAATCGTCTTTTTTTTTTGAAACAATTCGAAAAATGCTGAATTTTTCTTGAAAAGTTTTTTTAAACTTTTTTTTGATAGAAAATTGGCTCTTACTGTTCTGTTGCAAGCGCAACGTTCATTTCTGATGCATTAGAACTTCTGAATTCCAGAATGAATCGTTTGCTTTTTATTGGGTTCCTTATGGCTTTGAGACTATTTGCAAAGTCACTCAGAATTTTCCACAAATTTCTTTTTTCTCAAAAGTTCATTGAGTATCCCAAATCTTGAAAAACTCTCCCCGCGAAAGGGTTGCTTCTAGACGCGCCCGACACAAAACGAGTTACGTCCAGGTTCAGTGATACTACAAGACTAAACTAGATTATAAACATAGCCCAGTCACGTCGCTTCAAGTCATTCCAAAACGATGAAATTATTATTTTGAACCACCATAACCTTGCTCTCAAAACAAAGCGAATTCATTAAATGTGTCATAAAAATGCAATGATCTTTCTCACTTCCAGAATCAACGTTTGCGGGATAAATAATTAATGGAAGCGTAGTTACTGCGCCGTCGTTGCGTGGGACCTCCGCCGGGACGTTTTCCGAATTCTTTGTTTTTGAGACACCGCAAGCGACGTCAAAGACTTCACGCCACGTGTACACAAAAGGCAAACGACGAGATTAGATTCGCAATTAAGAATAATGAAAGTTTTTTTTCCGGGCTGCGCCGAGGGCTCGCAAACATTTTTCTGTAGGAGGCCCGCCCATATGCCAAAATCCGCCATTTGAGCTTCCCGGACCAGCCACGGTGGTCTCTTTCTTTCCTTCTTATTAGCCCTTTTCAAAATGAACTTTTTTTTCTATATCTTAAATGAAGTCTAAACTAGTTCTACTTGTTATGCTTGCTTGGGAAAGGTCCCTAAAATCCTCGCTTAAAAATAAGTTCATTTTATACCGTGCACTTGGAAGTTCCTGAAATAATGGTTAAAAACTTCTTGATGTAGAAAATAAAAATCCTGGACTGCAGAGTGGTCCCTATAGGGGCGATCTTAGCGGACCTTGAGGGTTCACTCTAGGGCCTATTTTCTTCCACTATCAGGACTACTATAGCTTGTATAAGTGGCCTCTATATTGAAAATATCAACAGAAGATGAGTTGATCAACCTTTTTCTTTATAACTTTCAATCTTGAAAAAATTGGAAGAAGCTATGAGACCATTTGATTTTTTGGGGACTTGATCTAAACCCCTTCAGAAGCTGCAAAATGAACTAACCTTCCTTGTTAAGTGTTTAAAAAAGGATGGCGTAATTCAAAAAAACTTCCAGTCACCGACCTATTTTTTGTCGGGCTTCCTGTGCCTTTAAAAACTCTAGAAAGTCCTTCAGGACTGACTAAGTTCATTTTGCAAAGATCCACTTGAATTACCGGAAACGCTTCACTTCTCCATACTCACGGCTCTTTTTTCAAACTTCTTTTCAAAAAAGTTTTCTTCATCTTGACTTTACCCACGTGGCGCAACTTTTTCCATTAGTCAGATAAGATCCCAGACAAACTCGCGTAGTAAACTCATGTATAATGTATGGCGGAAATCCCTTTTTCGTTTTTTTTTCTTTTTGAAGAACGCCTCCCAAAAAGAAGAAAAACGAGACAACGTTCTAAATGGCTTTTCAATTTTCGTTCCGCCAAAACTGACAAAAAATTTTTGAAAGGCTATTTTTAATGAGAAAAGAGATGGGAAAAAGTTCAGTTGGAGTTTCTTCAACTTTTGCGATTTTTATCTTACAAGGGAAGTGATTTTGGGATAAGTTTGAAGTTTTTTTGAAATTGCGCCGAAAAAATTTTTGATTTTTGGAGACGAAGATCTCTAAAGTTCGCTACCTCCGAAAAATTCTAGTTATGAACTTTTTAGTTTTTTAAAAACTGCGTTCAACTCAGAATCAGATCTGCAACTAATTTTTTGAAAGTTTGAAGGTCCAAATCTTCAAAATGAAAAAGTGACAATGATAGTGATATAGTCTGTTCAGATTTTACATGTCAAGTAGAATGACGTCATTCAAAAACGCTCTGTGGATGGCTCGCTTTCTGATTGGTTTATCCCACCATTATGGGCGGAGCTTGAGCGACGACTTGACATTGAAAATCTGAACAGACTGTATTAAGAAAGCTTCATCTGAGGCTTCGGAAAGCCTCTGGGAGAAAAAAGAAAATTCCTATTTTTGAAAAAAGGCTCCCTTTGTCAATTTTTCTAAAGTCGAAGGCGATGCGTCAATGAAAAAAAAAATTTTTAAAAATGAGACTTTCCTTGATTTCTTTTATTTTTTTTTTCGGAAAATTATGTCTAAATGAAACATTTTTGTGGTGAATTTGTTCATAGGTACACTGTATAATCAGCGGGGGCCTAATTATCTTTTTAAATTTTAAGAGTTTTTCGAACTTTTTACTGGAAAAAGATTTTTTTATTGAAGTTGTGACCTCCACCCACCAGAGAGTTTTTTTGTGTCAAGACTCTTTTTCCGATGTATCAAGCCTGTCGTAAATCAGCTTCACAACTTATATTGCAGGGGGTAATGTTGTGCTTGCGAGCAATTTTCGTGATTCTGCTGCTGCTCGTCGCAACTGCACACGCCGGAACGTGGCTCTCCTTCAGTTAGTCCAATTTTACTCATCTTTCTCATTTATGAATATTTCCAAAAAGAATTTCTCGATTTTAAAAACTTCTCGATTTTCTGGTGGAAATTTCTGGGACTGTGTTGAATGCTGTGTAGATTGGAAGTAACACCGTGAAATTAAAATAGCCGTCAGAGTATGTAAAAGATAACTAAAATTTAGACAGTCCGAGATAATTTTGTATTTCGCTAGATTTAATTTGAATGCGGCATAAGAGACTATTCAGACTGTTTTATGCAGATCTTATTTAATCGATTGAGAGTCTGAATAGGGAATCGATAAAAAAAGAAACCGTTGCAGACGACTTCAAAGACGACTCGCTGGGTGAGCCGAGCCGTCGGTTAGGCGACGTCGTCACCTACTGCAAAGAAACAGTCTGTTTTTCCTTTACATCAAATTAATATTGAAAATATCATTCTAATAATGATATTCATTTCATTCACAAGAGGAAATAGTCATTGAATCAATAAAGATCCCTCAATCTTCATCATAAACTTAATGATAAACTTAATCTTCTAGCCAGACTAAAAAAAGGAAAGAGAGGGCTGGATGAGGCTGGAAAAAAGTTTCCGATTTTTTCAAATCTACACTCAATATTGGTATATGAAACATCGGAAGCAATGTTCAAACTAAAAAGCTTTGAGATATTGAAACCTTTTGAAAGGTTGGAATAGCTTGATGGTTTCATTATAACTTACTAGGCGATTAATTTTAAAAGGAGTCACGGAAACAAAAATATATGTTTAGAAGGCATATTAACCATAATTTCTTCAGGTAAATGTTTTTTGAAATCTATAGTCTATATAGACTATAGAATTAAAAATTAAAAGGATCAGATCTTTGCCTGGCCAATCTAAATTCAATTCGCGTCTTTTTTTCTTCTCTTCACTTTTTTTCATAAGTTAACACGAATTCTGAATGAAATTCATTCAACACTTGCTGGATAAGTTTTTTTTAAAGGCATAATCAGATTCAGCAAAGGTCCTGCGACGGCATTTCAGTTTTAACCTAAGCAAAAAAAATCGAAAACGTTTAACAAACTATTCAATTTTTCTGGAAAATAATAACCAACCATCTTTCGATTGAATTTTGACTTTAAAATTTTCAGCAAAAACGACTGGCGAAACGACGTTTCCTTGGCGAAAGAGTGACGAGAGCGCAGCACGAGAACGACGCAATCTGCAGATTGTTATTGAAAATGGTTGGAAAATTATCATTAAGGATATAATCGAGAAAACATTCAGGGACGATGAGCCAACCCTTCATAACGTCACTTATTGTTTCTTTTTGCTTCTGAATCCCACCACGACCGCGACTGAGATATGGATGGACACACGTATATAATAAAGAGTTGAAAATGTTTATTATTGGATGTACAGAAGAGACCCGTGATGATCGCGGAGAGAGATATGATTGAAGGAAAAGAAAGAAAGTGAAGATATATGACATGGCATGCGGGTTAGTTGTAGCAATCGGTAAATACATAGAAAGAAAACAATGAACTCCTACAGGAAAATTTGAGAGTTAAAGGGGAAAATCTATGAAATTTGTTTGAATCTTCAGATTATAGCGAGGTATTGGATATAGACGATTCGAGTTATTAGAACAGGATTTTACAGTTTTGCTAGTTTATTCGTAGTTGTCGGCGAGACGGAGCATTTCCTCGCGGAGACGTCGCATCCGGTCGAGGTCGGCCTGCGTCTTCTGACCTTTGCTCCGCATTGAATCCAGCTGAACAAAATAATCTTTCAGCTGACTTTTTACAAAGCAAATTAGATATCTTGAAAATGAACCACTTTCCTCATGACCTTGAGAAAAGCTAAATTGTTCTCAATCAGAAGTTTTTATTAGACTGAAAATTATCTAAAATGGTTTTTTGATTTTTTTTTAAAGAAAAGTTTTAAAATTTTTCTTCGGTAGTCAGCTTTCTTCTTTTTTTCAAAAAAATAGAAACAATCTCATATTTTATTATTATAACAACAAAACTGTGCTCTACGGACAAAAATGGGAGAATTCGGAAAGTTCTTGGGCCTCGGTAACGCCAACTGGAGCGCTTGGACGTTTCTGAGCGTTTCTAGTAAACACTTAAGAGTGCCGACCCCGTCAAAGTGTCCACTCAAAAAAAAAAAACGTCTAAAAACGTCCGGCTTACGGTACTGAGGTCTGAGCTTGTAACACAGAGGAAAACCTTCTTTTTTAAATTTGATTTTAATTTATCAATAACTTATTTCTAACTATGATTTTTTATAAAAACCAAACCTCGGCTGAGTGCTCGACACACTCGCGTTCTTTGGCCGCATATTTGGTTTCTAACCGAGAAATCTGAAAATCCAAGAAACAATCAAGAAAGCGGAATAACAGTCTAACCAGCATCACTAGTCGCTCGATTTCTTTCTCTTTCGTTGCCAATTTCGATTCCCCTTGGGAAACCTGAGAAAAGAGTCATTCCAGGTACAGGTGCTGTGAATACCTGGTCCCGGAGGGCGGCACATTCGAGTTCCCTTCCTTCCAGCTTCTGTTGGACGTCGGTTTTGTCGCGCATGATCTTCTCAATGGTCGCGACTTTTTGGGCGACGTCGCCATGCAATCGCTCGATTTCCTTGGCATTTGTCTTCGCCGCCGCGACAGCGTCCGACTTCAGTACTGAAGAAAGATACTTTGCCCGTCAGGTTTTGTGAAGGAAAGCGGGAAACTAATGAAAGGACAATATTGAAGGAAAATTCCTTGAACAGTTTCTAGGAAAAAAAAATGGCATGTTATTTTGAAAGTTAATGAAAGAAAAATGAAACTGCAGGTATTTTGAAGACATAGGAGTGAAAAGTGTGACAGGACTGCAACGAAAAAAAACTTTGAATGAGGTGGCTAGGAAATATTTTTTCTTCTTTTCGTGAAAAAAAGCTTTCTGTTACATTTTTTTTCTTATCACTTTTCCTGCTATTTCTATAAATTCTCTGATTATCCACTCACTGCTGACGATTCCGGTCAACTCCAGCTTTTCTCGGTTGAGAACAACGATCTCATTCTGCTTCTCAACGACACTTGCCGACGCTCTAAAATCAACTGAATAGTCGGAAAATCCTCTTTGAACCAAACATTTCAAGCTTCCTTTTCAAGTCATCGGCGGTAGTTCGTGCCGCAAGGACCAGAGCTCGTTCCTGCTCCATTTCCAGCGTCAAAGACTCTCTTTCTTGTCGTGTCCGCGCGAGCCTTGAATATGAAAGTTGGAAAAGCAGATAAAGACTTTTAGACCCTTTTTTTTAGTTCTTCTTTACCATATAAGTTTTTTATTTCTCTCCCGAATCAAGAAATCTTGTAACTACCAAAAATTTCTTATAATGAGGAGGATCGAAAAAAATCATTCAAAGACCAAAAAAATTCACGCAAACGATTCACAAGGTCAGAGAATTAGGCAAGAGGTTTCAAAAATTTTACTTGTTGAAAATTTAAAAAAATTGAGAAAAACTGACTCATCACGAAGCAAAAGAACTTGGTCCTCTAGTTTCCGCCGAGTATCCTGTCAATACAAAACTAATAAAAACCTTCAAAAACTTGAAAAACCTCGAACTTCTTGTTCAACTGTTCGTTGGTCTCTCGGAGGCCTTCGCAGTCCTGCATTATCGATCGGACTTGGGAGATCTAAAAAAATATAATATTTCAAAGTTTAAGATTTTTGCGGTCCAACATCAGTTTCCGAAGAATGAGGAGCTCCGTTTCTGTACTGGATGCGGAGTTTCTCGCTCTGCGCCAAGGCTTGATCTTTGGCAGCTACAAGAGCTTCCAGGTCCTTTTCACGACTCTGAACTTTTTTTGAAAAGATTTTTCGGAGCATTTAGACGAACCTCTATGAAGGCTATTTTCCTCTCATAGGCGCTCAAAACTTCGGAAACTCTCATGTCCTTGACGTCGAATCCCTGAGAAATGCGCTTCAGAAGCTCGTCCAGATTTGGCGGCGGCTTCAGCGACAAGTCTTCTGTCGATCGGAGCAGGTTGAACTTGACGTCTGGCGATGATGATCTTCAGAAAAACGTGAGATTATTTTCGACTTCTTATAGTGGTGAGGTACCGATTGACGCGATTTTCCTCGGAAAGTTGACAAGAAGCCGTCTCAGTGCTACCATGGCGAATTCGCTTCTCCAACGAACATGAAGCGACCAACTCAGCCAGTCTATGGTCATTCCATCATCTTTTTTCGTTCCGAGTGATCTTACAGTTTAGTTGGAAAAACGTGGACTTGAGAGCAATGGATGAACGTGACCAAGGCGTTCAGCACCATTTCGTGATCTCCGTGGGCGATCGCGTATGCCAAAAATGGCACCAATCTTTCGTCCTGGAAACGCAGAATGAATTGAGAAAACTCGAAAAATTCACATTTTTTTAACCCCAAAGTATTTATATCTGCAAAGGTTATGATGTACAGGATTTTTCTCAAAACTTTGATGTAATGGAGAATTTTTAATTTTCAAAAAAGCTTATAAATACTTCACTGAGCCAGAAGGGCCAAAAAAAATCTGACAAAAAAATAAATATGCTTTCCAGAGAAGTTTATCATTGAAAAACGGTAAATTTTTATTTAATTTGGTTGCATAAGGAACTTGAAACCAAATAGACAGGTTTGAAAATCTTTTAAAACCGCCGCAAATTTTTTTGGGATTAAAAAAACATTATGCTACATCAATTTATTCGAAAATAAAAAAATGACTCAAAAAAATATATTGAAACAGTGATCTGTTCTCATTTCGAGTAACCTTCAGAAGCCGCCAATATTGTTCCTTGTGCATTCTCGAATGATCTTTCAACGAAGCCAAAAGTTTGGAAAGTTCTAGAAGAATCCCGACGCCGTTCACACTGAAAAAACTTCACTTTTAACAAAAATGACAAAGAAAAGGTGAACCTCCATTTGGGAAGCGATTCATCCCGATGCAATGGAGGTTTGCTGAGGTGGCACACGATCGGATTTCGAATGAGCTGAGATTTTTGAGCATTAAAGTCATATAAATTGAGAACTACTTGATAATCGGCAATACTCGAGCAAAGTTGGGCGTCTGTTACAGGTAAAAGTTGATTACGGACGTCTTCATCTTGGGAACACACTAGAAAATAATCTTCGATTTTGAGGAATGGCAGAAAAGTGTTTTTCTCGAGCTAAAAGGTCGACTGAATTCAATCCTTTGTTCACACTCGGGCAAAGCCGGAATGGTGTACAATGGTCGTTAAAAGGGAGAGGCTCAAAAAAGGCCGCAGAAAGGCAGCGAAAAGGCAGTAAAGAGAGTCCCTTTATCCAGCCTTCCATTTTTCTGGGATTTTAAAGGCTCGAGAAATGATGGAGAAAGGGATAGGCAGAAAAAATGGTGCATAAGGGCTGAGAAAATGGAGCAAAAGGGCAGCAAAAAAGGAGTCTCTGTCACCCTAAAGGGAAAATTTTTATGGACAACAACAGCCTTTATCACCCTCAGAGGGTCCTTCCGACTTTGTCTATTCTTTATTAGGAAAAAAATAAATATAATATCATTCGAATATTTTTATTTTTTTATTTTTTTATTTTATTTTTTTGAAACCTTTTTTTGGAATGATTTTTTTAAATATTCATTCTTTTTTTCAGGACCAGGAAAAACTAAACTAAAAACTTTTTTTATTGACCTCGTAAATTAGTTTTTTTCCTCCGTATTTCTCCACATCTCTTTATTATTATTTTTTTCAATCCTTTCGTTTTTTTCTCCAGTACCTTCAGCCAGACGAAGTCCCAGCTGAACACGGCGACATGTGAAAGCGACATCCTCTTTCGCCGGATCGATAACCGAAGTAACGCAAGAATCAACCAGGGACACGAGCTGAAATAAGCTTTTTTTGTTTTAGAAATTCATAAAAGGAGAAAACCTGTTCAACCGATACGTAAGGCACAACTCTATCACGAGTATCGATGATTTCCTGAAATTATCAAATTTCGATTTTATTTCAAAGACAGCGAAGACTTTTATCAAATGCGACAGGAGGGAAAGAGCTTTGAGGGGGACTTCCGGGTTGATCGCTTCCTCGAAAGACATCGCACTCGTGTTGGCGATCGCTGGAATCATTTTTCTCAGCTTAAAGTCTTGAGCAAAACGAAAAAGTTCCTCTGTGGACCCTCAGGAAGATCTGAAAGGGCTCCACTAGAAGCTCCTAGAATGGTGGGAAGAAGTATTTTGAGCTCCTTTTTCAGAACCTCAGGGAATCCTTTTTGAATACGCTGGGACCTTTTTAGTTGCTTTTAGCTTATTTTCATTAAAGAAAGTGAGAGGCAAAAGTGAGATGAAAAGTCGCTGGGGGCCCCTAAGATCTTTTCTGAAATAACTTATAAAGGAGATTTTCCTGTTTTCACGGAGGTAGTTGATTAATCCTTACCATGAAGAGGAGTGGTTAGTCGAGATTCCGTAGGTGAGAGTTTGATGATCGCCGCACAGACGTCAGGTTTCAGAACGGAAAGCGAACAAAACGCCAGCAACAGGTCATAGATCTTAAGAAGATCCTTTTTGCGAAATCGATTAGAAAAGACCAAACCTTGGTGGATTCTTCGAGCCTTGGGTCGAGGACCACTAGAAGCTCGGCCGTATGTTGAATACAACGTTCGAAAAATCCATAATTCATGATATCTTTGCCGGTCGAAGCGAGGACAGGTGTGGAGGACACCTTGAATTGAATCTTGAAAGAATGCCCGAAACAAGAAAAAATGATCATTTTTGGTTTTTTGAATAATTTCGAAAATCTTCGATCCAGAAAGTGTATTACTTCATTCAAAAATGATTCTTGCTGAAATTCCTATAACTTTAAAAAAAAACCAACGGTAGGAACATCGGAAACGACGAGACGCCTGAGTAGATCAACGGCAATGTGACGCGTCATCAGACATTCCGTGTCCCCGATTATCAAAACGTTGAAAACACATTGAAAAGTCTCGTGGATGTTCTGGGAGCAGTAAACCTGCAAACTAGGCTTTTTCAATTATTTTTTAGATCGCAGAGATTGAATTTCAAGAAAAATGAATTGAGAAAAAGAAAGATACCGGAGTTTTCAGAAATTAAAGTTGAACAAAAATACACAGCTTGGCCTTGAAAAATTAAGCTTCATTGATAGATTTCAAACTTCTCCTATATTCAAAAATATGAAGGCTGTATTTTCAAACGTCGGAGGAAAAATTATAGGATTAAAAATGAGTAATCGATCCAAGAAAAACTTGAAAAAAAAGGAAAACAAGTAGGAAAATTTTTGAACAACCAATATCATTTGAAGTTGAAAAACAATCCTGAAATTTTTCGATTATTTTCTCGCCATTTATATGATTTTTTTATCAATTTTTTTATTTATGAATCGATTATTTAGGAGAACGGACCATGTTTCGAATTTTTCTCCTCGAGATACCCGATCAGAACCAATGCCGAAAGGACCACGATTCGCGAATCGTGAACCAAAAGTGCCATTATCCGTCGCGAAAACGGCTTGTAAGACGTCTGGAACGATAAAAAATAATGAAAAAGGAAGAAAATAGAAGAAAATCTCACAGATTTCTTGATCCGATTGCAAACGGATTTGGATCTGGAGGCGAGGTTGCACAAAATGGCCATGCAGTAGGGCATCCATTCTTCTTCGGGTTCTCGGACTCTGGAAAAAGTTCAATTTACTGAAATCATTCAAAGCCATGAGAGCTTATCACTATTCCAAAAATTTCTTTTTCCAAAAAAAACAGGGAAAAGGTGAAGGAATCCAGAAAAAACGAAAAAAAAAATAAATTTTCAGTATCATTCTTTTTTTGAAAAAGTCAGCTCTATCTCTGTAGGGAAACTCGAATAAAAGTTGCTAAAACCCTTGGGAAAAAAATCTAGCAATCTCGATTTATCACTTTGAACAGCAAAATATTGTGACATCTTATGAACAACAAGCAGATTTCAATGACTTCTGATGAATCTCTCAAAAACTCACACTTCAGACATCAGAAAAGAAATCAGTTCATTCGTCCAAACACCTAACGTCACTCCTTTCTCGTAGCTGAGGACCTGGAAAATCAATAATTATTTTCCAACCAAAAATAAAACTTCCAACCTGTAACATTCTAAGAATATCGATCATATTCTGAGGTCCGAGTTGTTCTCTCAAGGAAACCTTCAGACAATGGAACACGGCAGAACACATTTCCAGCTCTCGGGCCATGTATTTCCGCAGTTCCACATTATAAAGCCCTAGAAATCTTATGAAATCTTAGATTTTTGAGTGGGTTCTAACCAATATTGAAGAGTAACCGGTGAAATCGCGATCTAGTTGTTGCATTCGTTGTTGAGGCAGCTGTAAATATAAATACTTTGAAAAAAAGTAATAAATGAAAACAGGGAAATGCAGTTTTCATTTTTTTGCTCATTTTTATCATGGAATTGGAATATAAAATTCATTAACTGACCGTTCGAGACCTTTGATGTGAAGGGTTTTTTTTTTGAAAAAAAAATGCAAAATAACTTGTGAAAAGAAGAGGCTTAAACGTCTATCGCATATACTTGTTCTGATCGAGCTGTGAATGGATTTAAAAGACCTAGTTTGATTTCTACTGGACCTGAATTTCGAAAAAAAAGAAAAAAGTTTTTCTTTCGAGAGTTTCGCAACAACTACAACATGAATCGAAGAAAAAAAGTCGAAAACGAACTCAAAATAATCGGCGTGTAGTTCAAAAGTTCGACGAGTAACCGCGTTTTCAAGCTCAGTCTCGCCGTATTTTGCGTCGTCGAGAGGAAACGAATGACTTCCTGCAAAAATTCCAATTATGAACAATCCGATTGCACTGAAACTGAGAAAAAAGACCCAGAAAGTAATTGAAACTTTTTTTATTTATTTTCATAGCTTCTCTTTTTGCACTCCTTACAAGGAAAATAATTTTACTTTTTGATTGGAAATTACCTAAAAAGTTCCTAGTTTTTCGATGAAAGTTAAAATCCTTCAAAATAGGTCATTTTGTTGTTCTGAGCGCTTAGTTCTTAAAAACTAGGAAGCTATGCCGATAGAGACTTTCAGGATACTTCAAGATCAAACTAAAAAGTAAGTGACTAGTTTTTAGAGAAAATACCAATCGAAAAGCGACATGACTTCCATTGTAAAAAAATAATTAGTATACCGACTGAGTATATATATATATATCGAAATTATATGATATATTTGGAAAAATAAATAACCATGAGAGATTCATCGAGCTGCGCCGTGTTGTCCGTGCTGCTGTCAGTGACATATCTGGCGGCTGAAGTTGAAGCTCGCGAAAAAACGGCCTCAGCCTGAGAAAAAGAAATAAATGATGAATAGGAGCAATTCCTCACATCTGAGAAACTGTTGTTCAGCGATGCTGCACCTTTGGCCATAAAGGCGACCGGTTATTACCAAGAAAATGCGCCCTGAACAAGAAATAATTATGTATGAAACCTTCAATGGACGATTTCAACTAGAGAAAAACAAAAACATTAAAAAACACACAAACATGATCAAACTGAAAAAAGGTCAGTTTTACATGAGATCTGAAGCAAAAAACTTCCATAAACTTCGAGAGAAGGGAGAAGGAAAATCTAGAAAAGACGGGAAAACGGCAAAAAACAGCGATCAGTATTGAGAAGGTGGCAAACAGTAGCAGTGAAGGTGCTCGAATATCAACAAAAGCTGACAAGAGAAGAGAAATGAGCCCACTTGAGGCAACAATGGCGAATGAAGGGAAAGGACAAGGGTCTTTGGAGTGGACGCCTCTCCAACAACGCAGCTTATCGCCAGTCGAACGCGCGCTTTTCCGCGCAGAAAAACCATTTTCTTCCAAGGTTGGCTTGCAAGGACATCCGCAGACAGGTATCCATTAAAGTCAGTCGCACACAAATTACTTCTCTGAATTTTCGACCACTCCGCAATTAAACAATCGAGAAAAAGTTCAACAAAAACCTTTGGTTATAGAGCTTTTGTTAGTCGGGGCAGTTAGCATTTCTTTTTACTATGGTTTCAGAAAAAGATTAGAAGTCCCAGAAACTACGAAAAGACTAAACTTGAAAAAGTGAATAAAGTTCTCATGGAGAAAAAAATGATATTAAAAAATTGAAAAATTATTTCTGAACGAAACGATATTCCGCAAAGTCTTGAGAGAGAAGAAAGAAAAAAATTTCGAAGAAGAAAGTATAGTATGTTTTGAAAAAAATGCTACGCGACGCACAGATGCTGAATCACAAAAGATGTGATTTTTATTCAGCGAATTATGCGAGAAAAAAATTATAATTTCAAATTATAGTTTAGAGTGTTTCCTAACATTTGAGGTTGAGAAAGGTTACAACAACAACGAAAAAAAGCGAAGCAAAGAAAAGCGTCATAAAAGGTCAGCTCGGCGAAAATCTATTTATATACAAGCTTCCAAATTATAAATTAAAAATGAATGCGCCTTCTTTCTAGAGAGTTATTTTGACGAGGGAGTTTTCAATATTCGGAATCAAATTGATTTTGAGAAGGTACAAGAAAGGAAAGGGCACAAATCCTTGCGAGAAAGGGACAACGAAGTCAGCGGGACAGTCGGATCGTACGAAAGCGACGCGACGAGGAAACGGAAAGATTGCACACACACTGGGACTCCTCCTCAAGCACACTATTTCTCTCTCACGAATGCCCAAGAATAGACATTCCAAAACGAGGAGCATATGTCATATTGATAGCAAACATTATTTTGAAAAAAAAAGAAATTGTAGTCAAGAGGGTCCACAGCATGTAAAAACTATTTCGAACTGTTTCTGCAAAAAAAAAAGATAAATATCTAAATTGGATTTTAATATTGTTGCTAACATGTTACAACAACAAAAAGATCTGAACTTTCTTTGGAGTACTTGAGATACGGATTTGCTTCAAAATCTGAAGATAAACCAATTTTCAAAGTATTGCTCCTATTTTTTTCATAAACATAAAGAAAATAAAAAACAGCTTTGATCTGGAATATTCGGGTACAACAGCTTGAAAACAGGTAGCAAAGGTAAAAATAGGTAACCTAAGCTTCTTGTTGTTGCTTTCGACGCGACGTAGCGGGCAAACATGCCTAAAGTACACGAGACGCTTTATTTGGGGATCGTATGCTTCTTCGGCAACAATGCAGAACGTACAAGGGAAGTCCCCGCGAGAAAAATAAGAGAAATCGTGATAAAGCGATTGCACACAAAAATTAATGGACTCGCTTGAAAAAAGAAAGAAAAAAGAAGGGATAATTTAAGTAGAACTGAACACTCTCTTTCTCCCTAAACTTGAAGCTTTCATTAAACATTTCAGCGGCTACTTTCAGAAAAACTATAAAATCTTTGAATAAACAGTACAAAGTTTATTTTAAACGGAAAAGCTGAAAACAAAGAGATCAGAACCGTGCGCTCAACGCCAAAAAACTGCGCTCTTGCATAAAAGGGAGGAGCCTACTCGATTTTGATTCGAAAAATCTCTTTTTTTATTCAATTCTTTTCATGATTCCTTTCTTCTTTTTCAAACTTCACGGTAAGCTAGTTGTTAGAAAAGGTTTTTCTGCGGTTTAGGCTTGTAAAGAACGCCAGTAGACTTGACTTTTTTTTCAAATTTTCCGTGAGATTCGTAATTAGTCATATAATCAAATTTTTGAATTTTTTCCCCTTTTTAACTTTTTAAATTTTGAAATACGTCTCTCTTCTTATCGGGAAAATCAAATAAGTCTATTCAAACCACATATTTTCAGTTTTTTTTTTCAATTTTGAAGCTTCTAACTTCTAGTTTTTGGGATATTTTTCAAATCGTTTTAAAGATCTAATTGTTTTTTTTTTCAAAGATACATCACTTTTTCAGGTCATGTGTGACGGATTTATCAGCTTGGTCAAAGATGAAAACGATAACTGCCAGGTGGAAGAAGATCTTGAGAGTTCCAAAGAAAGTAAGATGACATCGTTTGAATTAACTGTGTGCATTTTTGATTGAATAAATCATGCGTTTTAGTACAACTTTTAATTGTGACCATTAAAAGCGGATTGATCCATTCGCATTCTTTCAAAATGTTTTTTTTTTCAAATTGTTCAATTTGTCTAATTCTTGTCCTTCAGCTTTTTCAGCTCCTGAAAATGACCAAGATGGCGGTTCAGACACTGAATTGTCGATTTCCGTGGAAAGATATCAAAGCTCGGAAATCGTCAAGAAATACAGGGTATCTTCTAACAACTTTTCCCCCCACAGTCTATTGATCTTTTCTCTAACCTTTCAGCTCACTGGAATTGGAGCAATCGTTGCTGAAATGCGCGGTGTCAAGGTTTTCCAGTGGAAGAAAAATTTTCTAGAATTTTGATTACAGAAAACGGTTAAGCATGAGAGAATTGTCTTGGACGAGAAGGGGAGAGTGATAAATAATCGAATTTGCAAAGCGAAAATCGGCACCGTCTCGACGGAAAATGAGTCATTTCTGGATCAAGCGTTTTATGGCGGTTTAGTTTATTGTGAAATTGCTTGCTGGGTGTTGAGAAAGCTCAAATTTTAACTGAAAATAATTTTCAAGAAAAGAGTTTTTTTTTTAAAAACAAAACTGTAGATTCTCCAGACACATGATCTTTTTAATTTTTTTTTTCGAAAGGAGGCCTTTAATTTCGTTTCTCGATTTTGTTAAAGTTACCAGGGACCTGCTCTCGGTGAATAGGGATTTTTATATGCTTTTTTCCTCGAGAATCAGCGAATACTTTAACAAGAGTTAGTCAATTTTTTTACATAATCATCATTCCTTGTTAGCGGACACTTTTTTTTTTGTTTTTCTCCACCACTCCAGCAAGCTTTTTCGATGCAATTTTATTTATTGATTCTTGAGTCATTTCGAATTGATATCTAGGTTCCAACTACGGTCAGCCGATGTTGCTAAGCTCCGAAATGGCGCCCCTGCCAACTTTGGACGTTAACGAACTTCGTAGACTTGTTCGGAACAAAATGGTCCGCTGCAAGGCGAGTCCCGTTCACTTTTTTCTTTATTTCTGATACCAAAACCATTTTTAGATATGCAAAAACAGATTCGGCGAAGTGAACATAATGGAAAGACACATGCGGGACCATCATCCCAAGGTCTACGAGGAGTATTTGGTGGAGCAAGAGCGTCTCAACCACGAAATGATGTCAGAATCATCGATCGATTATGCAATTGGAAGTTTTTCAGTGAGCGGGACAAGGAAAGAACGAGAATCGAAGAAATTCTGAGCGGCGGCTTCATTCCTCCAGAAGGGGAACTCGACGCTGAAAATCAGGATTTTGACATCGAGGAGTCCGTTTTTTGAACTCAATTTGAGGCATAGTCGATGCATAATGAAGACTCTGCTCCCGAAAAATTCTGATATCTCTGATGCATTTGAAAGTATTATGTTAAAAGACGTGGCGTTTTCAAATTTTTCTTTTTGTGGCCGTTTTGTTGACGGCTTTTCAGAAAATCGCAGAACTTTTTCATCGATTGGAAATTTTGAAAAAACTTTGATGCAATGGATATTTATATCTTTATGATTCATCAATGCATTCCGTGTTATTTTTGGGAAAGAGAAAACCAAAATATTTTATCTTGAAATTGATGATAATCACGAGGTTTTGCGAATAAAAAAACAGAAAAAAATAGACCAAAAAAATAAAAGAATACAAAAGTCTCATCCATCTTTATTATTCGGTGAACAGAAAAATTTTTTTAGTCTCTGGTTTCAAAAAAAAGTAAAAAGTGTTTGGCCCGTTTATTTTGCTCATCGGAAAAAAAAAATTAAAATTTTAAAATTTTTAAATAGTTAGAAAATCAAAAATCCTTTTTCTTTCATTTTTTTGTTCTTGAATTTGGAGTTGATAAGTGAATTTTTTGCAAAAAAAAAGAGAATTATTTTTCAGAATTCCTCTTCCTGGCGAAGATTCCAATGGCTACGTTCCGCGTTTCAATCAATATGGAGGCTTCGAGAAACCGTCGCTAATCGTTCATCGTCGAGTTCCTTTTGTTAAAAAAGTTTGAATCGGAAAAAAATGTTTTTGATTTAAGATTTTTCAGCGATCTCCGCAATGTCCATTCTGTGACAAGCGTTTCCGCAACGAAATCTCCTTGAAAACTCATATTCAGAAGGTTTCCCTTGAAGTTCAAGTTTATACATAATTGAGAGAAATTCAGAAACATCCGACTTGCATGGAATTCGTCCAATGTCTCGAGTGCTTCAAATGTCTCCCCAGCAAGGAATATTTATCGGACCCGAAGGCTCACGAATGCGAAATGGTTCTCGATTCAAATGATTTTCTCATCTCTTCTTTTTTCCCAAGACTTATCTCTGCTTGGACTGCAAGCCTATCAGGAACTTGTGCACGGAGGATCGTCTCTGGAAACACAAGAATAAGTTCCATCGCGGTCCGAATTCTGGTTTCAGGTGATTGTGTGAAAAATCAGAAAAAAAGAATCGATGTGAGAATGAAAGTTGAAGAAAATCCCTTTCATTGGCTTTACAAGATTTAAGTTTGAAAAATAATTTGAAAAAGAAGTTTTATTAAATGCTATCAACCTCTCTGTGATCTTTCGAACTTCTGTATACTTTTCCAAACTAAAAAACCTTTTTTACTAATTATCACATTAAATAGCAAAAAAAGCGAAGTCAGAAATTTCGGAAAACATATCAAATATTAACTTGATTTTAACGGAATCTTATGATGTTTCATCTGAAACTTACTTTTGATGCAATTTTTTACATTTGATGAATTCTTAGAAGAGAATTTTGATGAAAGTTTTCAAACGCCAATTTTTCATTTCTACCCAATTGAAAACCCGTTATCATATGTTTGCATACTCTCCAACTTTTTGCAGATGCAACGAATGCAACTTGAAGTTCCTGACACCCAGAAAATTGAGGTAACGGTCTTGATTGAAGGCCTCTCCCGAAATCAATTTGTTCTTCTAGGAAACATCGCAAGATGACACACGTTTTTTCGAGAACTTTTCAATGTCACTTTTGCGAGGAATTTTTCATCAGCGAAACGGCGGTGCGTTGATTGTGCTCCGATAATAAGGGTCAACGGAGGAATGAATAAAAATTGTAAAAAAAGAAAGCGGTCCTAACCGAATTTTTTTGAAACCCAGTAAATAATGGGAGAGGAGGGATTAAGAAATGAGGGCCAGCTGGCCCCTGAAATCTGGAAAAAAATTTTTCAAAGTTTTTCAATTTTATTTCAACGAGTTTTGAAAAATTTTTTTCAAATGCTTTTCCATTTTTTTCAAAAAAAGACTTTTTTTCACTCAAAGGAGAGAGGGTCATGAATCTTTTCGAATACTCAAACCTGAAGGGAATTTTTTTATAGAGGTTCAGAATAGATGAAACTCTTATAATTGAATCTATAAATTCTATTCAATTTTGGCAAAATCCATTTTTTCTCAAAAATAAGCTCTATTTTTGATTATTATTTTTCTCACTTTTCATTTTTTTTTCTCGATCTTTCACTTTTCCATTTCTTTCAATCAATCTGCAAAATTCTCAGCTGACGGTACATGAACGTATCCACACGGGAATCCTGAAATTTCGAATGCGTGGTCTGCGACCAGAAGACTAACCGCTACACGCAAATGGACGAACACATGAAGGTCGGACTTGCCGCCCCTGTGTTTGGAGATGATCAGGAAATGTTCCAGGATCATCACGGCTACGTCTGCTCGGTCTGTCAGTTGAAGTGCGTCTCCTGGAACGACCTCAAAGATCATATGCTCGACGCTCACTACGGCTACGTCACCGAAAACTCTTCTTACAGTTCGTTTTTGAGTCTATGAGATGAAATATAAGGATTCGTTTGTGTATTCTGCTGAGATAATTAGCTTCTAACTTTTTCTCTTGAAGTTTCCAACAATTTCGTTTAAGCAAAAAAAAATTTCGAAAGTTTGAAAGGCTTCGAGACAGAAAAGTCCGTCTTGAGAAATGAATCTTTTTTTCATATTTTTTCAATTTTAAATTCTCTATGATTAAAAAAATTTTTCAGCTTACGTCGACTCTCCGCGCGTCTGGATCCTCTACAAAGGAGAATGATCCAGAAAATCACAACCATTAACTTATTTTTTTTCGAATTTTGTTATCTTCATTTACTACGCACGTGTTTTTTGTCTCGGTTGTTTTTCTAACGCTACGGTTCAACCATTTATTTTTTCAGCTTCTTTTTACCCTTTGATGAATTTTTCGAAACCTAATAAATTATTGTGAATTCAACCTGTAGCTCTCTGAAGTCATTATTAGGTTAGGGGTTGTTTGGCCTTGTTATATTTTTTGCTAAGTTCTTGGTGTTTCTGAAAAGTTTTAGTCATATTTGTAAATTTCCAGTCTTTGACCTCAATACTAGAAAAGGTTCTATATCAATTTTCTAGTCTGAAAAAATTTTTCCGGTGTTAGAAGCTTTTTAAAAATGAAGGGGGTAGAATAATCTCAAAAAAGTAACGAGGATAGAGTCGTTTTTCAGTATTGTTTAACGGTTTTCTTTGTTTAACATAGTCAAAAATTTTTGAAATGATAACAATTTTTTTATAAAATCCCTTTTGGCTTATCTATCAATTCAGTACACCCACAAAATCATTTCTAAAATCTGCTAGATATTCCCCAAGACTATTGTACGAAGATTCGGAAACCCACCGAGGTGTTCATAATTCGAGGCGATGAGCCCCGAAAAAGTTTTTGGCGTGGCGCCATCCGTCAAATCACAGTGGGCGGCCATTTGCTACACGCCAAAAAAAGTTGTCCATGGGGCGAGTTTTTTCCCGTGTTTCAGGCCCCTTATTCTTTCATTCCCAAATCGTCTTCTTGTGCACAAGCAGACAAGGTCGCATCGCCATTGAACCGTTATGTATGACCAATTGTCGAAAATGTCTTTTGATGTGTTTGTTCAAAACCGAGAAATTAATGGCTCCTTGTCAAATGAATTCTCGTTCTTTTTTCAGGGCAAATGCCAGTTTTCTGGCCGAATCTCGATTGCGGAAGGACAGAAACTGTTGGGTTTGAAAGAGGTCGGGAATTTCAAAGAGTCAGAAAATTAACTGTGGTTTTGTAGAATATTTGAACCTTTTCATCTTTTTTGACTTATTTTGGTTCATTATACTGAGAAGCCATGATTTAAAATAAATGTTCGCAGTTTAGTAAAGTTTCTGACCTGGCATAGGGAGCATTTTTACTCGGGGAAAAGTCGGAATGGTGGATAATGGCCGCAAAAAGGGAGAAAGCTCAAAAAAGGCCGCAGAAAAGAAGCAAAAAAAGTCCCTTAATCGAGCCTTCCCTTTTTTCTAGAATTTTGAAGGCTCAAGAAATGGTGGAAAAAGGAGAGGCAGCGAAAATGGTGCATAAAAGTTGATGAAATGGCACAAAAAGGCAGCAAAAAAGGAGTCGCTGTCCAGCAAAAGAAAAGTTCCTGTGAAGCCCTTTCCCACCCACTTTGCCTGTAGTTTTATATAAATTATCTCAAGAATTCTTCGATCGACTGGGAATCCAACCCAGATAGCGTCGCACGAACTCCTATTCTAGGAGTTAGGAATTTTAAAAGTTCGTGTTTGACAGGAATCGGATCTGAAATCTTTATTTCGCAACTTCGAAAATTCATATATCAAAAAATAGCAGTTTTCGTAGAATGTGTATTCGATTCCCAGTCCATCGAAGATTGTTTTAGTAAAATCATGGAAAAAAAAAACCAGAAGACTAGGTAGAGCGTCCCCCCCTTTGTGAAGACTTTGCAGTACTTTAAAAAAAGGAAAAATGCCGCCACAAGCATAATATAATAGGGAGCGGGAGAGATACTTTTTTAACTTCTGAAGCAAACTGGACGTTTCTAAGCAATACTAGGGATCACTCAAGAGTGCTGACATTGCTAAAGGGACTACTAGAAATGCAACATCCAGGACGCGTCCGGTTTGCGTTACCTAGTTTCAAGAAACTATCAAATTATAAATGGTTTCTTCAATTTATATTTTTTGGAAATTGGCTGTTCAAGAAAAAGAGAAGACTTTCTGTAGAGCAAACACGTTTTTCTGCTATCGGAGAGCCAATTTATGTGAGGATACGGTAGGTATGAGACGTTTCAGAGGAACACGAATTCATATGAAAAAGTTCGAGAAGTACAGAAGAGTCGATAGAGGCTGGAGTGTTATACTTGAAAAAAAAGAAGAAAAAAAAAATCTTGGGGCAAGATTATTCGACCGCCGAAAAAAACTAGAAGTTATTTCAATAAAAAGGCATCTCAGCATTATAAGCTTGCATTGCTAGGTCTTTAAGTTAGGCGTAATACGATTTTTTGAGAAGATTTTAGTAGTCTTAATTTTCCTCGAGATGAAGCCGCTTAGGTTTTAAAAACCTTGAGTTAGCGAGAATCGAATGTATCCAGAATTTTCGAAAATAAGTTATTTTAAAAGAACAGAAAAAGAGAAGAAGAGAGCGAAGTTTTAAAATTTTAAAGAACAGGTTTTCCTAAGTGGTTCAAAAAAAGCGGCGTTCAAGAAATACTTATAATAATCCTTTCCAACGTTACAAAATGGCTAAAGCGAGAATCCTTGATGAGCAGTTTTTGGAAGCCATCAAAATTTTTTATCTCGAGATAACTTGAAAAAAAAAATATACGTTTCTTCAGCAGTAGAACTACTTCCAACATTCTAGACAAGTCTCCAAAATTACAGTCGATACCGTACTCCGTGGATGTTGAAAATGGACGACGTCCTTCGCGACGACATCATATCGCGCGGACCAATTTGATGCGAAAACGAGGTCGGCGGTCGTTTCGCCTCGAAGAAGAGCTACCGTAGTCCTCGGAGATGGGGCCGCCCATCTCGCCACAAAAAAGCGACACCTCCAGGGCGTCGTCCGGCCGTTCAATCATCTTCTTTTGCAGTTGGTTTTATTTTTCATTTCGCAACGCTTTTTTCTTCTGTCCACCGTTCAGATCATAACTCCCAGACATTTTCAGCTGATTGAAAGAAAGGAAAGATGTTCAGAAGCGCAGAAAAATGTTTCGTCTTCATGATATTTTTTTACAGAAAACGTTCCAAATTTCTCGTCTTGTACAAGGATTAAACTTTTATCAATAAGTTTTCTGATCTCACTTTTAAACGAGGTCAAACTATAGATGGAGTTTTAACGGATTCTGGAGCTAAATTTTAACCGTGAAGGTCTTTAAAAAAGCCTGCAAAAAATTAAAAACGTCTATGTATTCTTTAGTTTCTGATAGTTCGATAGTAAAAGATCACGGAATACATTTTTTTTTCTCAGAATTTGGGGAAAGTATATTCTTTCAAAATTTCTCAAAGATCAGGGGCGGTTAATTTTTTTCAAACGTTGAGCTTCCAAAACTTTTTTCCAAGTTTTTTTTAAAAAATTTAGATTCGTTCCGAAATCTCCCTATGATTTCAGACCATTCCATTGTCAAAAAAAATTTTTTCACTTTATTATCTTCACTATTGAAATGAAAACTCATCAGTTCCTACGAGTACCGCTAAGAATCAGGTCTATCCATAATCATAAAACTGGTTTCCAACCAAGAAAATTTTCGTACACTTTCCCTCGTTTGTTATCTTGACCCGACTTGTCTCGAAGTTGTAAAATCAGCTTTTTCCGAACCCCTTCCATGTCCCTCATAAAACTGTCAACTGCAGTACCTTTTTTATCATTTCTTTTTTTATCACTAGCCTCTTTTTTCAGACCTTCTCGCCGGAGTGAACAGATAACAGTGTTAAGAGCTCAGAAAGTCGGAAAAAATGTGTTATTTCATGTTTTCGTTCTGCAAGTTGGTGGTTCACAAAAACAGCCTAAATCCATTGTTTTTTTTAAATTTTAAAATCTCGGAAAATAGAAGCTCTTTTGATTTTCATGATGAAAATCACAGTGTACTTTGGATCATTCAAAGATTTTGTAAGATTTTGTGAAGGAACTTTGAAACTGGAAGATTTTTTTAATCCTAATTGGTTATCATTTTTTCTCATTTCGCCTAACTTTTATTTGATTTCTATGAAAATATGCGATTTCCATATTGGATCCCTCTTTTTGCGCTCAAAATCTCTCCATGCAGAATATTTTGGCTCCAAAAACATTATCATCAATGGAAAGCCGGCAACAAATCACGACTCTTCCAAAAAATGGCTCGGCGCAGTAAAAGAGTCCGTCGGGGCGCATTTGAGCCCATTAAAACGGCCGCTTGTAGTTGAGTTTGGCGCGATGCCGAACACCGGCGGTATGGGTGGTCCAAATCCCCTGGGGACACGTTTTCCTCCAACGACGTGCTTCGCTCAGCTCCTTTTTTTGCGCCGTCGTGTGTGTTCCCCCAGCCTTTTTTCTCTTTCTCTCCATTTTTTATGACTTGTTCTTGCAAATGGAAAAGTTCGGCGGGAGCCTCGAAAGTTTGAAGGTCAAGATGGAACTGAGCGAATGTTCTCTATGATTGTCGCAAATCAGCTTCAAAGACAAACGGACTTTTTTGTCACTCATTTTTCTCGGGTTTCACTGAATCTTAAAAAGTTTAAAAAAAAATTACTCAAAATTTCGCAATAATTGCCGACATGTATAAACACTAAAATTTTTTTTAGAAATGACGGCAACAGGCAATTTTAAAAAAATTTTTGCAGTCAAGTTGAAAAACGGATTTTCAAGGGACTGTTCATATGGTTCTCTTTGACCATTTCAAAAAAGATTCAAAAAATTCAAAGTTTTCCAATTTTAAATATCTTTAGTTTAAAATCAAAAATGAAGATACCTTGAAGTTTCAGCTACAAAAAAGAGAAGACAAATAAGGGAGATTGTTAAAAACGGAGAGGAATTAGCTTGACTAAGATTTCAGCACAAAAAAGTCGTCGGTAGCGTTGTTTTTTATAACTTTCCCCATCCTCATCCTTTTTCGAAAAAAATAAAAATTTTCTGGATTCGAAATCAAAGCAGCTATTTGGATATGTAAATTTCAAAAAGCGAAAAAAAAGAGAAATTTAAAATTTTGGTTGCGCTTCCTAGTTGTTAGGACATAGTACCATCATTAATTTGGAAAAATGGTTGTTTTTTAAAGCCTTTCAACTGCTGCTGAAAAGGTTCTTATTTTTATTTCCATTGGTTTTTCAACTCTATCCAAGCCAAATCCCTAACTCAATCGGTATCTTTTTTTTTGAAGTTAACCGGTTTTTCAAACCCCTTCTTTCATTTTTTCCTTTCAAACTCAAAAAATGAAATAAAATAAAAACGTTGGCTTACCATATTCCCGACGGAGTTATATTTTTTAAGCGCAATATTGCCGTTTTTTGGACGTTTTGGCTCGTAAAACGGCCGCGGCCCGTTAATCTCTGCTGGCCGTCGGTTTCCCTTGCGGCGATAAGCCCTTTTCGGAGCTCGTGCCAGTCGGCTCGACCACCCAGCTCCTTAATAAAAATGTCCTTGTTACCAGACCTTTTATGACTACAACTTTTTCCCGCCAATTCCAAAGGTTTTTGGCTACTGGAAACTTCAATTGGAGGTTTCTGCGTATAAGCAACTTCCAAGTTGTTTCGAAAAATCTTAAAATTTCGATATTTTTATGAAAAACAAAAATAAGGGGGTAATGACTTCTGCTTCCCCTAAGCTTGATGAAAAATAAAAATAGCGAGTGATTTCAAAAAAATGACAAGTTATTGAGATTTTGTTCAATTCGGCATTAAAATCTATCGAATTTTAACAAAAAAAAATAGCAAAAATCCCTTATTTCATACAGCACAAAGCCTGCAACGGCTGAAGATATATTGAGCAAAAGAAGGAGTTTTTGGTTGTTTTAAAGTAATCCAGAGCCAGCAATTTTATCTTGGGGGAACACTCGACTGTTTTAAAATTGATTCATAGATCTTCCTTTTCAAAATATACTTCTTCACATGGAGGGCAAAAATGAACTTCTCGAACGTTAAAAGTTCCCTTGAACCTACTTCAATTCAATTTTTTCTATATTTTTCGAGGAAAACGATACTTTATGAGTGAGCTTCAATGAAAATTTGTTTCAAAAGCACTTGGAAATATCGAATAAACTTTAGGGAACACTGATAGTTTGAATCAGTTCAGAAATCATCGGAAAACATCACTTCAATTTCTAAAAAGTCATGAATTGTTTTTAAAGTTTTTAAAAGTTATTTTTGAAATAAAAAAGTCATATCGCTATAATATTGCGGGTGGTCGAGATTGAAGGAAGAAGCTACAGAATAATTATGAAAAGTCCTTAGGATTAATGAGATGGATAAAAGCTAGACTTTGGGAGGTGTACTAAGAGAAGGAAGAAAAACCTTCAGACGACGATGCGTTTTTTTTCAATTTGAGCCAATTTCCGAAAATTTTGTTGCAATCTCGTAGGATCGCAACGTTCCGAACGTTTTCGAAATTATTGAAGATTTTTTTGTCGTTTCCTCGTTCAAATGACCTTTAAGTAGTTTGCGGTATACTCAATCTGTCCTGAGAAGATATTTATCTGGTTGCATTTGGAATGGCTTAACGCGCAACGCAGTTTTTAGGAGGATACCTGCACAACCGTAACGCTATGAGCCATTCTACCTGCAATTGCGCAGTTTTGGAAAAACATTTCATATTATTTTGATTACATTTGACGGAAAATTTTTTTACTGAAGGGAGAACTTTATTTCTAGTAAGTTTTCGAGTAAAACTTGAAGTTTCGAAGCTTGTGACGAGTACTATAATGCTAATACAGCGTATAATCATCCATATTTTCATAAAATATAAAATAAAGCTTACGAATTCCTTTCTGCAAACCAAAAAACCCAAAAAAAAACCTCCTACGAATCTCATCTCGTTAGGAAGTGCAGGAAGACCCGACAGGAAGAAAAAAAGAAACTCACTTAGTTGATTACCTTTAGGCTTGTTAGCTCTATTCGAAGGATCTGAAGAAAAAGCCTCCTTTTCATGGGTTTTTTTTTTCTGGGTGGCCTCGTGCCATTTGGTACCTTCTTTTCTATTCAAACCGGCCAAATTATAGCGGTTTCATCTTACTTTCAATCACTCAAATGAGGTCTCGGTACAAAATGACGCTGAGCGATGCATTCAGGATCTTTTTTTTGGAGTGAGATGCCGTCTGTTGTACAAATCTTATCCAAAAATAAATTTTATGAATCCAAATCGGTATGGGAATACAAATTCACGTCAAGTTGATATATTACCAAGATCTTCTGAAAAATTGAGTTCTAGTTCTAAGAGAGCCTAAAAAGTTTTTTTTTTAAATTACGATTGAAAAGATTGATAAATTAGTTGTTATGAATATATGAAGATCCAAAACTAAAAACTAGAAAAAAAGGATGTTCGCACGTTTCGAAGCTCAATAGCTGCGAAGCGGTTGCGTCGGACCTGAAACGGCTTGCGCTTGATGGCATGAAAAATTATTAAGAAATCTGCCAGATGTGATTGATGAACACCGATTTCGACTACAAAACTTCAAGCTATTTTACTTTCTACCGTGGATATAATATGTTGTTTTCAAGAGATATTTTTTTGAGGATACTAAAAAAAGTCACGGAATTATGATGAAATAATTTTTCTATTTCATTAAACTGTGTTCAAAAAAAAATAGTTCAAAAAAAATTTTTGTGCAAAGTTTCTCAAGGCAGCTGGGTTGTCTTGGATCTCCTTTTTTCCATTTCTTAAACACAGCTTTTTTTTTGACCTTTTTTGATTAAAATTTACTTTCCCCGCGGGTCAAAGACTTCCTTAATTGGTAAGGACGATGAACCTGGGCAGCGCCGCTTTTTTCATTCTTTTTTTTCTACATAAACTACTCGCTGGTGCCATCGATAACAACACTTTT